AGCGTAAACAAGCGTTACATGTGATAATTTTGAATATTTCAAAACGCTTGTTATAACTAGCATTCGCGACATCCATATCCATACTTAATATTTAGATGTGAGTGTGTTTGTTTGTTTGTTTGTTTGTTTGTTCGTTTGTTTGTTTGTTTCTCCTTGTTTCAAGTCGAAATGGAATGACGGATTGGCGTGATTTTTGTGTGGAGATAGTTGGTGGTCTGGAGAGTGACATAGGCTACTTTTTACCGCATAAGATTATACCTATCATTCCCACGGGAAAGAACGTTACAATACAATGCAAAAAAACCATGATCAGAATTACTTGAAACTTGGTATTAATGCTCTTCAATACAATTAAATAAATACATGGTTTAGCATTTTTCGAAATTCATCCTATTAGGGATTAAAATAGGGGATGAAAGTTTGTATAAAACTTACCTTTTTTGAGATTTTTTTTGTTTCAGTGCGGGCGACCCCTTGGGTTCTGCTAGTATATAAAATATAATTGAATCGAAAATACCAACGAATCGAATTTAAATTTTTCATAAATTCTAAATATCTAAAAAAACTTTGAAAGCTATCGTATACACTGCGCAATTGTGCATTATTTTCTTAAACGGTTAAAATTTTCCCCTATTTCATGGGAAGTGGTAGTTTTGTAATATTAGACAAAAGCCTGCCATAAAGCATTTTCATGTAGGCATTGTGCTTGAGGTGAATTGATATAATTCTTTTCTTATTCTCCCCCAAAGGGAAACGCTCCCTGCACCCTCGACAGCCTTACTTTATCACGTGTGCATAATTTTATTTCTTTCGAATTCTCCGAAAAGTCCATTTAATATTCGTGTATATCATAGAACGATAAGCGACGTTGAGGGTCAACTGTTTAGATTTCCGTAATTGAGCAACAGTGAAAATACGATAAGGAAATTAATATTATTTTTAAGAAAAATGAAATAGCTTTCAATAAAGTATGTACTAATAAGACCTACCTAATATACATAGATAGATAAAGCTATAGATAAAAACACAATGTTCGTAGTATCATCCTTGCCTCTCCACGCCCTCCGACTGTTAAATATTTTCGACGTTATTCAAACGTTAATTAATTTTCGGGAAAGCGTTGAATAACTAAAACTGTTCCATCTCGTTAAACCTTTTACGAAGAGGCGATCGACGGTGCTAATTACTAGGACGAACGTATTTGATAAATTGCCCTGTTACTCGCTATTTAATAACCGCTCTTTTAGTTTTATCAATTGGTATGTGAAGTTTATGGGTTATCAAAATATTTATGTGGTGATTAGGTTTTATCAGTCTCATATAAAGGCTTAATGATTGACTCGTTTTGGATATTCTTATTTCTCTTTTAGAATTTTACCAAATTGCATTAGAAAAAAGTAAAAAAAAAACCTTATTACTTAGAAAAAATATGTTACATTAATAATTTATATTATTATTGGTGTAACATATATTTAATTGATATTTTAATGTTATCTATACTAATAAATGGAGAGCCGATTTTTTTGTTCGGTTATACTGCGATAACTACTGAACCGATCGGAATAATACTCATACCATAAGATGCAGCGTGTTTCGGAGAAGGTTTAAATAGGTAAATGATACGTTGGTGATTAATGTACTATGCGGGCGGAGCCGCAGGAAAACGCTAGTATTAAATAAATAATGCACAAGACTTTTCGTTATATTTATATTAATAACTTATCGATGCAAAACATTTTCATTAAGCCTAAAAGGCTTTAACCATTCTATAGCAATTTATCGTACTGCAGACTGCTACAATTTGCGGCGTTTTTCCACCCGATAAACCACGAATGCAACTCAGTATCAAACAGTACTTCATCCTTACACGCCTCGTAAACCTTACTACTGGTACGACCCGCACGCCTAATTACATTCGACTTTATTGCACCGCGGTAAAGATCACATTGGCGCACAGTAAATTAACTTGTGCAGAGGCCGAGCTATTTTCCAGTGCACTTTTGCACGTTTCTCGAAAATAGGAGCAGACGTAGTTTACGATCGCGTGGAGAACATTTATGACCGGCGGTGAGGTCGGTAGTATGAATGATATCCGGCTGCATGGCGATTTTATTAAGTTGATGTGGATAATGATAATGTATTATGTGATATAGATAGGATATTCATGACAATATTCGTTATGATTGTATTAGATCTTTTGTCTTATTCCTTATTTATGAGTATAATTCATTATTAGTATCTTACTGTTAGTTGAATTTTGCCACTCGCATATTGAGATTTCTTTCTTTGACAGTGCTAATTTAATCAGTCTTAAACATATTTATTTTTTATCTATACTAATATTAAAAAAGGTAAAGTTTGTGAGTTTGTGACGTTGTAGGGGGTAATCCCTGGATCTACTGAACCGATTTAGATAAAATTTATATATATTATATATATTATAAAAGGTAAGAAGATAGTTTGAGACCCTGGGAAAGACATAGGATATTTTTCATCGCGGAAAATCTCTTAAGGGGGTGAAAATGGGGATGAATGTCTGTATTGGGAAGCAAGCTAGAGACGAACCTGAGTGAAGCGAGGGTGAGTCGCTAGTTAATAATATAAACAAAACTTTAATTATATTATCATTTGCCATATTTCTTACTTTATAAATAACTAAATAGCATATTATATACAAACTTTCATTCCCTATTTAACGTCTGTAGAGATGATTTTTTAAATATCCTTCAACATTTCAGTTCACCTTTATCAGTAGGTACTACTTTAGGTAGGTAGGTATTACCGCTTGGATATTTTAAGTCGCTGGGGGCTTAGCTTGTGCACTGTCTTTCTTTGGTTGTGCAGTGCAGCAAATAAATTTAAGTTTTCTATGAATCTCCTAAATTAATTTGCTATCTACTTATGTAGATAAATAAGTTGTGAAGTACGTAAAACGTTTTATAAATTGTAGCTAGGCTAGACGAATTGACTGGATGGCAGTTTACGAGGCAATCCGAGAAACTGTCGCGGGGAGGCAGACGCGGCGGCGGCGTCGAGGCGCCTCGGCATAGCTGACATAAGCGTAAATTGGGATATTATCTAAATAACGATAGCTTCACATGAATTAAATTATAATTACATTTTATTCTGAATTTTAGTATCATTTTCCAGAACGTCATCCATATAATATAACTTTTAGACTCTATAAAGTTATATTAAATATTGTTGCAAAGCAAATATATGCGATTTAATTAATGAAAATAAACTAAAATATTATAAAACAGAGCAGTTTGTGATTCTAAAATTGAGAAATGCATTATGAACATTTGTTGAAAGCGTCACGAATATCACTCTCGACAACTAAAAAGAGACTTCTAAAAATGTGACGATTCCATGGAAGCCGACATTTTAATAGAAGTTGAAATGAAGAGGCTCGCCTGTGCCTTTAGTACTAATTCAGTTTTCCCTAACGACTACTGACGAGCTGAAATTTTAAATTTGAGTGTTCTAACTAACGCTTTCAGTTGGTGATAAATTACTTTCATGTTTTAGTGTTAAAGATTTAAAAATGTCATCGTTTTATTTTCTGTTTTTCGTTTTTCTAAATCTAAATTCTACGTTATGATCGCAAGAATGTAGAAATTGGACACTATTTATATTTTTACCATTAAAATAACATTCGTTCCATAACAAATAGTTTTCATAAAAAAGAATTCCATATGTAAATTGTTCACACCAGTTCTTCTCGACGCCATTGCATACCAATACAGAGCTTAGTAACAGTACGTAGCCTAGTTGACTACGCGGCTACGAACCGATGTAGCGCTACGTGACTGGCTTGCACTTGATAAATGTTATTCGCTGTACAGACAAATGAGTTTACTTTGTCTTTGCAATAAAAATACATGTGTTTTACTTGTCTCTATTGAATAGTAACTACGATCCCAAATAGCTTTTCTTGTTTAGTTAAAAATATTTTTATGAATCAATCTCAATACTTCTTAATATAAAATATCACCACCGTATATTTTCATAGGCACATCACAAAAACATCCAAAATTCTCATTACATATGAAGCGATCTACTACAAGGCCGCGTACTGCTATAATATTTACAGAACATTCCATCGTCTTGGATCGATAGCGGTGTGTTCTCAATTTTTTCGGATGTCGTTCATATTGATTTTGGAAAAGTGGGACAAATTTATTGGGTAATTAAATTTTTTTTTTTGATAATACGATCATTTTTGATTTAAATATAATTGCTATAATCATGCTTGGTACTTTTCTGTTAAGTTATTTATAATACAGATCGTATTCGTTTAATTCTTGGCTGAATGAGTTGGTAATATATTCATAATATAATCTAGCAAAAGCTAGTTTATCATTGAAAAGTGTATGATTTTTTTATTAAATAAAATAAAATTATACTTGCGAGAGCTTATGTGTCTGTGACGATGTAATGTGTTAAAAATATTTAAACAAAATTAGGTATAGAGATATCTTGCTTAACACATGGGTTTCATATTTTTTTATCAACTAGCAAGCGAAGCCGCTGGCTAGGCTGTATTATTAAATGAAATAACTTGTTACGTTTAAATGTAGAATTTTGGGCTATACTATATTTTTAGTTAACTTTAAATATACATATACTTTTATGTTTGTGATAGCTGTAGTTTTAGCAGGATATTCTTAGTCAATATAACTTTTGGTTATCTACGCTAATATTAGGTATAACCAGGTAGATTGTAAGCTTGGATGTAGGTTACTGAAATACATTCAGAAACTATTGATCAGGGTTTTTCAGATCATTTTATTCGCATTACCGTCGAGTGCTATAGGTTATTTTGTGTTTACTGTCAGAAATCATGATGATTTTAATTGGTTTTGGTTAAAACTGACCGTTGGCTTGTTTTCTCGGCGTATGATATCTAAATAGTTCGAAATAAAGAAATATAATTGTAAAGAGACACCCGAGCGAAACGATATGTACTAGTAACTAATGAATAATGCTTATCACAGCCACCGAGCTAGACCTGCTGGCCGCGCTGTCGCTGCACAACACGTCGCGGGCCGGCGTCAGCGTAGCTCCGGGCATGCAAGCGCAGCGCACCGCCTACGCCCTGCAAGGTAAACGTTCGACATTTTATTCTATATCGCCTTCCTTAACCTTTAATCTAAGAATAGTTATAATAATTAGTTATAAATGTGAAAGTTTATCAGATATATACTTTATGTGTATATTTGTTACTCGTTCACGCTGAAACGGCTGGAAGAATTTTGATGAATATTAGAACACAAATAAACTAGAACCTGGAGTAAAAAATAGGCTTAGAAACGCAACCGAACGAGAGCAAGTCGCACGTAATGCACACATATACATTGTATTTCCTTTATTAATATATTTGCGTGTCGCAAGTGCTTTATCGAGCGTTTGTCTAAAGATTTATGAGGGACTAAGTTAAGTAATAAAAAGTACAAACTATTTCATCTATACTAATATTATAAAGAGGTAAAGTTTGTGGAGTTTGTGACGTTGTAGATGGTAATCACTGGATCTACTGAACCGATTTAGATGAAATGTGGTAAGAAGATAGTTTGAGACCCTGGAAAGGACATCGGATACTTTTTATCCCGGAAATCATCCCTTAAGGGGGTGAAAATGGGGATGAAAGTTTGTATTGGGAATCAAGCTAGGGACGAACCCAAGCGAAGCGAGGATCAATAGCTAGTTTTATATATTTTAGTAGGAATACAATGTATCTAGCTATATGGTTATGGTTGATTCATACCCTTTATAATCATATAATGGATCGTAAACAATACGAGGCGTCAGTTGCAATCTCACTTAGTGTACGTCTTCCATTCACACCTCTGTGTACTTTAAAGTCTATATAAATATATAATATTACCTAGAAGCTAAGCGATAAAACGCAAAGGTTAAGCCCTTTCATAACCGTAGTTGCGTGATTATTTATATTGTTTTATGTGTATGTATGAATGTAGCACTTATATTAGTACTACGACCCGATGTATAATTTTTTTTTTTTAATTAAATGCTATTCAATTAATATTCATGTGTTTATTAATTGTTTTTATAACATTTTTTACTATTTAATATAAATTAATTTATATTGTTCTGTTTACATTAAAAATGTGAAGTGCAAGGTATATTTCATTGCACTGCAATTTTACTTAAAGCCTCTGTGTAATGGCTTCCACCACGCCTCATTAGGTTTCAATTTCCGAGCAGTGTTGTGTTTCCATTAAACATTTTTAGTTTAAACATTAAAATAAACTTAAAAAGGAAGTTAATTTGTTAAGAAGTTCTATTAGTCAATTTACTTGGTGGTATGATAACTTCCGGTAGTCCAATGACGATAAGCCTGTTAACATATTGAGTAATAACTCAATATAACAAATACAATTTTAAATTAAAATAACATTATATTCCTTTTTTAATATTGAATTGTAATCATATAGTAAAATGTTATAACAAAATACTATTTTTTTTCTAGACAAGATATTTATGTTTATTAATATATAAGTTATTTAAAATAATCAAATTAAATCCATTTTTGTTCCATCCACATAAAATATTGCAAGAATACACCCATCAGTTATTACAGAAACGAATTGATTTTGTTGTACTTGTATTTTAGGTTTATCTATATTATATAACAAATATACTTAGTATATTTATTTTATTTTAAAACATGAGAAGTACACCCTAGTACGAATAAATTTTCAATATTGCTATAATCCGGTGCTCTTTGTTTGTACTATGAATCGTTTTTAGTTCCGGAGAATTCAAGAGGGAGCTGACCCTTGTTCTTTATAGTATCCATATTTTAATGAACAGAAAAATCTTATGAAAAAGAAATTGACTTGCGGAGGGAATAGAGGGTTCCATAATGTATATGACACGTGCGGGCATGATGCAGACATGACATATGTATGTATGTGCTTATTTTATATATCTATGACAAATATTATTTTGATGACACCCTAAAATAATATTCATAAATAAAAATAATTTATATACTCTACTAATGTTATCTGACACGTTGGGAATAGATTTTCATAAAATGAAAAGATTGTAATATTCAATGTCCTAATCTGTCTAGAGCAATTGACGCTAATCCTCATGATTGTCCCTCGAAACAAGCCCATTATCGATAAAGCGTCCGTAATCCGGCAAATACGCCATCCCTCAGCAAGCCGCCACAAACGGTGATTAAAGCTCGGCGTGGCCTGAAATCTGTTACGTTGCAATAGGGTCAGCTACAGCTTTTTTCTAAATTAAACATTTTTAAAATATTAAATAGTTCTTAAATATTTGCATTAAAAAACATGATTTTAATTCTAACTATACAACCATTCACGTAATAATAATTTACTTGATTAAAAAATTGACATCTATACTAATATTATAAAGAGGTAAAGTTTGTGAGTTTGTGACGTTGTAGGGGGTAATCTCTAGATCTACTGAACCGATTTAGATGTTTGGTAAGAAGATAGTGTGAGACCCTGGGAAGGACATAAGATATTTTTTATCCCGGAAACCATCCCTTAAGGGGGTGAAAATGGGGGTGAAATTTTGTATTGGGAAGCAAGGTAGGGACGAACCCGAGCGAAGCGAGGGTGAATCGCTAATCTGTAGTAAATTGAATTTCTTAAATACTTACTGTTTATTTACAAAGACGGGGGTAGATATCCAGTATAAATATTTATGTCATGCCAATATTTTATCTATTCATATATCATTCTGATTTTATCTAGTTATGTAAATGTACTACATAAAACGTGCGTTAGGTGGTACAATGCTATATGAAATCAATCTCGATCTCTCTGATCTCAGTTCATAGTCCATACTAGCTTATGGATACATCCATAACCATCCCAGCCTTCAAAAAGGTAACATACAACGTAATAATAATTATTATTATAATCAAAGAAGAAAATAAAGCATAAACTTATATTTCTAGTTTAAATGATATTTCTAATTGTGAAACGATTGGTTTATCCAAATATGAAAGGTATAGAAATTTCATAAATAATATTTTTTTATTAATTCGACGTCCCTATTAGCTAGGGGACCTGCATTTTCATACAATTCACTTACATTTACGAAAGGTACCATTATGCGAGATGTGAAGTTGCGTAATTGTCGAAGGGTGTCCGTCTATTCCTAGCGCCCTAATTTGCGGGGCTTTTTGTTCTGCTGGTGTCAAACGCCGCTCTATTGTCCGCGCGTCGTTGGGAAACATGCCACAGACAGGCTTAATACAACATCTGGAGCAAAGTATCTGACGGTTAATCTACGATAAAGCTATCTGTTGTTTATCACCATTTGTTATATTTCTATAATATTATATATCAATCTCTAAAATATAATTTTTGTTAATGAATGTCTTGCAAATTGAAAGAAAATTACGAATGTTCATGAGTCAAAGAATCTAAAATACGTACCTATGACAAAATATATATTACTAGCGAATGATGTTTTAACGGTTAGTATGGAATAGATAGACTATATGTTATACACAGGTAAGGTTCAGTTTTATAACTCTTACTTGAGAAATGATTGATTCCCCATACAAACTTTCATCCTCCTTTTCACCCCAGGATCTCAAACTATTTTAGGTTCAGTAATTCCATACATTACTTCCTACAAACTCACAAACTTACAAACTTAACTCTTTATTATAATATATTATATATTCATATTATTAATAATAATCATATTTTAAAATACTAAGAAACTGAATAATTTGAAAGAAAAGTCTTTTAAATTAATTCTACATATGTAAATAATTAAAAAGTTTAACTTCAACTTACTCTTTTTTATTATTCTTGGAATACTTCACAGAATAAATCAATGTTTTTAATAGTAAATATTCATATTTTTATAGACACAAGCAATTTTACAAAAGTTTGCACAACGACGACCTGTCATACCCACAGTAGATATAAAACGCTAATGGTAATGTCTGCCAAAGACAGGCATATTAATGTTGAATGCATGAACGAATTTGGTTGAATGCTTTTGATGTGACAGGCGATAAGCTGTTCGCCGTTGTTTCGGTTTATTGACAAATATACATATTACAAAAATACATTTTAAATACTTTGAGTTTTTTTAAGTATCCTATAGTTACTACGAATAAATAATTATTTATTCTTCATATAGTTAGCGTTAATACTATGTATGATTTGATTTCTATACGCACGCCACGAAATTCTGTGCTTTTATAACATAAACATGAATAAACAACATCTGTGAATTTACTTAAACTACTACTAATGCTCTCATATGAGCTCTCATATATAATAATAATAATAAATTCTTTATTGACATAATTTTTACATACACAGGTGATTAAGAATTCCCTAGCCCCTGCGCTCGTTAAAAACTGTATTGCAGGAGCCAGTGTCATCCCCATATGATTAATGACAAGTTTATGCCAACACAGTGATATATGTAGGTACAGACAACAAGTGTAACATTAAGAAAAAAAATAATATTAGCACACAGAAAAAAAAAAAATAATAATAAAAAAAACAAAATGAAAAAAAAAGTATGTGTGTGTGTATTTGTGTGTGTGTGTGTATGTGTGTGTGTGTGTGTGTGTGTGTATAAGTGAGTGTGTGTTTGTATTTGTATATGTATGTACCTATCTGTATGAAGAACTATACCCTAGGTACCTCTTGAAACAATCTTGACTGGACAATAGAATACTAGAATATGTACTAGAGCAAATGGTTTAAGGACATATAAAAGCACGCATTGTCGTAGAACGCTGTTTCATTATATTGAAATGAATGGGCTTCACTGAAGAAAAGTAAAGCAGACAGTTAAAAGAGGAGTTCTTTATTTAAGAGACAATTAGGAAACAAATATTGATGTAGAAAAATTATAATAATTTTAACTGCATTATAAAAAGCACTTTACCAAACTGAATATCGATCTCGGAGACCAATCATTGAAAGTTAGGTGCGCAGGAAACACCATAGGGCTCAAGTATATGAGTAAACACAAGAGCACTGAATCCTTTTAACTCTCGCGATTACTGGGAAAGTTTGACAAACACTATTTTACGAACCTAATAACTAGGGATGTCGAGCCGTATACGCTAGCCACTAGACTAACGAGGAAGTATTTTTTTTATTACACCAAAAACCTACCCCTCTACTTAGTCTACCATCATAAAAGTAGCGTTATTTTTAAATGATTTTCACTTTCCATTTAGACTTTGAGGGTGTCACCGCCCGCGCCACTGGGCTGCAGTGATTTTGCTCGGTGATCCGTTATAATTCTAAAGCGAAGTCATGTGCATGATAAGGCCTACTCAGTATATGCAAGAGTAAGATAATTCGAAACACTTTTAATATTAACTTTTTCTTTTATAAAATATTATTACAAAAATTATAAGCCGGCGAAAAAGTTGCAACTTAAATAATTTAAATAAAAAGTTTAATCAATATTCTAATTCAAGTTATGAGACGGCAAGCAGACCGCCAGAAATACTTATAAGATTAATTAATATACTTAAAGGGTCTCCAGTCCGAAGGATTTTGTTCTTGTGCTTGTCTTTTGTGCTTGTTAGAAATTTAAAAAATCTAACCACATTGAGTCCATGTCGAGATTTTATAATTTTTATATGTCTACAAACAAAAAGAGTAGCAAATATTTCTATAACAGAAATGTTCCATGTTTTGTCAATTTTCATATTAAGTCCCTTAAAAGCGGCTGACCGTCAACGGGAACGAGTATCACCGGTCATGTCAAACGATGGCCAATAAATAAATTCACCGCGGGGAACCATTTCACAGTGTTTACACAATGCTTTGCAAATATTTGTGTACAATAAATTCGACAAGGGTGATTTAATGAAACCAAAACATTTTGGGGTTGGTTATGGAGTATAATATTCCTTTATGACAGCCGCAATATTTTATGAAATAAATCAGAACTGAAAATAGAGCGGCTACTATAATTTAACTAAATTGTTGCTATTTATATATTTTATTTATATATTTATACAGTGGCACATCGTTTCCCTTTAGCTTTTACTTTTACCACGAGCCAAAAAGACTCACATAACCTCTTATCCTCTTTACTAACCCTTTTCTGTGTCCTGGATATAAAACACCTAGTCCTTGTCTCTTTAACCAAATCAAGCATCTGCTAGTACCAATTCCTCTTAAGCCTTAACATCCGCTTGCCTTTCTGGAGATTCTTAGGTATATCCTTTATATCGCGGATAAAGGATACTTACAAGAATTTCCAGAAATACTTCTTTTCTCGGTTAAAAAATTAGTTTATGTTCATCCGCATTTAAATCCACTAATGACTTGAGGAATACTCGAACCCACTTGGGAAGGCAGAACATCACCCAAAAAAAATTAAAAGTTATCTTGGCTTTAGAGTCACATTATTAACTCAAAAATAAAAAAATGTATACTGGTTCTCAGCCCTGGGCTCATGATATTTGAATTCTATTTACTTATTATTTAAAAATCTACCTTATTTTTTTTTATTTCCAGTATAGAAACATTGCGCATTGAAGTACCTAAACGAAATTAATTTTATTCTCAATATTCCGAAAATATTTTTCTTTAACTTTCTAATGAAAAATAAATTAAACAACAATATGGGATCTTAAATTCGATAGCATATATATAAAATCTTTACGCAAAGTTGACCAAACCAAAACTTCACGTGTACAAGTCGTCTTTAATTAATGTTCTACAAAAAGTGTTGTAAAGTAGATAATTATTCGTACTCTATCCATACCTTTTCCGAAAGCTAAATCTAATTTAATTGGTATCTTATCATTATAGCATGTTAAAATGTCGTTAGCACTTGTACGGCCTTAGATTTACATATAAAATTTTTGATTTCAGTAGATTAACCTAAAAATGTCGAGTATAATAAAGATTTTTAATAGAATATTCGATACAATTTTATGATGTTAATCTTTGAATCTCCGCATTAATATGATATTATACTTAGGATTCGGATATTATAGCTTCGGCTTCGCGCACGTACGAGTATATACATACATACGTATATGCTTAGACTAGCTATACACCAGTCTAGATGTCATTTTACAGTTTGAAATTAAACACAAATTAATAATAATATCGGTAATTTTAATACTCAATAATCTTCTTAAACTTTAATTATTCGAGTTAAAAATTTTTTAAATATATTGAAAGTTATCCGTTTTTTTTTTTATGTACTGTTGATGACTCGTCCTTTGAATGTTTTGTGTTATAATTACATTAAATAAAAATTATAGTCTAGGAAAAAAACATATCTGTAGGATATCTCAGGAAAAGCCAGCATCATGTTAAAATTTTTATATATTTTAACTAGATTTAGTAGTTACAATATATTAGAAAACACTAATTCTCAACAATTTCACGGATCGCATCCACCCCTGTCAACTCCCCGCCGATCAATGCCGTTTTTTTGCTTTTCTAGTCTTTCTAGTTGTATTTGTATTTCTTCCTTATTTCATTTTTTTCTGCCTGGCAATTCTCCTGATTTTTAACTGCCTGATTTATAAAGGTATCTGTAATTTGTGCACTCACGTCGTCAGTGTAGCATAATCAATTAATGACCGTCTTATTATACACACGAAACTTTACATAACTAAAATTTGATAAGATTATTAAGTACGTACTGTCAGGTGATTTTTTCCAAAAAACACACACAGACCTCACTCTGTACTAAAGAAATAAAATCTAGCGTTCTACCGAATCCAAAAGCAATAGATAATTCTAGTGCTTTTGATTTGAAGAGAAAGTTTTAATAAAGCCGTTATTAGTTCAAATATTAAATTTTAATTTAAGTTATGTTCATAAAAATAAATACAGTAAAATGCCAAAAAAGTGACACAGTTTTCTTATAACAAAAAAATACACTTAGGTACGATTATATAATCTGCGATAATAAAGGGCTAACGGCGTAGGTAGATCTTACTGGAAGTTCAACGCTCTGGCGGAAAACTTCGAAACATCATCTTTCCACGGATGCGTACAATTGCAGTTCAAGTTAGTCCGAGAAATAAAATACTTTTATAACTTTTGATAGCAATTTATAGTCAACTGATGGTATATGTATACCTCATCTTAAATGGAGTTATATAAACTCTATTTGACTTCGGGAGAAAGAAAGTTATGAAAATATTTAAAGTTTTTAAATATTTTAAATTTTATCTAAATAATTAAAAGTTTAAAAGGATATTAGCAAATACTTATGTCAAAATACCATTTATTATTTATATCCGTCCCATGTTGTACCTAGTCTTTGTCCTTGCCACAGTTCATCGAAATCTATTTATCAGTCTAAGTAATAAATATACAGACATCCTTACTTTGACATTTAAAGTATTACTAGAAATTTGAAATTATATTTTAATTACTTTTTAATTTATTTTTGAAGTTATCTTAAAGGGAAATATAACATCAATTATTCGTATTAAAAACGAACATCGCTATCTAATCAACCCTCCGCAGTCGCAAAGTATTACAACTTCAACAGTGTTTAATTAAAATTTTCAATAAGCAGTAAGGGCATTTCCTTCCCAATCTAACCCTTGTTCCCTTCCGTGCCATTAGCCCCCTGCGGCTCGTCACGTCATCCACGTGCGAATCGTACGATTATATCGTTATTCTCCCCCTTTCAAAAATCTTTGCATTGCGCATTTTATTACTAGACGTGCTATTGAATCGTGACAATCTGTTAGCCTGGTTAATTTATTGTATGGAATTTCATTACATTTTATAAGTAAAAAAATACTAGATGGACTTGCCTTATAAATATACAAGTATGCGATTTTTTCTTGATTTGTGTATGTGTTCATACATTTGGATATTAAACATTACATATTGCCTCGCGTACTCATGTCTTATTAGATCAATTTTAAGATTGCATATTTCCAGTGATAACTCAATGCACTTATCTGATGAATGTAATTCTTTGGTAATGCTGAAAACCCATATATCATACCTATATGTAAAGAAAGTCAGAATTTGCGTGATACTTATGTATAATGAGACTACTGGAACGCAAACGAAGTCATGGGTAAAATTTCAGTAATTAAAGTTGGCAAGCTGCCAGCAAACTGGGCTATATCTAAAGCCTTGCTGGAGTACTGAACCTACTGATTTTATCGTAATTTATTACGACCGTATATAAACTTATTTAATGAGGTCGCTAGTAACATATTTTATTTTGAATATCTGTTATGAAATAATATGTACTTCAAATACATAAAGCAAAACAATAAATGAGAAATAAAATAAATAAACTTCGATCTGAAGATATTGTACAACTTACTTCTAAAAGAAGACTTTTACAAACAAAAGGAATTAAGTTAATATGTTATTCTTAAATACGTTTCAGGGGAGTCGCGGTCGCTGCAGGTGGATGGTGTTGCGTTTGAACGAGCGACAGAACTCCTGCAACGCTCTCCTGAATTCACGGTGCTCGCCACATTACGCCAGGAGCCCGCTAACTCCGGCACCATATTGTCATTTTCGCACGGATACAACAGGTACTTTATGTTTGCCTGTCCCTAGCAACAGATAGCAAGATCCAAAAAAAACATATCGTTCATTTACTTTTTTACTTTGTGATATCTTTAGAATATTTAACTAGCCTTTGGATCTTGTAATGATTCGTACTTATTTATAAATTTCAAAAAAATCATCTGTTTGTGTTATCTGTTATTTTGCATGAAATATTTGTGTTCATGTTTATAGTATACATTAAGACTTAGAGTTATATAAGCATACAAAATTATGAATTTATATTTGGAATCTTGATCATTGTACGTTGATAAAAAATATAAAAGTCTTATTGAGATGATTAATACTATATTTACATATCTAATAAAACTACCGTTTGATGTCGGGTAGAAAACCGGCATGAGCAACCGGCGCGGTCGGCAGCCGTGCAGCGCGCGCCCCAGCAGGCCCCGGAGCTCGGCGACGCTCACCGGTAAGTTCTAGATCTCAACATCGCTGCGCGCGCACGCATGCTGCTTCTGAGACATTCGTGCGCGCGCATAGGGGAGAATCATGTATCTTGGAATGTCCTGTGCCTCGGAATGCCCTCCTCGATCCATTTGTTAACCTCATTGCGCTCACTGTGACCTCTGCATGGCCGTATGTGTACGCGAGTCGACTTGCATGTGTCCTCCGCGCCTCCTCCGCCGTCGTCCGTATTGTGTTCTGTGTCTTGACGTGTTTTGTTCTATAACTGTCTAACTGTCCCCTTATAATCCGTCTTTCAATGTTCATCTGGGTGTTGTTGTTAGTCGTACCGCTGCGGGCCCGCGTCCGCTTTGATAACTCACTGCCGGGCTCCGCACTTGCATTCCAAGCGACATGGGAATCAGTAACTGCGCATTTCAATCTAATCTGGTCAATCGGGTTCAGACTAGCTCATCGCTCTGACCGGAAGAGGTTGCCGGCCATCAGTCGCACGTCGGTCGACGCCGAATCTCCCTCCAGAATTTCCATCTGCGATCGGACATCGCAAATCGCGTTCTCCCTCTGGCTTTCCATCAGACACTTAGTAGCTCTATTGACACCGAACGCGATTCGTTCCGAGGTACATGGTCCCCTTCCCGAGCGAGCGATATTGAGATGTAGAGCGAGCCGAGGCCAGCTCGCTATCGGTTTGCCGTCCCACCCCGTCTGCCGTCCGAGTATATATGTTGTTTGTTTATGTGTACCTCGGAACAGTTCGCTCGGAGGGAGGTTCCGAGAGCGCGGCGACGGGTTTTCATACTCAGTAGCTATGAGGCTGTGCAATGCGCAGGTACTTGGAGTTGCAGTCGAGTGGTCGGCGCGACGAGGTGCGGTTACACTACGTGGCGGCGGGGAGCGCAACAGCTCGCGTGGAGACCTTCCCGTTTCGTTTAGCGGACGGCGCGTGGCACCGCGTGGCATTGGCCGTGTCAGGCGCGCAGGCCACGCTATTAGTTGACTGCCACCCGCTCTACCGTCGCCTTATACCGCCACCTGATCGCAATTTCACCCAACCTCAACTCTCGTTGTGGGTTGGACAGAGGAATAGTAAACATTCTTTATTTAAGGTGAGCAAACATTTTACGCACTTATTGCAGTAAACAGTAATTTCATAAAGTTATTCTATTATAAACTAGATATATTCTTCTTTGTAACAATGTTTTAAAAATATTTCTAGGGAACTATACAAGAAGTAAGACTAGTGAGCGGACCTCATGGTTATTTGGTGCAATGCCCGGGTCTGGACTCCGAGTGTCCAACCTGCGGGCAGTTTGCACTACTTCAAGCTACAGTACAAGAACTTACTTCGCATATCCATGACCTATCACTTAAGGTAACTGTTATGGTTTTTATTTAAATCCAAATATCTAATTTTAAATAATAACAAACATCAGATAAACAGTCCATCTATTTAATGAAAAAAGACCTCTCTTTTTATCACTTGCATAATACATTTTTGGGATAAAAATTATTGTATGAAATGTACGCATCATATGGTGAAGTTAATCACTGTGAAGTTAACCTAATTTAAGTGGCTGTTTTAGTTGGTTGGTACTGAAGCCAGGCTGGCGCGGCTAGAGCAGTGCGACTGTCAAAAGTCATGTTACTCTAACGGCACAGTACACGCTGATGGTGCTACCTGGCAAAAAGACTGCAATCGATGCTCCTGCGTGGTAAGATTTAACTATAAAAAATATTTACATTATACCATTATTTAAACAATAAAAATAACTGTAAATTAAGTTTTTCGTCTTTGATGTTTTTAATGGAAATAATAAAAAAAACTAAACACAACAAACTAACACTTTATGAAGCTGCAACTAGTAGTAGAACATAATGGTTTCTTCAATTTTAATTTTTCTTCTTGTATATATATAATTTCTGCTTTAATTTTTGTATACAATAATATAATTTATTTCAATTATAGCATGGTGAGATTACGTGCAGACCAGTAGAGTGCGATAGAGCAGAGTGTAAAAATCCAGTATTGCATCCAGGAGAATGTTGTCCTACTTGTCTTAGTAAGTCGTTTCATATCGAGGTCATTATTAGGCACAACTATGATGAAAATTGTTATAGATGTCATAAAATTTTAAATATTTACTTTGAACTAGTAGAACTAGTTTAGTCGCTTTTTTATTTGAAATCGTTTATTTGAATTTTTACTTCAGGATCATATATAAGACTATATCTATCACATCATGGACCTTCCTGCAAGTTCAGAGATGGATGATTCGTCTTCGTTATATAAAGAGTATATTCCTAGTTCAGTACCTAACGTACGCTAAGTCCTTCCTCTCTTGCCTCTCTTGACCGTAAATATATCGAATTTTTACTACGCTTTTGTTTCATCCCCTATTTAATGTTTACAGGGCAATGTCTAATGAAGGGAACGCTTTACGAGCATGGAGAGCGTTCCGCGCCGAAGGAATGCGCGGAGTGCGTGTGCCACGACGGTAACATGCAGTGCACGCGCATTGACCCCAAGACCGAATGTCCGCCGCTACCGTGCGACGCGCCCGACCAGTTCACAGTGCCCGGGGAATGCTGTAAATTTTGTCCAGGTATAATAACAATTAACAATACAACGTACTGTTCTAATGCATGTAACGTAAATTGCAAATTATGTAATACTGGCTTTCACACATTAGTTCCTAACAGTAGCCTATATGTTACTCCAGGTATAACATGATATATCTATATACTCGTACTACATATCTAATCCAAACCTATCCAACCGTTTCAGCGTAAAAGTGTACAAACATACACAAAAAATGAACTTTCCGATTTATAATATAATAGTAGTCCGATAAACTAGTTGTATTATGGTGCGAAATAATTATTTTAAAATGCTTTATTTAATTTCAGGTGTGGATTATTGCAGTATGGGTCATTCGTGTGACGAGAACGCGATGTGTATGAATCTCAATACAAAATACACTTGTAAGTGCAACCAAGGATTTCAGGGAGATGGGATCACGTGTGAAGGTAGAGAAGTAGTTTCATATACATATATGTCAATATATTTTGATCATACATTAAAACCTACAACCTTAGTTTAATATACATACATTTAAGTTGATATATAAATTTTGTCTAACAAAAATTTGTTGTAATGCGACTGCGCTAACCGATTAATTCTTAAGTACAATATAAAATACATTAAACTACGATAAGGTAGTAGTAGCCTTTCAACCGCGAACGCAATAGCCATTAGCGCATAATTCAACAACTAAAACACACCTTTTCATTTAGTTCTTGCACTGCTAACCAAATCTTGTTCAAATATAATAATAAAATCTACACTATTATATTTGAACATTTGTTCATTCAAATGTTTTCCATTATTATAATTATTTCATTTTTTTTATTGTTCAAACTTCAGATGTGGATGAATGTCAAAGAGAAGGCGGGCGCGAAGGCCACCACTGCCACTCAAATACCAGCTGCGTCAATGTGGTCGGCGGCTATGTGTGCCAATGCCTGCCCGGATACACCAGACGGGACAAGTTCAATTGTGCTGAGGTAAATGTAAAATTAACACATTTTAAACCAAATATACATCTGAATATAATACCAATAAGTAGGTACCTACTTTTTTACTAAAATTTAACAAATTTCAAAATTATCATAAAATAATTATATATTAATAATAATTCTAGGGTGTTCTTCGATTTATAAGTATATTATATATAAGAGACAATATCAACAACTAAATTCATTATAAAAGAGTAATTAAAGTCAAAGAACAAAAAGCAAAGATAATTAACAATAATACAAAAAAATACATGTGAGAATCTCCATCCTTTTAAACCTTCAATATGTCTGATGTACATATTTTACTCCTAAAATTTATTAAACTTACATGTACAGGTGGACGAGTGCGCGAGCGAGACACACGGCTGTCACGCGCAGGCCGAGTGCCGCAACACCCCCGGCTCGTACTCGTGCCGCTGCAGAGAAGGCTACTCCGGCGACGGGTACACATGCTCACGTGAGTATTACTCGTGTTTCTTTACTATAACTTTATATGTTCTTGATTCTAATTAAATAAAATTACTTTAATAAAATGTAAATTTAATTAATTAAATAAAATGTTATTGGTAACGAGTAAACACATTTTAGCTTTACTCCGACACATTACAGTTGTTAAGCTTTGCCAGGCTATCGAAGCTCAGCCCTTGTCTCGGGATACATTTCAACTTAGAAGTTTAATACTCAACCGATTTAAATAAAAGACGGAAGCTTTTAAGTCCATATGCTTTAATTTGAATAATTTGCGATGTATACCTAATATACTATAACATGGTTCCGATGCCATGTGCGAATAATTTGCGATGTATACCTAATATACTATTTGAGCGATAGTATGTTTTATTACAAAAATTAACAACGGATCCACTGGAATGCCCTCAGCAATATGCACAGGCGGTTGTTTGAATGGCGGTGTGTGCGCGGCGCCCGACCATTGCGCGTGCGCACGCGGGTTCGTCGGCGCGCGCTGCGAGCGCGACGTGGACGAGTGCGAGCCGCCGCCGTCCTCGCACCCGGCGGCGGGCGCGCCCTGCGTGCCGCGCGCGCTCTGCGTCAATACCCCCGGCTCGTACTACTGCGTGTGTCGCGACGGGTATAGACGGGACCCGCATAGAGATCACTGTGAAGGTTATACGAATATTTTTAATAATGCCATGATATAAAAATGATAAAAATCCATACAGTATGTGGTTGTTTCTTTAAAACTATAAACACAATCTTTTTATGACTCCTTGTTGATATCGGTAATTTAAACTTTTATTAAGTCCATATCATAAATTATGCCCAAATGGGACGCCCATAAGCCACAGAACAAAAAACATTGAACATTGAAGTGCATATCATATTAATTTATAATAATTATTAGAAAGATTTAATAATATTATAACTAGTCTTTTATTTATTTAAATTGTATATTATACGATTTTAATTTCAGATGTAGATGAATGTGCTGAGGGCTTCCACACGTGTCATCCGAGCGCTCGATGCGTAAATATAGAGGGAAGCTTCAGATGTGAATGTGACACACAGGAATGTGAACTTAGTAAGTCAAGAAGAAATAATACCTACTAACTTCTACTTTACAAGCTCGGCCCGCGCCAACAACTTTATCAATGACTGAAGCCATAAAATAAAGAAAGGTTCAGTCGCTGCAACCTTAATCTCGGTGCGCGTTACTACAATAAAAATTTCTGCATATTAAATGATAACATACACTAAAGTTTGTATTAAAGTTAACAAATAAGAGAATTTTACGTGATGTAATGTGCACGCTGAAGAATACAAGATTGATCTTCGCATGTATTGGATGCTATTTTATGTATTTAATAATTTTCAGGTTGTTCATGGCAAGGACAAATAGTATCGGACGGCGCGCGCTGGACAGAGGCGGGCGGGTGCCGCGCGTGCGCGTGCCGCGCGGGCGTCGCCGCCTGTGTGCGCGCGCCCTGCGCCTGCGACAGAGACAATACCTCACTAACTGTGAGCCTAACGCTATAATTATTTATTGTTTTACTTTATAAAAACCTGCGACGATCAGAGAGTTTCCAGAAATTAGATCTTGTCTAGATTAATTTAGTATAGCTTTCATTCTTGTTTCTCTTTAGATTACCAATTTTCAATATTACTAAATAAAAATTGTAATATGTATGTCGTGTCTATCGCATACTTAAAATAATTTCATCCCAACAAGAAATACCTACTATAAACAGAGATTCACCTGATAAGTGATCATACCCACAATTTGCCTAGTTAAAATTTCAGATTCCTAGTACATTATCGCCGCTGTCGCTGTCGCCGGCGCCGGCGGCGTGCTGCCCGCACTGCGACGCGCGCTTCCACTGCCGCCACCAGGAGATGCACCACGTCACGTTCCGCAGCGGAGAGCGCTGGCTTTATCAATGTCAGATCTGCGAGTGTCTTGTATGTACATAACATTTGTCTATATTTCTATTATAACTAGATTTGATGAATCCGATTGAGGTTTCAAAACAGCTAACATGAACTAATATTATTATTTATATGATAGGAAACTGGCTATTTGTGTGTTGAAAACCAAGTAGTGCGGGTTCAAATCCCGGATCTGATTGACATATCTAATATTTTCATGTGCGAATAATTTTTGACTTAATTACCTACCACTCGCCTTACGATGAAGGAAAACATCGGTTGGAAACATGAATGTTTGAGAGAATATAGCAAGTTTTCAAGAGACACGTGAATTTGACCAATCTGGTTAAGATCTGATCTCTCTTGAGTTAAGGGAAGGCCTGTGCCAAGAAGTTGGAATAGCAGTGGGTTAAATTGAGCTGAATATATATTCTAATAACACAAACCTATGTTTCAGCTGGGTGAAGTTGATTGTTGGGAGCCTGAGTGCGAAGAGGGCGCGGAATGCTGCCTGGGGGGTGTAGGACTGCCGGCGGGCGCGGCGGCGGGGGACGCGGGAGGGGAGGGGGGCGAGGCAGAGTGGCGCGCACCGCACCGCCTCGAGCTTGCGGGTTGCGCGCCGCCTCACTGCCCCACGTGCCAGGTACGTATTACAACGAACGTACATGGTGATTCTTTCACAACACAACACACACGCGAAAACTGGAGAAAACTTAGCTTAACTACTAATTTAAGTGAACCAAGATGACTAGTGTTATGAATTTTGTTTCAATTTTTCAACGTCGGGTGTACGTAAATACAATAGAAGCCAAATTAAACTAAAATAAATTAACATAATCACTATTTCTTTACTTTAAAAAATAAGCAGTAAATTTCTAGTCCTCATACTTGTATAAGTCTACAATATTTATTGAAGGATTTGAATTTTCATAAAATTTTTTGTATAATGTGAACATAATCGTACACGTACTTACATTATATACTAGGGCAATGTCAGTTAGGTACCAAGTATTATTTTTAACAATACAAAAAATATCAAGGAATTACTCTGGATAAAAATACTCTTCGATCGTAACATTAAAGTTTTTGACTCTTGATCTATTTTCACTTTATAGCCTGTGATTACAGAATAATCAATTACTACTCATATATTTATAAAATAGAATCTTGAATACGTCAAATTATCCAGCTTCAACCATTAAATTCAATTACTAAGATCTATCTACAGGTAAGTGAAGCTTGATGACGCATTACGAACATTCCATCAGGTATCGTGTGAGATTGATAAAAACGCTTGCTGATACTATTTTCGCTTATATTAACATTTGTGTGCAGCGCCGGCTTTAGGGAAACGGGAACTATGTAATGATATTAGTAGACGGTTTCATTACAAAGGATTGTGGGACATCTTAAAAAAAAGAAACAAAATGTCGGGAACTGGGAAATGTCTAAAATATAAAAAATATATCCAAAAATATAATAGAAGCTTATATTTTGTTATTGTTAATGGTCCTCCCTAAAGCCGATACTGTGTGTAACTAACTAAGCTTCGGCCGAGTGCGCTTGGCCGGTGTAAAGTGAAGACGGTTTCCGCTTGTTACAGGGCGGGCAGTGTGCTACTTTGGTGAGCAATCTCGCGTGTTGTGTGCATCGGTAACCATCCCCACTCTTCTTACTCATTCATACATTGCTATATTAACAGTTTTTATTTGTGCTTGTGCCTTCTTTTTAGTAACAGTCAAAAAAAATTGACCATCAAAGTATTTTTGGTAAAAAATGTTAAAAAATAATCGTTATAATATTCTCTACATGTATGTAAGCGAACCTTCTCGGTAACTAATATTAATCTTTTTTTCGTTCTATATGTCATAACAATACCAGTAATTACACCTTAGACGGAGAGAACTATTCTCCGTCTATGTTATACACTAAACAGAAGGCAAGTCATTTCAGGTGTCATTATGTTGCATGTTCCTTTTATCGAATCCTCGTCTCCATTACGCATGGTCGTTTTTTAAAATGTTTATCGTAATATAAATTCTCTATATTCCATTTAAAATTGCAAAGCATGGTGATATACTAGCCATATCATATTTTATATCTTTAAAATTTCATTTTATTTCAGCTATTATTTCATTTGCCTTAGGTTCAATTTCAATTTTTCAGTACAATTTTATATAGTTTTCCCGTAAATGTTGTTGACAGAATAGATTAAAGCATTTTTATAACATTTTCGCGTATAAATAAACCTACAATTTACATTTCACTGTGTTAAACGATTAGATTATAGATCATATTTTGTATTATACTTGACTGCTATCCTTAATTAACTTATTACGAAGGTTCTTTTTGTATTTTTTTTTGTATATTTGTAAGTAACAACGAATTACACACAAAATAATAAGTTTACGTGTAATAAATACATTAGTTCCTATTTGTTAATATAAATGTATTTTATAATGTATTTTATAATTTTATAAAAAATAATTTGTAATATTATAGGTATTCTTTGTAATATGTTCATTCTGGAAAAGTGGTGCTGTATAAAATTCTGGCATCGAGTCTGTGCCAGAGACATTGTGTCCTTAATCGTAGAAAATGAGTTTTAAATAGCGCGCTGTTGATCTCATACTAGCAACAAAATATCTTGATGTCTTAATTTATGGCGATAATTGGTTATTAAAAAAAATAGGTATTTTTGGACTAAATTATATTATATTTACAATTATTATTTTAGTTACTTTAATTATAGTGGAAAGATATGATTAAGTACAATTACTACATATATTTACGTTTTAAAATCATAGATTTTTAGTCTAAGAACCCGATCTATGTGGTGGACCCTTCATTATTTATCCAGGCCAAATATATTTTACAAACAATAAAACATATTAAAAAGCACGACGTAGGTAGGTACCCATCTGGGCACCTAGAGCAATTTTTTGGTGACAACCCTCCTGGGTCGTGTTTGTTAATATTTTATTGTTTAAAAAATATATGTCGCCTGGAAAAAGAGTGAGGGGTCCACCACATAGATCGGGATCTCCTACTATTTGTAGTTAGTGTATTATATGTGTAGATAGGTAGATATTATGTAAATACGAGCATATGCAACTAGTAGATACCTATCCCTATATGGAGGCTAATAACTAATTATCATCACAATGAGGGCGTCAAGATATTGCCATGTTATGATATGAGTAGCGCGAGCACGCACCCAGCGTGACGTAGCTAACGGCAGGCGTATTGCGCAGAGCGCGGCGCGACGTGACGGCGGCGCTGGCGCTGGCGGCGCTGTGGTGGGGCCGCGTGCCGCACCCGCACCGCAAACACCGCGGCGCGCGGCGTTAGAGCCTCCCTGAGCCACCCACGCACACCCTATTTATTCTAGATAGACCTAATCTTAACCAATTGACGCGGGCGCGCTTCGCTCCCGGCCTTAACTGAGCGAGCGCGCCCGTGCCCGGGGACGCGTGCCACTCGATCGACGGACGCTTAAGCGTTATAGCAATATTATAGTTATCGTAGGTTATAGAAGCGTGCCGCGAAAGTAATGCCTTTTAGTGCGGTCGCCGCGTCGAGCGACACGCCTCCCCGGGCTTTGCGACCTCGAGCGACGTCCGCCTCGGTCCGCCGCGCGTGTGAATGTTGGGACGTGTGTGAATCTCAGAGAGAGTGAGGATGGCGGCGGGCCGACGACGCCTCGCATCTGCGCCCTCGCGCCCGCGCCTCGACCCCTCCGCATCTGTAATCTTCGAATTCTAAATTATTAAGTACGTTCGCTTATAATTATTATTATCTTAGACTTGTACTATGTAGCTATTGTTGTGAATATGTCTAGCGTCGCCTCGGCCGGGTTGCGGAGGGCGCCAGGTGCGGGGCGCGCGGGGGCGCGGACCGCCGCTGCGATGCGATCTGACCTTCCGCTATTCTATAGTCCTGTAGATACTAAGATTTAAGGGCAATACCGCTGCCAACCGCGCGCCCGCGCCCCTGTTGTACGATTTTTTTTCATAATATATTATAGTTTTTTTTTGTTTGTCTTTATATAGAAATCATTTTCATGAATATTTTGAAAATAACCAAAAATAGGTACCAAATATAGAAAGATATGATTGTTTTTTTTTTTAATTTCAGAAAGCATTAAAATAATGCTTGCATGTTGTATTGTGTTCAAAAAATTATAATTAAAAAAAAAAGATATCCTTATTATTTCGTTTTAATAATTGTACCCACCCCGTAAGTTAAGTTAGTGAAAATTGTTACGATATCAATTATCTGGTCAATAAAATAAAATGTATGACAATAAAACACTTATTTATTTTCCGATACAAATTTTATTTTCAGCATATATAAAAAAATTCTGACAAAATATATTGTACAACATTATGTTAGAAAATTATAACCATTATAAATTTGTTTTTGTATATTTTATATTGGAGCGGGAGCTTTAGGTGCCATTGGTGGCGCGAGGGACAAGAGGGGCGATGACAAGCAAGCGATTCGCAGCGGAGGTGGAGGTTTGAACGCGCTAGTTTTTTGTTCCAACACATTGGTGACGAGAGTATACGCTGCCGCAAATAGAGTCACTGCCTAGTTGTTAATTAAACACATCATATTATACAATTTGAATTATCTTGAACATGAAGTTTTAGATGATGGATGATATGTTATCGAAATCGCGATTAATCTCAAATCTAAATATAATAAAAATTGTAATTTTTAGATTTGGTTTTTATATCAGTACTGGATATGCAGGACTTGAACCCCGACTCGAAAACAGGAATTAATCAATCAACATCATTCCCACAGGTTACCTTTTTTTTTTTTTTAACGTTGGGAAATGCATTTATGCACGACGTGTGGGACTTACCGGCGTAATACAGCCAGTACTACCCACTAAAACCCAACAAAACCTTCCCCCGTCTTAATGGGGCGTCGCAGGATCGCTTACGCATTCAACTACGACGCCCCGACAGCAGGTCCGCCGAAGCAGACCACCACAACCATGGGGTTGCTCCACAGTCCACTCTGCTATCAGAGAAGTACCAGGAGCAACACGCCCCCCGAAGAGGGCCACCTCCCATCGCCCACCGAAGTGGGCAACCTCCCTGTGCGTTTCTTGGCTTCGCGCCCGGTTGGATTGCCGGGCACTACTGAGCTCCCCCACCACGACAAGGTGAACGCACGTTGGGGGGGTCCCACAGGTTACCTACCTCATTACTTACTATACACTTTCTTAAAAAAAACAATTCATTTCGGCCTTTGGTGTGTTATTTAGTTCTAAACTTTCACGGATTTCTCTGTATTGGTACCATTTAAAAAAGCATTTAGAAAAGTATGTATTTACAATAAAAGAAAAGAAAGAAAGCCTGAATAACTAAAAATAATAGCCAAAAACTTAAAAAAAAGTAACAATTGAATCCATACTAATATAATAAATATTAAAGTGTGTTTGTTCGTTTGTTTGTTTGTCTTTCTTTCATGTCGAAACGGCTTGGCGGATTGGCGTAATTTTTTGTGTAGAGATAGTTGGAGGGCGGGAGAGTGACATAGGCTACTTTTTTGCCGCGGGAAATTACCTGTTTCCCACGGGAAAATACGTTATAATACAATCCAGAAAAATATTTATGATCAGAATTACTTGAAACTTGGAATAAATGCTCTTCAATATAATTAATTAAGTAGGTGTTTTAGCATTTTTTGAAATTCATCCCATAAGGGGGTAAAATAGCGAATGAAAATTTGTATGAATTCTCCCAATTTAGTTTTTTGTAGTTTTAGCGCGAGCGAAGCCGCGGGTTCTGCTAGTAACATAGTAAATGTTAACTGCTTATAGTAACATAGTAAATTAAAAGATGAATGTATTTTATTTTTCAGGAACCTAGCTACCAACACTTTGTACCATAATATCTATATGAAATATATTTCAAAGATTTAAAAGATACATTTGCTCACCTTCACAATGATAAGAACGCACCCGAGCACGGCGAGGGAGTTGGAAAACATGTGCAACTCGGCACGCGCTAATCGCACACATCCCGTGCGGTAAAGTGGTGTATCACAATTTTTTTCCGTCTTTAAAAACAGTAAATGAGATCAATATTAGAAAAATGAAGAGGTAATTTAATTTCCTTCTTGCTTAGAACACGATATTCTGACGGTGAGCAGATTCCCTGCCAGCAAATCGCACGACTAATTTCCACTTTAAAATCAATGTTTGTCCTGTAATATTTTGATATATGTACATAGATCAAAGGCTAAAACACAATTACATTTTAAACTGCTATGGCTTGAACAAGTAATGGATAGGTAGGTACTGTGAACTGCTGTCGATAGATTTCAAACAACTAAGGAAATCTAATCACCGCCAAATTTGACAAATAACCGACATAATGTGTATACAATAAATTAAATAAAATACTCATTAACTAATTTGAGATATATAATATTAATGTACTTTATCATTCCGAGCGCGTCCACAACAAGCTGGCGGCAAACTGAATCGATGTTGATACCAATCCGTATGCGAATGCACCCCGCAGCATTTCAGCTATAATAATATCATCATTTCTATTATGTTTAATTATAAAATCATCTTGATCTAGATTTTCTCTCAACATACTAAATCATAAATAGAGTAATGAATTGCCATATCCTTAATATGTTGTTTTTTTTTCGTTTGTCTGTTTTATTGGTTTTTTTTTTGTAATTTATTTCTTCTCTTAAATACATATACCTACACTTATTCTACCCATCTATATGCACTTACATACATAAGGACTTTTCTTTTTATGTATTTTCTATCTCTGTATGTAGCTGTGGATTTTAGTTTGATTAAATAAATTAATTTTGCAATGTTTTGCCTACCTCTAATTGCATAGAAGCAAATGCGTCTTTAACTTCTGGATAGAATTTTTCGTACGACATAGCTCGTTGCATACTAGCGTTCAGAGAATTTGTATCCTTTACTACCCGAGACAGGTTTGTTATGGACGATATGCCGGTAGAAAGAAGCATCATACCAGTTATCAATAGCATCATCAACTGGAAAGAATATAATTTTTTGAAAAGAAAAATATAATATAATACAATATCTAACGAAAATGATAATACAATAGATAAGAAAAATATAATACAATATCTAACGTATAGTGACACATTTTTTTACTGTACTCTCTATATTACATAGTAACTAAAACTTAATCGCCTATTTTTATTCTTTATGATTAAAAACTATCTTTCATTTTTGATACATAGTAAAGATATGTAGATATTATATTTAGTTAATTCACGTATTATGATTAATTTACAAGATCGATAATATTTAACATCTGAAGGTTACTTACGGTAGCTGAAAGTGTGACGGATCTCGGATGATAAGGCACCATAGAGGCCAACCAGCACGCAGGCAAACAGAGCAGAGCGCCCGCTATAAACAACACGCTAACTCCAAGTTCCACGCCTAAGTCCGATGTCCAGAAGTAATAGGACATGCGCAAGAGGCTCCATGCAGTTGACCCTCCAAGTATTGCTCCCCCGCTCTAGTAAAAGAATATACTACATATATAACGATAAACATATGTTTATATCACAAAGATTTTAACCTTACAAACTTTATCAACGTAAGCATTATGAGAGTGATGCAAATGCAAGGAAAATCTTAAATCTAGATCTAGGAAGCTAAAAACAGACGCATACATTTAATTAAAGCTTAGCAAAACTAAATAGCTCACAAGCAATAGCCCTGCACATGAAAATAAAACTAATCCACTGTTTCTCATTTTACTGATTATATTAATATTTTTAGTTTAAATAATTTCTGTTAATATGAAATCTTCAATTTTCATTGATTGACTTTGGATGTCAAAAGATTTTTTTTTACTTAATGTTTTTATAGTTTTTTGTTTCTGAAAAAAGTAAACGAGCAATAAAGTTATATAATATATATGTAATTCAATTTATTACATTTAATTTACAGGACAATTTACATGCTTTTTAGATTATTATTATTCATTTCGCTCAGGCCTCAAGGGAACCTTATAAGTTTTACAGTTTATTTTTCATTATTGAAAAAGAAAGACTACTTGAATACTGAATTCGCTTATACATATTATGTTTTATTTGCTTGTAGGTATATGTATGCAAATATATGTATTTCGACAATCTAATTGTGAACAGGCTTTGATAATGAGGGCCATCGTTTCTGGCGGCCCCGTTGGCGCCACTGGCGAGTAAGGTCCCATCACTATCAGGCAGGCAGGGCTATAAATTTAATATAACATTAATAATAATTGTTAGCACAGCACCAGTTTATTAGGATTTTGTTTTAAGTACATAATTTATATTTAATAACCAAATAGATAAAACATTGACTTTTTCTTAGCTCTTCGTTTAAAGCAATATAACATTTGTTGAGCCGTACCGTGTCTGCCATAATTAATCAGGAATGGCACAAAATTTAAAATAATTATGAAAAAAATTAGTGAAGATCCGCGATGAAAAGCTCGCAAATAGTAAACATTCAGTGTCATTTGACATTTGTAGAGACCTCACTCTACACTAGCGCGTCTCGTGGCGAATTCAAGCGCGATAGCTCTCATTACTTTAAATATTAAATAATAAGTATTTCTTTAAGGATTTTCACATATAAAAATTTAAGAAAAAAATCTCCCCGTAAATGTGTAATAAATAATGTGTAAATTTTACAGAATATTTTTAAAAATCTACAACAACTAGGTATTAGCAGAGCCTTTGTATGATGTAACCTTTTTTTTTTAACATTGGGAAATGCATTTACGCACGAGGTGTGGGACTCACCGGCGTAATAAAGCCAGTATTACACACTAAAACCCAATAAAACCTTCCCCCGTATTATTGGGGCGTCGCAGGTTCGCTTACGCATTCAACTACGACGTCCCGAAGGCAAGTCTGCCGAAGCAGACTACCACAACCATGGGGTTGCTCCAAGGTCCACTCTGCTATCAGAGAAGTACCAGGAGCAACCCGCATGGTACACCGCCCACCGAAGAGGTCCACCTCCCACCGCCCACCGAAGTGGGCCACCTTCCTGTGCGTTTCTTGGCTTCGCGCCCGGCTGGATTGCCAGCCACTACTGTGCCCCCCCACCACGACAAGGTGAACGCACGTTGGGGGAATGTATGATGTAACCTTGCAACAAGTGCTACGTTTAGATAGTTACTAAGTAAACTAAGTTATAATTGCATTTACAGTACTAATCCACTTTCTTTGCAACCACAGAAATCCGTAGGGTAAATAAACATCACACCAAGTACAAAAAAAATCCGATGAGTTCAAATTTATATATTTATTTACTCTATCTTAGGACTAGAAGTATAAGAATGTTTTCTACAATTGTAAAATGTAAAGAAAACAGGGACTGTTCAAAAATAAGCAAAAACGTGTATATAAACAACATCTGTAGTGCTTTTCTGTAAGAAGTTTTATACAATACGATAGTTGGATCCGCGCATATATACTTCATATAAAAGTTCTTTCAGAATAGCACTACTTACTGCAAAAGCTTAGAACGAAACGTTAACATCATTCATTTTTATAAGCTGCGACCATTTATACAGATAAGCCTCTGAACGAAACGGGCTAAATTGTAAAGAAAAAGGACCAGGAGTACTAGGTTACGTAATAAAAAAATAATACTTTTATTGACTTAAAAGATTACATTTCAAGATAGTCGAAAGGGCCCCTGTACTAGGTGGAGACCCGTATTACTGGGTGCCCCGCTCATCCACCAAGACTAGAAAGTCAACAAACAGAGTGAAAACAAAATAAAAATTTACAATTAATTACATATATAAGTTTGCGTTTGAGTGTGTGTGTGTGCATGTGTGTGTGTGTGTGCATGTGCGTGTGTGCATGTGTATGTGTGTGTGTATGTGTGTGTAATATACCTAATTAAAAGTCAATGCAAACAACCTACTAAATGTGTATATACTTACGTTTAGGTACAAAATACAAATAATAAAAAAAAATATAAAAATTAAAAACTCGACGTAAAAACTAAAAAAATAAAAATAAGTTGATAAAGGTACATAGTATTATCACGGTAATGTTATGCATAAACATTACCGTGGTATTATGCAGTCGGATACGTGCATGTTTTATACTTGCTGCCAGTCTTGCTACGTGTACATGGGGCATTCCACTCCAAATCGGACGGTTTTAAAAAATGTTATTTTTTATTTTCTTAATATTTTTGTATTTTTAGTACCCCTCAAAAGAGGCTTCCTGGTAAATTTTGAGATTTTTTGATCACTGGTTCAAAACCGCTCTTTTATTGGTTTTTTTGCTCATAACTTTCTTAATAATGGTCGAATTTTAACTTTTTTTTTCAAAATTTTTGTTTTTGAATGACCTTTACAAAAAAAATGTATTAAAACATTTAAAAAGTTTTAAATCAAGATTTTTTAATTTTTAGTTTTCAATCATGTTTTTAACACTGTGTGTTTCCTCCGATTTTTTTGAAAATTTTCTATTTTTCGTGCAACTTTTGAACCCGGTCCGGTACCACTACCACGCCTTCCATAATTACTATATATTTTTTTTTATTTAAAAAATGAAAAAGATAATTTTTTAAATTCACCTCTGTACTACCACCTGTCTTGGCGAGCACATTCAGCTGTCGGTCTTGCGCCATAGGACTTTGAGAATGAAAGGAATAGAGAGTGCACTTATATTTGCGGGATATTTCCCACATCTACTATTGTGCACTATAATACCTTCTAAATAGGCTAACCTCAGAGAAATTGGCCACCGTGGTCCAAATCATTCAGGAGGACATTATAATTTGTGCTAAGGAGGGAAACAGATCACGTAAAAGAATCTTATGTGATTGTCAGACCAACTAATAAAAAATAAAATATTTAATTTCGAGACTAGACGAAGGAAAACACTTTTGCTTAATGCTATACATATTAAATGAAATTACAAGCATGAAAACAAATCAATTTTAATAATTGCTTTGTTAGTTTCGGTAAATAATCGGTAATGTTCGATTAATATCCATATTATTTGAAAGAACAAATTACATGTAAAAATAAATTAAAAATTGTTATCGCACAGGGTTATAAATAATTGTGGAAGGTGATATTTGTACATTTTATACTTAGCAAGTCTTTGACTTGTTTGCATTATAATCATGAATTATTTATACTGCATACTTTTTATTTACCTTTTACCTTTGTCAACATGTATACAACCTTTACGAACATATGAATTCGGTAAGTTTTTCTTAATGGAGATTAATTTATAAATATTATATATATAGGCGTAAATTTATTCAGCCATAACTTATTTTAGGGGATAATTATGGTTATGTGACATTTGATCGAGCAGGAAATATTGGTATATTGGAGAAGGTCGTTAAAATACCCATTGTTGTAAGTATCTAAATTGTATTTAAATATTTTCACTTATAAATCTAAGAAAGTACCATTGCTTTTATCATTAATTTGTAAATATTAATTTTAAGTAATAACATCAGTATTTTATCACTTGAATAAATATATTAAAATATCACTTAGCTCTCCTAGCTACTATCTGCAGTGTACATATTTTATACACTTCATAACCATCAAAAATTAATCATATTTTTTTAAATTTACTTATTATACATTTTACACTTTTATTACACAAGCAATAAATTATTACAAATATACTTATAAAACCTCTTTATTCATTTAGCTACCTCCTTGCAAGAAATTAACCTACGTACGTGTTGATATCGACAACTTGATTTCGACTCCTGAAGTAACTTTTGATAAGAGCATGTCCACCGTGACCATCTCATACGCACGAGTTTCATATAGCAAATCGAGATACTGGGTCACAGCTAAATCTATCCCAGATGTCCACTGCTTACTGAAGCATCAAGGATGAAGCAGTTTCAAGAAAACCAATAATTGTATTTTAATGAAATCCAAATATCTATAAATATACGTCTAAAATAATAATAAAAAATGTAATAATAGATATTTGTATTACTCATAATCCCATTCATTTTAGGTGGATATTAATATAGAAAGGAAATTGATTGTTCGTGTGGCCTGTATCCATGTATGTATGTTTATATGTATGTCCTAGCATTGCCAGCAGCTCCGCCCGCGTTCCGATGACCAAAATACTAATGCTTAGGTTTTACATATTAGTATATTCTTACATTGCAGTTTTTGTATTTTTTTCTCAGAAATGAGATATTTTCCTGCATGTTGACCCGGATAACCAGCTTTCAACATACCAAATTTCATCAAAATCCCTTCAGTGGTTTTTCTGCGATGCGGTAACAGACAGACAAGACAGAGAAAAATTCTAAAAACTGTAGATTTTGCCTTTTGCCTCTGTATCGATAATAATGTTTATTATTATCGATACAGAGACAAAAGCCTCTGCCTCGGTGGTGTAGTGGCTAGCATGTACGGCTGCACACCCGGAGGTCCTGGGTTCGAGTCCCGGGTCGGGCCAAGTTTAGTTATTGAGTCTTCCTGTATAGTAAGTCTCAGTAACAGCCCGGAGTTGGGAAGTTGGCGGTGTTTCACCCCCGTGCCTCGGAGAGCACGTAAAGCCGTCGGTCCTGCGCCTTAACTCTCACCGGTCGTGTCGAGTGGTCGTCCCACCGGAGTATGAGAGTGATAGGAATAGAGAGTGCCTTGTGTCTGCGCGTACACTTGAGCACTATAATATCTCCTGCGCAGTTGGCTAATCTCATTGAGATTGGCCGCCATGGCCGGAATCGGCTAGGAGAACATCAATGTTTATTTCAATAAGATTTTCCAAAAAATATTTAATATACAGATTCGGGTTAGTTACAATTTTATTATATGTATAGATTTCCGACTGCATATATGTAGGTCGAAATTAAGACGTGTGTGTGTGTTGAGATAAACATGAACAATATATTGAATTTAAACAATTCTAAATGTTATAATTTTAAAAATTAAGTTTATGGTCACGAAATGCCCAATTGAATAAAAGTGAACTGGAAAGACGTAATATAAAATGATTGATGAAAAGAAGTCAAAATGTAGAATAGTATAATGCATTTCAAAATTGGATTTTTATGTTTTGGTAATATATTCTATATTATATTTTTAATAATATATTTAGGTACCTTATAATTTAAATAACCGTTATCTATACATATAATAAAATTGTAACTTAGCCGAATCTGTACATTAAATATTTTTTGGAAAATCTTATTGAAATCGACATTATTATCGATACAGAGGCCGAATCTATAGTTTTTAGAATTTTTGTCTGTCTGTCTGTCTGTTACCGCATCACGAGAAAACCACTGGACAGATTTTGATGAAATTTGGTATGGTAATAGCTGGTTATCCGGGTCAACATATAGGATACTTTTTACCGCGGGAAATATCTATTTTCTAAGAAAAAATACAAAAACTGTATTGTAAGAGTACATATACTAATTTATAAAACCTAAGAATTTGGTTTTTGGTCATCTAAACGCGGGTGGAGCCGCGGGCAATGCTAGTTTTACATAATTTCTTTTAACAATAGTGGTCAAAGTCAAAGTTTAAAAAAAAACAAAGAGGTTTTAATATTTATATTAAATGACTACTAGAAAGAAGAACGTCATTTAGCTGTATAGGTCCATTCCTAGTGGATTTTGTAATATGTTTATAACAAAGATTTTATAGTTCATCACTGAAGTTTATTACGAGCTTAAGACAGTCAGTTATTATTCGTGCATTGTCCTTCAATCTATTCAATAAAAATGGAATGCTCTTCGTTGGTAAGTGCATGATTTGAGAACGGCTGGATTGATTTGGTTTATTTATTTGTTTTTTAATTTTCGTAATAGTCCGAGTACGATTTTGAAGGTAAAAAGTTTTGAAAAAAAATCCGAAAATTCGGGAAACTAAGTTTCACCATATAATGCTTTATACCTATACAATTTTACACAGGAGAACTGTCTGTCGGGTTAGCTACTAATAAATAATAAGATAATGGCAGAAATGATTTAAAGATCTGGTAAAAGAAATAATTATAAAGAGTTTAGATAAAACATGCATCCGTTGCGTGAACGCGCCTGCGACAAACTGCTCGAGCATCCACTGTTGCGGACACCGCCTCCGGAGCCAGAACGACCTCGGCCGCCGCGTGTGCGCAAGCCAAGGGAATTCAAACTTGTTAGTTTTATGTTATTTCTAAACTAAAACGAATACATAACTCTTATTTGAACATCGTGTTAGTCTAGTAGAAATGAACGCCATGATATTTACCTACGTTTTCTTCTAATTTCTTGGCACAAAGTACCTATCCATTATATAGTGACCCCTTTAAAGGACGGATATATTTTTAACCGAAACCGCGACCGCAAAAACTAAGTTATCGTTTTAAATATGAGATTCTTTGTAGCCTTAAAACATCCTAACGCCTAGATAAAATTTTATTCAATAAGATCTATCTGTGTGTATGTTTTTTACTTGCTGTTATATTTGCTACAATTCTCCAACAATAATTACTTGTAAATTTATAATATTTTGATTGGACACTTCTTTACAAACTCGATTAATTTATCCAGCTTTGTAGTTCGCTTTTCAAGCGGTCGATTTTTTTTCCTTTAATTTAATGTCATAAGTATCAACTTTCAAAATTCCATTTCCGTAATATACTTAGCAACATTTTTTTTCATTATTTTAATAATCAAACTTAGATAATTTTCCTAATAATAATATAATACTTTCAGCCCCCTAGGTTTCCTTTACTCTCAAAAGATTTCTATGCTATGTGGTGTAACCATCAGAAGGAGGTAACTTTCATTGTATCTAAGAAAAAGTATTTTAAGATAAGACATCTGTATAGAGTATGCTAATTTTTTTATAGCTGCAAATGTCGAAACACAAAGTAGACGACCATCCACCAGAACTTTTTCCTGAATTATATTTAAAACCACGTCGGCTCGACTATTACGCACGTCAACTTGAAGAAAATATGAATGTAAATAAGGAGTTACTGAAAAGGATTAATTTGATACAGAGAACAGGCGTAAGTTTTTTTATTTGTACCGCAAGTACCTGGGAGACCGAGCTTCGCTTGCAGTTTTTGGCCAAAAGTACAATTTTCTTTTAAATTTGGCTTAAAAACAAAAAGAAATCTAAAAACTTGAATAAAGACAAAAAATACCAAAAGTAAGAACTTTGTATCCGATCGGGATTCGAACCCGGACACATGTGATTGTCAATCTTGCTCCTTGGCCGCTTGACCACGATGCTTATGCATGAGCATGCGAAATTAGCGATTATATTTCACGTGGAATAATGCGAAAGAAAACCGCATGAAAGCTCAAAAACACGCGTTTTCCCAGACATAAGCCTAATCTAGATCGATTTTTCGCCCCCCGAAAACCAACCAGCATACCAAGTTTCAGCGAAATCGTTAGAGCCCTTTCCGAGATCGCCGGTATATATAAATAAATAAATATACAAGAATAGCACGCTTAAAGGTATTAGATTTAGAAATTTTTGAATATTATTATCATACAATGGATCAAGGATGTATATTAAATAACTTAGGAATTTTCATATTTTTACAGGGTTTCGTAGATTGTTGGATGTATCCTGAGCCAACAGATACGTACAATAAATTATTGTGTAAACAGAGGCAAAGGGTGCTTGACGAAATACAAAGACAAAATCACTATCTTTACTCTAGACTACTCATAGCTGTAAGTAACATAAGGCATACCAGGCTCCACCTGTGCTTTCCGACATCAAAAAAGTCAAATAAATATCAAAATTTCCTATACAACGCACGTCTCCTATCGTACTTTAATGATAGGGGATTCTTGTCAAGAAGCCAACGTGCGTCAAATATGTAGACAAGATTAATAGTAATCGGACAAATAATTAAATAACACTTTATAAACATATTTATTATAATTTATACTTATTTATATTGATAAACTTTGTTTTTACTAAAAAAAACTATAACTATTCGGCAACGAAAGTATTCTGCAAAATTCCAATTTTAACAAAAAAAATAGAAGTTTTAAAAAAAATATCGGGATATATTGCGATAATAAAGTATCCTTAATTCACCAGAGATCAGAACAACCTCTCACAAAAGAACTTGAACTGTTATGGAAAGATACAAAGCACAAACTAATATTGGGAGCTTCGTAAGTTACTTAGGTTTTAGTATAATTTGTTATAGCAATATTTATTGTCAGGATCCTTACATTTTTTCTGTTTTATAGGTATCGAATGGCGACAGGTTTGGCTCAGTTTGTAGTGACTTGCTGTGCCAGCGGTTGCGGGTTCGAGTCCCGCTGAGGGCATTCATTTGTGTGATGAGCACGAATGTTTGTACTCCAATCATGGGTGTTTATATTTATAATATGTATGTATTTAAACTTATATATGTGTAGTGCATCAACTATCTGGTATCCATAACAGAAGCCTCGCTAGCTAGCTTACCATGGAACTAGATGGTCTTGTGTGTCAATGTCCCAACATATTTATTTAAAGAATTTGTACGCCACTGCCACGCTCAGCCTATTACAAAAACTTCCTTTTTTTTACATTTCGAAATGCATTTGAACATACAACCATACATTCATACATAACCAGTATTACCCAATAAAACATGAAAAAACAAACGAACGGGAATTTTGCTCGTCTTAATGGGGCGCCATAGGATCGGTTTCGCACTCAACCGCGACGCCCTGGCGAGGGCGCGGACCTCCTCCTGGGCGATTAAGGCAGCTGCCACCCAACCCATTGCATTCCCTTGGCTCACCCGACCTTGTCATTAAGAGTAGTTTTTTAACGAGGTTGTCTACCTCCATCCTCGATAATTTAGAAGTTGCTGTCATAATCCACTTTATTGTGAGAGAAGTATCATTACTATAATAACATTTTAATCGTAAATTTTGCATGGAAAATAATATTTTGGATTGTTAATTTAAAAAAGAGCTGACCGCTAGTCTACTATTTTGTAGCAATTCTATGAGATTAAAATAAATAGACTCAAATCGTCTTTCGAACTATTTCAGGTTGCCTTTTATTCTTTTCAAGACTGAAAAAATTGATCGTGACATCAGGGATCCTGCTTTTGATAAACCTCCTCATATTCAAAGACCTAAGTACCTACTTGTTATTTTTATTTATTATTATTTTTCCTTATATGTGTAGTTATTAATATTCATTTAATTTTTAGGGTCTCCATGGAAATATGGGTAGTTGGTGGTTCTAAAATAGGTAGAGTAACCGCCGAACTCTTTACCGACGTTGTACCGAAAACATGCCAATTGTTTCTTAGTCTCATTAAAGGAGATGTCAGAGGTCATGCATATATGGGCACTAGGTTATTTAGGTGATGCGTCATTCTTAATTAAAGAAAAACAAATAAAAATCGAAAAATGTATATTTCGAAAAACTAACAAATCATTTTCTCGACTAAATCGCACCTATTTTTACTTGACTGCGCGACGCAAAGAAGGGTAATGTATTTAACTACAAGTTTGGCTCAGTTTGTAGTGACCCGGCTGTTTTTATTTGTAATATATACCTATGTATTTAAAGTTATATATGTGTAGTGTATCAACTATCTGGTATCCATAAGGCCTCGTAGCTTACCATGGAACTAGATGGTGTTGTGTGTTAACGTCACAACATATATTTATGTTTGTTCATAAGTGGGTTCTAGAGACCAAACGCGTAGGCCGATTTTGTTGATTTATATGTCGTTAGATTTGTCTTGATAACGCGAGTGTCATAGGCTATATAAAATAGTTAAAAAAATTAAAATGGCGGATTTTAGGCGCCAATTTGTGTGTCTTAAAAAATCGGGTGGGGTATCAAAATACAGGTTTTTAAGAGGCAATCACAAAAATATACACAACTTATAACGTTTAAAAGAAAAGGATAAAAAATTGCTAAATATAACTTCAAATGTCTAATTGTTAAAAACTAAAAAAATATATTATAAAAATACAAAACCTAAAAGATAAATATAAAATCATAAAAACTAACTAAAAAAAAATGAAAACAAGTTACAAGTTGACGAAGGAATATATTATTATGTAGTCGGAGACGTACACGTTTCATCAATTTCATAAATTTCATAAATTCTTTTAAATAAGAATTACCTATACAATTTTTTTATTAATTATTTCGATTAAAAAGAACTTTATTACCTTGTACTTACTATTAGAGTCGTGCCTAATTTATATTGCCGCGGAGGAGATGTCACAAAAGACAATGGCTTTGGCTCCTATTTACCCGAAGGAGTTGCAGAACCAATGGGAGCAGAAAATTATAGATTGAAGCACACCGTACCTGGTATTGTATTTTACTAAAACTTGTATCTTACTGTTTTTTTCTATATATAAAATTGGTTTTATTTAGTATCATAAATTAAATATACATAAAATCCCAAGGGATGAAAGATGAATTTATTGCCTAATTGTAATATTACAAAATTCACACACTATTAAAATAAACTATGTTATAAAACTGTAACAATTTTAGATCTGATATCGACATCAATTTTTATAAATTTTTTATCCATTAACTGTTTGTGCATCAGAATTCACACGACACTTTTTTTAGTAGTTTTGATAAAAATACCATATCTTTTAAAATCTTACATTTAGAAACGGGTATATTATTACTATTGGTGTGGGTTATAGAAACGAAACAGTAACGGCGTCTATCAGCCTCCAGGCATTTAATTTAATTTCCACTATTACGTTCACGGTTTCATCTCACTCTCCCACTTCACGTTGTATCTCGCCTCGATTTTTACTAATCGCATTTTTTTTGTATAAATTACCAGTATATGAAAATCTGCCATCATCTATCTATCAAATCGTTTATTAAAATGTAAAATTAACGATTCGAAAGTGCTTGTAAAAGTCTAGTCGAATAAAGTATATTTTAATTTGATTTGTTTAGGCCACATCATTACAGAAAATTAGATTTACACGCACCACAAAAATATTACGTATCCTGCTTCTATAATTTTCAGTTTTATATATTACCAATGTCTTTATACATATTTTGGTAAATTGAATCATAATTGATTTTACGCTGTTAAACTGTAAATTAAATCGTATTTATTGAACATTTTCCAGGTGTTCTATCGATGGTTGTAACTTCAGATAATGAAGTTTATGGTCAATTCAACATTATATTTAAACCACTCTCACAATTTGATGGCAAACATGTCGTTTTTGGTAGAGTGAGTATTTGAAACTTTCTGACGATTTTTAATTTAGTTACAAAAACTATACCATCGACAAATTGTCATTTAATTAATAAAGTGTAAATTGAAAGAAAACTTAATTTTTTTCCAGATAATCGCTGGTCCCACTCAAGCTCTTGAAAGAATTAGTGCATTAGGTTTGCCCTTAGGTACGACTACGTCAGATATTATCATTCGGTACTGCGGCTGGTTCACTCGTTCTGGTCAATATCGCGAAGGAAATCCGAACACTATCAAATTTCCGCCTCGTAGAAAACTAAAGAAATAGTTTTTTTTTTTCATTAAACCAGTTCAGGTACTGTGTTACTTTGTATTACTTTGTAATAACATATTTGAGTTATTTATTTAATAGTACCTTTAATTGTAAATGAAATTAATAAGCAATTATATAGCTCTCTTTTAGTAAAAGTGTTGCCAAAATATAGGTACCCTTTTATTATGTAAATTTCAGAAAAAGATGTTACTAAATTAAGTCATCGAAAATGAAAAAAATATGTGTAAAATTGTTTGTGACAATTGAATATTTGTTAAATGATTTTTAAAGTGTTTGGTGTAATTTCAATAAAATATTTTTTGAAAATCAATATAAAATTTATTTCATAATATGCACCTACATTTAGAATATAAATTAGTAAATGTAACGCACGCTACGACTCTGAACAAATGGTAGCTTAGCAAATTAATATTTAACAGTCAATCAAATAGTGTTCCAGTCACCATTATTTCATTCACTATATTATCGTCACTCTATTTTCACGAATAATCCACATGAAAAAATAAGCGCGAGCACCTGAAAATAGAAAATATATAAAATATTAACCGTTAACTGTTTAATAGTTTTGTTTTCATTTAATTTTCTTTATATATTATCTTTTTATCGTCAAATAATAATAAATAAACAATTATTTATATATAACACAATTACAAAAATTGAAAAGCTCGATCTGAAACATTTAGCAGCAAAAACTAATACTAATAATAAAAAATATAACCATAATCAATGCTACAATGATGGCAACAGCCCCTGCATAAATTGCATCTTCACGTAATAAATCCACTGTTTTGCTATAACAGCCGTCCATGTACATAGTTGTAGGATTCTGGGAGTACTTGCAGTCTCGTCGCTGAAAATTTAAAATATTAGGTACTTAAGAATTAAAATGCGGAGAGACATAATGTTTTGAAAAAGAGGGTTTTAGGGGGTTTACACGCCATAAAAGTAACTTTATTTTTATCGTTTTGGACTAGATTTTCAAGTGTTCTGAAATAGGTAGTAAGTAACTAAAAATACTAATTGCACATTTAAAAATACTTATATTATGAGTGGACCTCATTTATTTTACGGTTCAATTAAATTAATCTCACTTTAAAGCTACTTACAACTTACTTTGCTTACATTACAATGCCAAAATCTAGAACCTGGGAAATTACATCTTCTAAACAAAATCTTTATGATCTTTTGGATACAGTTAGAAATTATTTATGTTCATGCTATCATATTTACCTTTCCTGGATAGATTTCTTGACAACAGCTTTCAGGAACGTTGTCGTTCCAGTCTTTATAACTTCTGACTCCACAGCACTGCAAGTATGTTTGAGTCTCATCCCACGCCCTTGTGTACTCGTGCTTTACCCCGTAGTTGGGTATAGACGCATGCATTTCACGCTCCAGAGTCGTTAGCACCTTCTCTCTAAATACAAAGAGTAGAATCCCTCCAACGAGCATCACCACGAATATAATGAATACTAGAATGTAATACTGCAAGAAAATTAAGTAACAAATAATTTATCAACTCCTAATCAACTATATCTACTTATAGCAGGAATTGAACTCGCAACTGCCAGTCGAGAAGGCAATGTGAGGCTTTACATAATGTAACATAATACAAACGTACCGTTAGCAACATGCATTTAACTTCCTTAGCGGCTCCACAGCAGCCCAGCACGGAGAGGATCATTATAGCGGCGCCCATTACCACGACCACCGCCAGCGACGCGATAAACATGTTGTTGCTCATCAACGTGCTCGGAAACGAGCGGGATGTCCAGATCCATACTCCAATCGCAAGCGCTAGCACACCACCGACCTATAATAAAGTCACATAAATAATAGGATTATAAAAAGATAACGATAATTTTAAAAAATCTTTGATCTTTGAAAATATTTGTAAGTACAAATGTGTGCTCTGTACATGTACAGCGTGTATCGTGCCATTTTCAACCGACTTCAAAAAGGAGGAGGTTCTTAATTCGACTGTATTTTGTAGTTCTTATCTATAAATCTACAAAATTTATATAACTATTTACTTTATTTTTTTCGTTTATTTATTTTGACACTAGCGACTCACCTTTGCTTCGCTCGGGTTCGTCCCTTTTTTTTTGTTGACGCTGGGGAAACCCATCATGGGGACCCTACCGGCCGTCAATGCGTAGGGTACTGTGAGACTCCTACTCACTAAAACCCACAGCGGAACCCGTCGCCGCAGTGCAATGGGGTGTGCAGGATCGCTTACGCATTCACTGCAACACCCTTGCGGAACTCGGGTTCGTCCCTAGCTTGACTCCCATTTAAACTTTCATCCCCATTTTCACCCCCTTAAGGGATGATTTCCGGGATAAAAAGTATCCTATATCCTTTCCTGGATTTCTCAAACTATCTTCTTACCAAATTACATCTAAATTGGTTTAGTAGATTCAGAGATTACCTCCTACAACGTCACCACTCACAAACTTTACCTTTTTATAATATTAGTATAGATTAGTATGCAATACACAACTGCCACTACCTATATTTCTCTTAATGTACAAAGTACTCCGTTTGTTCAAAATAGGGAACATTGTGAAAGGTATATTATGATTTTAAATAAAAGTATAATAAGCAGTATTTAAGTAGCCTGTAGATTTTTACTTACAAATGTCAACATGTTAACGACGACCAGAGAGACCTTCATGCACCGCCCGCAGGCGTCCATCGCGCCACCCATGGCCATTGCCACTCTGAAATTAAAAAGTGATTTTGAAAAAGTATTTTTGAATATGCAGAAAATATTTTTAGCTTTTTACTTATTCCTTATTATTATAACAAGCAGTTTTATCCTTGACTCCGGTTATGTGGTGAAAATAACAATAAAAAACATTTTAACCTATTAGTTCATTCATTTTATCCAGCCAAATAACAAGAACTCTTTCTGAAGTCTGAGTTTTACTCAAATCCGCTGAGAGCGTGAAGGACTAATAAACACACACTAACAAACTTTAACTTTTATAATATTACTAGCGGCTCACCCTCGCTTCGCTCGGGTTCGTCGCTAGGTACGTTTTAAATAGATATAAAAAGAAAAAATCTTTCTTTCTCACATTTTAATTATATGTTTTAATACTTACCTATTCCGGACTAAGAGAAATCCAAAAATTAAAATATCATAAAAATTGGAACGCGGTCGAACGGGATAAAAAGTATCCTATGTCCTTCTCCTGGCTCTAAACTACCTCCCTGCCAATTTTCAGCTAAATCGGTTCAGCCGTTCTTGAGTTATAAGCGAAGTAACTAACACGACTTTCTTTTATATATATAGATTGTGAATTATTGTGACAATTTTATTATATTCCCTTCACGACCGCGGACACGCCGGCGTGTCAGTTAACAATAGATTTCTTAGAATTTTAATTAATTTCTTAGAAATTTACCTGGAGGTGATATTTTATAATTTGTTCTTACAACAAACCACATATTATAACAAAAACCTAACATATACCTTACATTTCAACTTAATTTTAATTATAAGACAAACTTGTTACATAACTCTACTTTTTCTCTTTTATTTTGTTATAAAAAAAAACACTGCAAAATATACATATTGAGACGACCTGTGAAAATGGTCTGTTGCGCCGAAAAGCAATAAACACATTTTTTGTCAATACTTTCATTCCAAAACATACCTATTGATTTACAGTGAAATTCTTCTTCTTTGAAAATTCCTGTAATTTGACACCTAAATTATCTTATAATTTAAATATTCTCTATTAAACTAATCAAGTAAATCTCGTATACCATGACATCTTACCTCCAATGGGCTTCGCTATATTTATTTATTCTTTTAGCCAAAATTGGGCCTGCTCTGGTTTTTAAATTAAAGATTTCTTTCATTATTTTAAATAATTCTTTTATAATTATATATACACATTTTTTAAAATTAATTATTTATAGAGAAAAGACACTACCTTTCTGATAATAACTTACCGATGTCAAAGCAAAACTATTTTCAAACTACCCTACTTGAGAATTATTAGATACTGTATTCTCCACCAGGTAAATTTCTAAGAAATTAATTAAAATTCTAAGAAATCTATTGTTAATCCCTCCACGACTGCGGACACGCCGGCGTGTCAGTTAACAATCGATTTCTTAAAATTTTAATTAATTTCTTAGAAATTTTATCTGGTGGTGTTAACCGACACGCCGGCGTGTCCGCGGTCGTGGAATAAATATACACATTATAATAGAAAAATACTAATTAGCGAATAATCTGCATTATGTGAATTTTATACAAACGCCTTCAACTATAGCTATTTAGCATATTTTTCTAGTTCTCAGATATCCTTGCAAAGTAATCAACTGCACCTGCACTTACTATCGCAAATCTACATTCTATATACGTTATTGAAATATGTTTAAATCAACAATTAATATCCTATTTACTAAATTACTGCTTTATCAGTGCCCAGACCAAAGCCACTTGTTCTAAAAGGCTCAAAATATGAAAATATATTCCCAATTTTCCTTAATTATTGAGGTATACATCATTAAAGCTTTTATGGAATACAATATTACAATCCCTAAAGGTGCTAGCTTTATATAGGAAATTATATGTTTGTAAACAAAAATCCTACTATTACTTTACGACGCTTTAAATATAACACGTAGTCGTACCCTAAATACGTGCTTTTCAAAGTGAATACTATTATAGAGCAAAGAGAAATTTTCAAAATTTTGTGAGGAATATTATTTTTCTTACATAAAAAGTATTATATAAAAAAGGCAAATTAATAATAGTAATACATAAAATGTTTTCGTCTGGTACTAAAAATATAAACGAACCTACCTCTAAATAAATGATATGCCCGGATGTATTGTATAATTACAGGTACCTACAATCTAATAATATCTATGAATAAGCAAAGGTGACATAAACGACCTACAACTTCGTGATATTTCATGTACCTAGTAACCTCTTTGTTGTTCATAATAATATGTATGTCACGCGTACAACGTACGCGGTACGCGCGTTATATATGAGTACAAGTTACGAAGGCATGCCGCTGGAAGCTCGCTCAACTCAAGGTGATACTGTACACAAGGCCCATCTAATCCATTCTCTTGATGACCAAGCGAAAGTTGCATCAGCTGTAGTATAGTTGTAATAAGTAGTAAAAAATAATAGCTTATTACTTAACTGGAAGCTTACTTAACCATTAGTTAATTAAAATACACGCTCCAATCTACTACAAATCAATCTACAAGGCTATACGTTTATGAATTGTATAAAACAACCGGTAAATGAACGCAGTAGTATTTGTAAACAAACTTGCTCTCCCCTTTGAAGTCAGGTTTTTTTGAGAAAATAAAACTTAAAACTATATATACTTTTTTACTTACTTTTTTGTTGTTATTTGTAAATAGTTTCACTTCACCATCACTCTCACAATACTATCACGTTTGCGTAAATTCGTTGAAGTTATTTCATTGACTTTGCTCAAGTCAAGCGCGTCCGATGGAAGGAAAACAACTGGTTTATATTACCAGTTACACTGACGACGCCGACGCCCCACCAACTCTATGTCGTGCGAGCCTTGAAATATATATACATTGTTTTATGAGGGCCTAAAAAATAGAAATCAATAGACTAATAGTATGACTCTTTGTAAAATGACGGTTGAATAAAAGTAAAGATAACGAGAAGTTGTGAAAAGGGATACCGTATTATAGGTATCAGGTTCATTTTAACATAAGATTAAATTATTCTTATAGACTGTAGCTTCTTTTCCTCTAAATAAATATATTTTCTTTCATATTTTTTTCTATAAATCTCATTTTATTTGAAATCCTTCTAAGTCCATATATTCTAATTCAACCCGTTCGAATATGCAAGTACCTACATAGTACGTTTTAAAATTTATTAACCACTAGCTACTTGCCTCACTTCGCTTTGGGTTCATCCCTAGAAAAAAACAAATCTATCATACTTATACATTATTACATACATATCGTACATTTTTCCGGGATAAAAAGTAACCTATGTGCTATTCCAGACTATAATCTATCTCTGGCCAGATTTCATCCAGATCTGTTCAGCTGTTCTGGCTTGAAAGAGACAAACAAACATCCGTCTATCCTCACAAACTTTCACATTTATAATATTAGTATGGATTTATCATGAAAACACAACTGTATTATAATTTATAGATGGATTGTCTAAGACTGATCAATAACCAGCCCATTTGTGCATCAACAGTAATTCCTTTTCTAACATAAAAACAAACTCATTTTCATCAAATGAATAAATTCATGGTCCCGTATCTACACTTCTACACTAATAATTAAAAAAAATTGTAAGTTTTATATAGGGGGTATCTCTGAAACTACTAATCTGATACATTACTGCCGAGTGCGAAAGGCTATTTCTTATTCCGATAAAGTTGTATTTACAGTTAGAAATCATAATAACTTTAATTAAACTCGGGATATAACTTGCCATTGAATTGCTTAGGCGTGCGCTGATGTATAAAAGCAATAGAATGGCTAGCGACGCACGAGGGTCAGACGCTAGTATAAAATAAATGGCAGATGTTTTTTTTTAAATTACACAAAAAAATCAATAAATTTTCTTTTATTAGCTTCCAGTTAATAAACGGTTAATTCAACAGAAAATTAGTACAAATATATCGAAAGCAGATGGTCTACTTAAACCGAGGTATTATGAAAATTACGGGTAGTTGAGCTTTGGTACTATAAAAAATTTCATTTACTTTCCCAAACGTATTTGGCAAAAACTACTGGTTAAAAAAAAACAGATTACAATAGTTTTTAAGTTTAAATTGCATTTAAACCCTCAAACATAAGCAGTTGTTGCCAAACTTTAACTACTCCATTTATAGAAATCAACAAGACAAGATAAATAAAAAAAGGACAATGCGTAATTCTCTTTGAATTACACTTTTATATGTAAATAAAAGGTGATTTTACATAATATGTTATACAATCTTTATAGAAGATAAATTAAAAACGCTTCAAACAATACTTCGATAAACCGAAAAATAATAAATATATTACACACTTTGCGCTAGAAATACAACAAATACACTTATACAAACTACACTACGACGCTCGGTTACATACGTGTCGCAAGACACGACTGACAATAAATTAATGAGTTACATCATTTTATGTTTAGCTTCACCTAATTTTAACATTTAGACAACTGTAATATGTATTTATATGAGACATTTTACTGCGCAGCCTTCAATAACTACGGTAGATTATTTTAAAACATTTACAAATTATATAAGAACTTTAGAGGTATTAAAATATTTTCGACACAATAATTGAGCTGATTAAATGTAGTTGGTAAGTCAAAATTATCCAAAATAAACAATTAAGGGAAGACAGAGTTCCATTTGTAAAGTAGGAATTTAAGAGGTTCAAAAATTGTAGGTATTAGACCTAGTGTAGATCAATGTTTGACGGGTTAAGGTAAAAATATTATATACACATACATATATTTACAAGGATTACTTCAACATGCATAGTTTACATTTCCACTTGAGAATTAACTATATCTTTTGCAACATCGAAGTTAGAGCTTACACCTATTATGTGATACGAATTGAGCTACACTCCCATACTTAATATTAAAACATCGATCCCAGTTTTACACCGTTATAAGGCATTGCAGATTCTCCATACATACAAACATAAAATTATTTACTATACGTAAATGGAAACTTAATCATCACGCAAATATGTAACAATAAAAATCATTTTATAAAATTATACTACATTTCTTATATTTATCATAAAGTAGGCCATAGTTTTCTTTACCAACGTAAATAAAAGTTTTAACTAATTAAATCATTAATAAAAAAATCGTTTTCTAACTATATGTATAACGCTTTATTATAAGATAAATCTGCAATGTATAACAGCTTTATAGTCGAGTAAGTTTCTTAGTTACATTCACATGTACAACATTTATTTTGACATAGACGTGATATATGTAATTATTATTAAGAATTAAAGCAAAATTGGTTATTATGACTGCACAGTAAATGTTTATTGGCTTCGCATGTATGTAGGTTAATGATTGCTTAACATCTCCGCCTTTCAATGAAATGTTCGCCAGAGTTGTTTGGTTATTGCTTTAATATATTATACAAATAAATAAAATTAGGATTTTGTGACAATTGTTCCAATTCTTTAAGACAATTTCAATATATTTTATAAGCTCTAGGATAAAACAGAGATGTCAAACAAGAAAATCACGAATGGATAAAGTCCAGATTTCTTTGATACCAAAACAGCTGCTCATTGGAAGTTAAATTATATATACATATTTTAATTAATGAGATACCAGACATTTATTAAAAAATATTTATTGTTATTTCTACAGCCGTGTTGTAGTCAAAGTAAACAAAACCTTGTTATCCATTATTTTAAGCCTATGTTATAGCAACTTGGTGCGTCACAGCCGACCAAGTCGGAGACGTGCTGCTACACGTAAGACCGCTGAAGATCAGATATCAGGTGATCCGGGAAGCCCTCTAGGCATTTACTAATGGACTTTTGAAGCTGATTATTAATTAAACGAGAATTCTACATTAAAAAAGACTTAGTCAACATTTATTGACTGACGCCAAATATTTTAAAAATATTGCAATTACTAAATTATCTATGTTCAACGTCAAAATCCACGTTAGATCTTAGAACGTATCATACCGTAATACGCACATATCTTATACCGATATACCATACACTTGTATATAAATAGCAGAAACGATTAATTTTGAAAACTTATTAGAATAAAAAACCACAATCGGCCCGATACGTCCGATGAAACGTACAAAACGAAAGTTTAAATTGGTTCAATTTAATTTAATTTTCATGTTAATGGCTTAAAAGCCAATAGAGCACAGATTACTTCGCCAGTATCACGTAGATCGGAGAAGACACGAGGAAGTTAAAAATCACAATCGGCCCGATACGTACTGGGCAACGTACGAAAATGAAAGTTTAGATTGTCATGCAATATGAAATGTTGGAACGTCCATCCCGGGGAGGGTGGGCCGTCAGCTGGCGGCGGCGGCGTCACGCGCCGCGTCGCGCCACTACGGCCGCCGCGCGTACACTGACCCCGCGCCCGCCGCGCCGCCCGCAGCCCCCACGCCCGCCGCACCCCCCGCGCCACCCGATGAGCCAGAACCCCCGGCGAATAATATTAATCAAATATATCAGGTATGTAGACATCAGGCACAAAACAAAACCAACAGACATCCTAACATGTATTGACCAACTAAAATGGAAGTGGACAGGGCATATGCTCCATTGCAAGCATTAAAAATGGAGCAAACAGGTAAGTCTGGTATCCAAGAGATGGGTCTAAGAGCCGAGGTCTCAAACTGAGAAGATGGGAGGATGAATTGAAATAGACCCTAGGGGTCCTCTTTGGCCAAGAGTGGCAACGGATAAATAAATCTAATAAATAAATTTTGCCTCATAGATATATTTTTTGCAATTTACTAAAGAAAAATCATAGTTTTTAAATATCCGGTATCTTGCCGGATATTACGCAACTATCCGGAATCAAGCCGGATAACAAAATATCGGTTAGGCCGGATATCGGAAGGTTCCCTTTCACCTTTAATAAAAATCCATCAAAGTTAAAATATTAGCAAATCATAAAAATCTATACAGTAGGCTTTCACACATTAATTTTAATGGAAATGCTGTCAAATACAAAGATTGACTAAACTTTCATGGCTAATGATGTCGAAGTTAAAAGCAATGTAGTGCCATCTCGTGAGAAGTAACAGTTATTCCCTATTATTATAACCCTAAAACCGTTTCCTGAATATTATATAAAATTAAGTATGACAGTCGGTGTCGACTCATTTGCGCCTCACGATTGCCCTCTCTAGAGGCTTTCGTTATACGATTGTATGGATTAGTAGACTGCGATGATACTATAACGAAATTTGTTACTTTGTAATGAATGAATTACCCACTTTCGTGTGAAGATTTTACCCCAGATTAGCTTTAGTATGTTAAAGTCACTATTTATAAATATTTTGACATTCATTTAACAAAGAAACAAGACATATGAGAATAAATATTATTAATAAAAAAAAACATGATAATTTTATAAGAATGTCATATCTAAGCTTACCTTGATTAGGGTATGGCAAGCAGTTAGACTTGAGGACTTCTTCATGATTCCCATATGCACAAAATTTCACTACTACTGTATTTGCTGAAATACCGGTAATTTCCGCCTCGTAGAACTGAAACAAAAGCAAATTTAAAAGCCAACCTAATAAAAATCATTTAATATATTATGCTCCTACAAATGCATACATACATTATTATCTTCCCAATAGAGAGCGAGGCATCGATCACCGACTTTCCAATTGATATCTGCAACGCCGAGCATAGCCCGAGCTTGTTCATTCACAGCTGCGTTTTGGAACCCCAGTAAAGATCCAGGTAAAAAGGGGCCTCCAGTTCTCATAGTGCTGTATTCTTGAGGCCTAGCCCCATATCCATACTGTCGACCACTAAACCCACCCTGCGCGCCTTGCATATAATTCATATTTGAATACATTGGATTCTGAGGATCCATATATCCATTTGGCTGCTGCCGACGTTGATATTGTTCTTGATATTTTGGCATATCGTTACTTCTCCTAAAGGGAGGTATGTCTATGTTCTGGTTTGGGATGTACTGCTTTGGTGGGTAAGCCTGTTCCGGGTATTGGTAATTCCTATTGGGTGATATTTCCTCATTTGGACGCGATTGACTCGATAGTAAATTCAGATTGGCCGTAGCATCTATTAAACTGTCCATTGGGTTCATATTGTTCCGATAATTCTGGGATTGATTCATATTATTGTCATTAAAATTCCCATTTTGTCTCATGTTCATTTCAGGAAACTGATTATGTGGGGGATTGTGGTAAGAATTGTTGTAGTGCATGTTCATGCTATTGGCTTGTTGCTGTTGTTTATTTTTTTCTTCCAATTTCCTCTGGAATCTTGGTGGTTTTTCATTTTGAGGCTGATATTTTCGTTCTTCTCTGTGAGAATAATTGTCATTTGAATAGTTTCCTCTGTCAGATCTATGTCGGGGGCCATCATATCTAGATCCATGAGAACGCGAATTTTTGGCACCATTCCGATCTCTATTTCCATAACCTCTGTCTCCCCTATCTTCAGAAGGAGTATTATAATCTCGGCGATTATTCTTGTCCTTTTCTGGTACATTAGGCAATTTGTCTTCCAAAAAATCAAATAATGACACTTTTCCTGATGGTTTCACAGGAATTCCATCTTCATCATTATCTTTATTCCGTCCTTTACGCTTTGGTGGTTCTGGGTCTTTTTGCTTCTCTTTACTCCTATTTTCTGAATTATCTCTCTTTTGCAGTATTCTCAAAGCTCTATCAACATTATTCTTAGTATATTTTAAAGCATTTTCAGCTTGTTCCTCTGAAAAGCCAGCATCAACAATTTTCTGTACATTTGCATCTAATAAAGGCTTAGTTCCTCCTCCAAATACCTGAAACATAATTTTTTAATGAATTTAAAATGGCAAAATGAGTTATTAACAAATGAACTATACTTCTGTTTACATAAGTAATAAATGTATAATCATAAAAAAATGTAAAGCAAAAGATTTCATATTGCAATTAAATCATTTATATGAATTCTCATGTTAATTAATGTAAGGTCATTTTATTCATTTCACATTAAATGTGTATATTTTCTACCTTTTTAACACCAGACATCCTTTGTGCTTCAGCAATGGCTCCTTTTCTTTGTGCTTCAAATTCAGCATTATCTTGCTTAGCAGCTTCTTGCAAGCTCTTAAATTGCTTATCCACAGGGAGTGCTTCTAATCGTTGTCCAAAAGGAATCCATGGTGGTGGACCACCATCAACCCCAATACCACCTAAGGAACAATTTTCAGACTATAATAAATAACTATAACTATATGAAATTTTACTAAATAATAAATCACTTTGCAAAATGATATCATTTTCCTTTACCTTCTTACCTCATACTCTAATAAGATATCTTCCTAATAAGATATTCCAGCTAAAAGTCTTTTAACTTTAATCAATTCCTAAGTTCATAGTTAACTAAGTACCTAAAGTAATAAAATTAAGGAATAATTTTACAAAGAAAGTGGGTATATAGATATATAGGTTTTAACCCATTATTTCTTATACAAACCTCTTGTATGTTTTGCGAGGCTCCTATTGAGTTCCCATTTTTCAATCATATGGGAAACTTTTCCTCCCAACACTGAAATAACACTAGGAGTGAGCCAAACCACACCATGGCATATTTCAAGATCTTCATTCTTTAGCAATAATTTTGTTCCTGGTGGAGTGTTGATACTAATACTGGAGATAGGGCTTGTCTCTAAACCCGTACATGTTGATTTTCCATCATGTAAAGTTAGCTTTAACATCCGTGGAGCAGATGTAGACTCTTCATTAGCTTTTGGAGCAGACACATTTCTAATTTTTTGAATTTGTACAACTATTGGTTTCTCTAATTTAGTTGGGTCCTTTGTAAAGTCTTCAGGAAAGGCGGCCTCACCAATATCTCTTAAATCAAACTGTAATAAATTAGACAGTTATGGTTCATTAAAAATAGCATGATTGAAATTCTCTCAGGAGAAATTAATATTTTAAAATAAATGATTAAAATACTTACATCTAAGGCCCTTCTGCTAAGTATATTTGGGTCTTGTATTTGACCATTTTCGCTAATAATATCAATACCATCTTGACTCAAGTGCCTAAAAAAAATTAACGAAATATTACACTTGTGAAATAAAAAGTAAGTTTTATATTTTAAATCCTGTGTTTTACTCACCATCCCAAATCTTTGAGATTATCTTTTAGTGTCATGTTTTCATTTGAATTAATTATATATCACAAAATTAATGAAATTGATAAATAAAACCGTACAGACACACCGTATCCCACTTGTCCATTTGTCAAACTTTTCTGATACAGCATATATAATTGAATAGTATAATACAGACAAAAAATGGACAATATTTTTTAACCAAAAAGGTATTTTAAAAAGAAATGTATTAAATTTTTGAAATTTTACTATTAGTATTGAATACCAAATATTTAATATCAAAGTTAAACTTTGTTTTATTGGATTATGTCGTACTACTTTTCTCATTTCTGTAGGTACCGATGAGCGCTGCCTTGTTTCATGTTGTCTTTGTTAAAGCCTTTGACACTTGACTCAAAGGTCAATGAACCATTGATTACGTTTGCAGTTTATTAAGTTTTGATAAAGTTAATCTTTTTATCTAACACGATAAGTTTTAACTTTTATTAACTTTTTAATAATTTATCATAGTTGATATTTAGATCTCGACAGAAATTATTAAAGATGTCATCGGTAAGGCTAATATTATTAATTAAAACCTTGTTATATTAAGTTATAAGGTAATAAGCTACACGAATATTGCAGTTTTTACGTTATTTTTACAATTATGGTAGTCCAACCCTTACTTTCACTGAATGTTTAGGAGTATGTTTTATCATAATTCCACTTTGAATTTCTATTTTAGTAATTCTTAAATGATTTACCTATTATATTTGTAACTTATTTATTACAGACGCATATATTTAATGTGGAAATGACTTGTGAAGGATGCTCTGGAGCTGTTGAAAGAGTACTTAACAGATTAAAGGGTCAAGGTGTAGAAAATATATCAATATCTTTACCAGAGCAAAAGGTTACTGTAACATCTTCTCTTAGTTCAGACCAATTACTAGAAGTCATAAAAAAGACTGGGAAGAAGACTTCTTATGTTGGTACACAATAGAATTATTATTTGAAGTAATTTATGGTAATGCTGAATTTTATGGTTTGATAAAGTTAATTATTTATTAAATTACTGAAGTTCTTTTGACTTATTAAGGTATATTTTATTGTTACATTTTGATTAAACCATTACCTATACGCTTCTTTTATATTATACATACTTATACTTTTGATGCAGCTAATCTTCCTTAAAAATAATATTAAAATTGTATATAATCATATTATGATGTACATTCAACTTAACTATAAATATTTAAGCCAGTATTTTATGAATAAATAATTTATTTTTAAAATATGTCTTTTCAATAATTAAAGTATTGCAAAATTAATTTAGTCATCCCTGGATATAACATCTTCTAAAGTATTAAGTCTTAAATCGACAAGATCAACTGCTTCATGAAGTGCATTCAAATGGTCTACAATAGCATTGACAGTAGGTAGCACATCAGCACAATCACATTCCTTTATTCTATTCCTTCCACTTGTGAAAGTCTTATTCAGTTTAATTTTTTTTGTAAATGGTTCATTCATGTCTTTCTGATTTGGATTTAAAGTTTTGAAGCCACTATTAATAGGAAAATTTCTTTTTCGACCTACCCATTCTATTGTACCACTTGTATAACAAACATCATTGTCTCCCAATTTAATCATACCAAATATATCTTCTTCATTTTTTTCAACACTCATAGATTGGTTTATCATTGTTGGTATGGTGTAAGTGGCTGGACTAGGTGGAGTACGAGGAATGTGACTTATGTGCCCTACATTGTATGATGAGCATTCAACAGATTGGCATTCCTTGTGAGGCTCAGGTAGTGTTTGATTAAAGACTCTTCGAGAGTGATCAATTGGCAAGGAAGATGGCTGAAGTGAGCCTTGATTCTGACTCTGTTGTTGTGAACCTATCATTGTACTGTTTGCATTAGGATGACTACTATGGAAACTTGAATTTCTTATAGAATCTTCAGTCATTTCTGGATTATCGACATGCTCAAATGATATAACTGGATACTTTGTACTATGGTAGCACTGATACCAAATCTTCACACCCTAATAGGTGAATTAATTTTATTAGTTTTATGCTCTTTTATATCTAAGATGTGTTCAACATATGTTGTGATTGTACACAACTATTATTACATTTCTCCCTGAACTCAAGTTTTTGAATGGTTACAGTATATTTTGTTTGAATGTTTCTTATTAATTCACCCTGAATAAAAGTAGTGTATATAAATCTTTTCAATTATATAAACTTAATTAGCTTTTAAGTAGTAAATACAAAAATCTACATTTTACCAAAAGCTATTACAATCTTTTTTTACTAGTTTGTTGCTTTTTTGTTGCACTAACTTTAGAAGCTTTTGACCTTGAAGTAGACATTTCATTCTGTTCATCATTCTCTTTAGTATCAGTTCCTAATTCAGTAAAATTTGTTCTCCAAATAAACACCTAAAAGAAAAAAAAGAAAATCACATAATAAAAATTATTAATATAAGTTGTTAAGATTTAATAAAATGGGTTTGTAATTAATAAACTAGGTGGATCTCTTAAATTCTAAATAATACAAATATTTACCAATTTATCATCGCCAGCTGAAGCAAAGCCTAATCCACTTGGAGAAAAGGCAACAGCATTTACAGAACCACTGTGACCACTCAGTGTAAATATTGGATGTCCTTCCAGTAAATCTAAAATCTAATAATACAAATCCAATTAATTACAATTTTATAATAAAAAAAGAACCCTTAATCACTACTACTACCTTCATTTTGCCATCTTTACTAGAAGTCAATATATAACTGCCACTTGGGTGAAATGCTAATTGAGTTACTGCATCACTATGTATACTGAAAAAAAATTATATGTTATTCAAAATAAAATATTAAAAAAATGTAAACCTTGTATAAGTAAGAGAAAAAATTAAAAGAACTAATCTCTGCACCTATAATATTGAACTAGATTATGAGTCCTTATATCATATAGTTTTACATTCCCATGAGAAGTTCCAACAGCTATGTAGCAGCTGGATGGATGCCAGGCCAGATACAGTCCATAACCTTTTTGATCTTTATAGGTATGTATGCATTCACCACTATCAGGATTCCAAAGCTTAGTGGTCTTATCATCAGAACAGGAGGCTACTATGGATCCATCATGAGACATGCAAGCTCTTCGTACCCAGTTTGTATGTCCCACAAATGATGCTAGAAATTTATGTTTATCACTAGACCAAATTTTTACAATTTTATCATCCGATGCAGTTATTATCTGTAAAATAAATTAAATACATTTTGTGATTGTATTAGTGACATACTTATTTTTTTGGCAATCTTATCAAATATGTTTTAAATAATTTAGATATAAATGTATACAATAAGTAAATAAAACACAAACCTTGGATCCATCGTGACTAAACTGAACAGAGCGTACAGTTTGAGAATGAGCTTTAAACATTCCTATGCTACCTGTAACTGTAGGCACCCACACTCTAACAGTTTTATCACGAGATGCAGAAGCCATATGCTTTCCTGATGGAGAAAATGTTACATCCATCACCGCCTCATCATGACCTTGGAATCTATAGCTCCTCATATTACCACGAAGATCCCATAGCTTTAAGATACATAATATATTTGAGAAACAAATTTGAGAAGTACTTATATACATATTCAAATATTAAATAGACTTACTAAAACGCTATTATCCAATGAACTACTTGCCAATTGCTTTTCATTAGGATTATAAAACAAAGCTGTAACGCTATTACGATGTCCTTTTAAATGTTTGTCCAAAGACGGTTCGAGGTTTGTATAATTATTCTCCATTTATAACTTAATAGACTAATATCGGTCTATTTTTACACAAATTTCAGTATTAGACTTTTATCATATTTAAGAATTAATATTACTGAGATATTTATATATGTAGCAATATACTCTATGCTGAGATACGACTTATTACGAACTCGGTAAGTTTTAAATATTCAAATTTTGAATATTATCAGAAGACAGAAGTTCAAACTTCAAAACATTATATACATAGAGTATATTGCTACATATATAAAATTATATAGAGACACGAGTAGCATAGACAAAATACAATTTTCTTGATAAAAATAAAAGAAACTTCAGATGTAAGTTAAATGTACACTAAGTTCTAGGTATGTACTATTTTTTTATTACTATTGAATTCGTTAAAACATTGTATAATGATTTTTAAATAAACTCTTTATTTTATTTCATCTTAGTATAAGTACAAATTATTAAATGAAGTAATAACAATATTAATAGAGTAATATTATACAATATTGGATGATATTACAATCGACTGCAATCGACTAGGTTCGATATTATATCTGTGTTCTTTGCTGATTACAAGAAAAAAGTTATTGTTTATGGAAAGATTTTCCGATACATTTTGTGCCACACGAGGTATTTCTTGTGTTTTGAAATTGCTTATATTAAAATATTCGCAATTTACGTATAATATATCAAAACATTGATTCTAATTTTAGAACTGACAAATAAAAGACTCTTTATAGTTTTTTAGTTTGTGATAAAATAATTTTATGGGTAGTTCACGACTAATACCGGGTGCATGCCATTAAAATGTTCTTTTGAGTTTATTCATAAAACCTTGAAAATTTTTACAATTTAAATTTCAGCACGTAACGTGTATAATATGAAGTAAAATATTATCTTATGGGGATAACTTTTAGAGTATTCGTAGGTAAGCAATAAACAATTTTGCCTTTTTTTTATTTGCAAAAATATTTCATAATAATATCATATTTTTCGTATAAATGACATAAGTATCAATTATGATATACTTGCAAAAGGAATATAATTTTTTCTTTGTTATAATATTTGATATATGCAAAAGTTTTAATGGTAACATTTATAAAAACAAAAAAGTGATTGTTGTGTTTTCCACTATAGCAAAGCCTAGCTACAATGAATGTCGGAGCTTTTGGTGATAGAGAGGTGGCTCTCATTGCGGATGAGCTTAGCCGAGCTGTAGAACTTACTCTCAATCCCTCTGTAGCACATGATGACAGGAAACAAGCTTACACTGCCTGTGAGAGGTATGCTAGAATCATCAAGTACTTACATCAATAATAAATATTATTTTAGTAATTTAATATTCCAAAATAACACTTGTTACAGTTTCAAAGAAAATTCTCCATGGTGTGCTCAAGCTGGACTGCTTCTGGCTAGTGGAGCTCAGTACTCACCAGTAGTTAAACATTTTGGTCTACAGTTAATGGAACACACAGTGAAGTATAGATGGACCCAAATAACTCAAGCTGAAAAAATATTTATCAAGGTAACATATTTATTTATTTTTTAAAAATTATACTCAATGGTCATTTAGTTTTGGGTTCACTATTTCAATTATCATAATTTAATATTATTTCAATTATCATTTCAATATTATTTCAATTATCATTTCAATATTATTTCAATTGTCTTTTTCAGGAAAATGCAATGAAGCTCCTTTTTATGGGTGGCTGGGAAACCGGTCACTTAAATGATGCATTGGCTCGTGTTATTGTAGAGATGATTAAAAGAGAATGGCCCCAACAGTGGCCAACTTTGTTGGCTGAACTTAGTGATGCCTGCAGTCAAGGACATTTGCATACTCAAATTGTGTTGCATGTGTTTTTAAGGCTGGTGGAAGATGTTGCAACATTACAGGTTAGTTTTATATTTTTTTTATATAATATGAATAAAAATTGAAATAAAGAAAATTACTACTAGTTAATACAATAACTTTTATAGAGATGATTGATTCTATAAAGCATAAAGATTATTTATTTAAATTAAAGAAATAAAAACTAAAATAATGACAAGCTATTTGCTGGAATGCTATATTTTTCCCTCTTTGCTAAAGGTTTTTTGTCATTGAATACATTAAAAATGATGTGATCATTTTAAATAAAACTATCTTTTTGGATTTTGTCGCGGATTTATTTGCATTTTGTTAATTGTGGGTAGGCTGTCTGTAACAACTATACCTCCAAGACATGTAACACCTCAGTCTCTCCCGTGACCATGGATGCTGTAAAGCATTCGAAACGTCGGGAAACAAAAATGCAAATAAATCCGCGACAAAATCTGAAAAGATAGTTTTATTTAAAATGTCAAATATTCGCATAAATCTAAGAAAGTATTAAATGATGTGATCAATTATGAATGCATTTTGATGATATCATGTAATGTCAGTCAATTGACCTGCTGATAAAATTGTAATTAGGAAATGTATCTACACTAATATTATAAATGTGAAAGTTTGTGAGTATGTATGGATGTTTGTTACTCTTTCACACCAGAATGGCTGAACGGATCTGTATGAAATTTGGCACAGATATAGATTATAGTCTGGTATAACACATAGGCTACTTTTTATCCCAGAAAAATGTATGGTTCCCGTAAGATAGATATGTTTTTGTACTTCAGAGGCGAACCCAAGAGAAGCGAGGGTGAGCTGCTAGTGATAAATAAATGTTTTTTTTACATACATTTCTTACAGATGTTGTTGTTATGATGTAAATAGTATATTCCCAAAAGGTTTTCAGTAAATAAAAAATGACCCTGTATATGTCGATATTATATCTACAGTATAGAAGTATGTATAGTAATAAAAGGAATTACCTTATATAAACTAATATTATAAAGAGAAAAGATTTGATATTATGTATTGTGTATGTTTATATGTTTGTTTGTAATGTACTTACTCAAAAACTCCTTCACTGATTTTATACTTTTGCGGTTTGCCTATAGAAAGCTACTTTATCCAAATGAATTGCAAGAGATCCATACAAAAATTGTAATAATGTAACTTTAGGTATCTAAAACTACATATAAAAGTCAATATTTGGAACATGCTGCAAAAATAGCAAATTTTTAATAATATTATTTTAAAATATAAAATTATTATTTTGCTTATATAACTAGACATTGGAGCAGCATCAACGTCGTAAAGACATACACCAAGCTTTAACGAGCAATATGGCAGAGATATTCGCGTTTTTCATGCGTCTTATTGAAATGCATGTACAAGAATTTCGGGAGAAAACTGCTGCTGGAGATTATGCTGGAGCAGCCAGCAATGGGCGGGTCGTTCAGGTAATTGAGTTAACTTGAATTGACTTGTGAATGATAGGTAGTAGAAACAAACTGGTGACTTATATTTAGATGTTAGCTTAGGTTGGATTATTTATATTTCAATGTTGTAGCCAGGGCTAAATTGGAAAAAAAAACTAAAACAGTATTATTAGATTTTGAACATTGAATGTCCTAGTCAGTAATTATGCTATAATAAAGTTTATCGAAAAATTCCTTGCACTTTATTATTGCACAATTATTGTCATCTGCATAACAAAGAAGTTGTATAGTTTTAGATTACTAGAGATTTGCTTTAAATATGATGAACAAACTTTATACCTTTATTTTGTCTTAATTAAGTTCTTTTTTTTTCTTAAATGGATGTGCATGCATAAACAAGTGCAGTCCAATACTAAATGTAATGTAATTAATATAAAAAAATACACTACACTATACAATATTTGTCATTTGAAAATTCATTTCAGGTGGTGTTGTTAACCTTGACAGGATTTGTGGAGTGGGTATCAACAAATCACATTGTGGCGAACAATGGTCGCCTCTTACAGATCCTTTGCATTCTCCTTAGTGATGATGTTTTTCAACAACCAGCAGCTGAATGTTTATTACAAATTGTTAATAGGAAAGGCTCTGTAAGTTTATTTTTATCTATCTTCTGTTGGTTTTTCCTTGTTGTAACATGTATTTTTTATTTTTAAAGCTAGTTTAGTTTTATAAACAATATGTACGCTCATAGATATTTTAATTACTTTTTAACTAAAACTTTTTACCTTAATTATTTTGAAATTGAACAGAAAATTTATATTTCAAATTGCTATGAGAAAAGATATTCAATTTAAAAAAAGAACACCTAACAATTGAGCACCTCTATATATATTATTATTGTAATAATTCATTTTATTAATGACATACACAAACAATTTTTTACAGACTAGAGAGCGCAAACCCCTTATGATACTGTGCAGTGAAGACGCGATCTCGTGCATCCACCGCGCCGCACTACAAAGCATTAACACCCTCGACGAGCCTCACTATGCGTTCCTTAAGAAACTTGCACAGGTGAGCCTTAATAAAACTATCAAATTGTATTTATATGTTTATACTTATAAATATGTATTAAGTATACAGCGTATATTTATTGTATACATAATATTTTGCATTACATTGTGTACTAACAATAATGATTACATTGTACATGTTGCCAGGTTAACATTATCATGTTAATATTTTTGTATGGGAAAAATTATGTCATATAATAAAAAGTGATAATATGACATAATTTTTCCCATACAAAACCTAAACTTGCTTCAGACTAAATTGACCAATACATACTTCTCACAAACTGTACTAGCTATTTATAGCTATAATTTATTTTACATCAATACAACACTAGTTATGTTAAGAATTTTATTTAATGTTAACCTATACTAATAATATAGACGTAAAGTTAGTATGTAGGAATAATCTCTGAAATTAGTGACTCGATTCTTTAAAATTCACTACCGCCGAGTGTTGTAGGCTATTTATATTGTGATTACTATCAATTTGTTTTATGTATTTTTTTTTGAGTTCAATTAAATTCGTATAACGACTAAATCGAAAAAAAAAATGATTAAAAAAAATTGCCGTTTAGTTAACTTTATCAGCTATTGTTAGGCTAGTCGTTAGTTTTAAGTAAATTATAAACATCGTTTATTGTGTATGCCAGGTGGTGTCGGGTCTGGCGGCGCAGTTGGCGTCGATGTGGAGCTGCGCCGTGAACGCGGAGGCGTGGCTGCCGCTGCTGCTGGAGAGCGCGCTGCTGCTGACGTCGCACGCGTCGCTGTCGCTGGCGCACGCCGCCAACGCCGCGTGGCTGGCGCTGCTCAAGCACGAGGCGCTGCCGCGCACGCCCGCGCTGCAGGCCGTGCTGCCGCGCTGGCTCAACGCCGCCGCGCCCAAGCTGCTCAAGGTGACGCTCGCCTGTACACACACACATATACACACACGCATATATGTACATACAGTCGCCATACGCACACACATACCAGCGATGAGAGGGATCGTTAAAAATATACATCCGCGGATACGGATACGATTAAGGATACGTACCTTTTTTTATTCATAATATTACGGTATTAATATTAAATTCACGGAATGCACGATTTTCCGACTTACTATAAAAATATCATAATACCAATAGCTTATTTTTTGCAATATGTTTATAAATTATAAGCCTATGACCATCACTGATAATCCATTGGTTTTAATAATATGAAAATTCATACAATATTTTTTGATATTAGTTTGAATAAACACAAAGTCACACAGTGTGTCACTTTAATTTATTATATTATGTGATGTTTATAATGTATGTTTACGATATTGTGTGTGTGTACTTATACCCTACCTATTTGATTGAGACCAACCATCTCTTGACAAATATATTGGTACTTTCATTATATTTGCACAGTCCAGTAAAAATCTATATAAGACTGATTCGTCAGAAACTTTAGACGGGATATCCCATTAAGTATATAGCAATCTTTAAAATGATAATCTACTATACAAACTTTATATCGGTTTACCTTTAAGAGAATCATTTGAAGTAATTTCTCAGTATTTACTGAGAGATTTATAAAACTATATTGATTAAATAGCAACATATACTCGATTTGCTCGGGTGCATCTATATGTACCTATGTTTTATTTTTTTAGCGAGAACCCTCCTGACTATAATTAAAGTATCCTAAATTACTCCTAATGCCATCAGCTATCTGCTAATGAAATTCCCGTCAAAATCAGTCCAGCCCTTTTGGAGATTTTCCAAAAAAGACAGATAGAAATTTTTAAAATTGTGATTTTCTTTTAAGTAATAATAATATTTTTTATTGTCAAAAAAGTACAACTTACAATATATTTTATATCTAAAGGTAACTCACACTAGGCAAAGCCTGTATCGTGAGTACCATATATTGATTTACAAAAGAAATATTATTGCTCGATTAACATTGCTAGCAAAAGTTATATATGACAAAGAAATATGTAAAAACTATAAAAATAAAAATATTGCTAGTTTAATTTTGCATTTATGATATGCACATAAAAAAAGAAAAAACAAAAGCTTAATTAATATGAACATAATAATATGTATCTACACAGTTGCACAGCTTAGATAATTGAAGAAGCCCATTATGATATATCTATCATAAATAAGGTTTTCTGTAGCATCATATGTTAAAGTAGCGAGCTAAGACACCACTTTTGTCTTAGCTTTCTTTACTTTCAATGCTTTTTTCTTAAATTTCATATCCATTTAGTATAAAAAGCTGCTATTTTGACATTACAAATAGATAATTTAATTTATCTGTATAGATTTTTTTTTACATTTAAGTATATATGTAATTTACTAATATTGACAGGTAACTTACCCGTCGTCGCGCACCAGCGGCACCCACGACGCGGTGGCGTACGCGTGCATGGACTTTGACTGTGAACAAGATTTTACGAATTTCTTCATTCGCTATCGATCTGAGTTGCTGGAAACTTTCAAGTGAGATATGAGATATTGTTATCTTGCTTTGCTATGTGATAATATGTGCATTATATGACCTCTGAATCGCTAATATGATTATATTTAATTTGTCGTATTTGAGATAGGTAAGATTTAAGTGGTACAAGTAATATATTAAATTATGTAGTTTTCTAAAAATAAAGTCAAAAAGTAATATCTATACTAGTAAATGGAGAGCCGATTTTTTGTTCGGTTATACTGCGATAGTTACTGAACCGATCGGAATAATACTCATACCATAAGATGCAGCGTGTTTCGGAGAAGGTTTTAGTATATGGTATGTTAGTGATTAATGTACTATGCAGGCGGAGCCGCAGGAAAACGCTAGTTACTATATATTTACTATTTAAAATCCTAAATTTTGAAAATTTATACTAAACGTTAACACGTAAATAGGGACGAACACGAGCGGAGCGAGGGTGAGTCGCTAGTATTATAATGACATTGTATATCTTTGCAGATTTTGTATGACAGCAGCCCCAATAGTAACTTGGTCATATGTTGAGCAATGGGCACACACGGCTTTGGACAAAGTGGACTCTTGTCCACTACAACTTGATGTGACACATCCATTGTATGTTGAATGGGAGGCCTTAGCTCAGGTACAATAAATTTTAAAACATATTTGCTAAAATTTGGTCTTTATTACATTCAGTTTAATGAAGTACTTATATTTTGATTTACATAATATTTTCATTCTATCACGGTTCGTAAATAACAATTTAAAATTAAAAAAATAAATTACGTACCAACGTTCTATGTAACTAATGTGGCTTTACTTTGTCGATCTGTCTTTTTTGTCACATAATTTATCCCGAAAGAGATTTATTTTTAAATGTTTTTTGAAATGATAGTATATATATTTTAAATATATATTTTTAGCGACATCTATATTTGCATCGAGTATTTGTAAAAACCAGTGGTTGGGAATGCAACTACCATAGATAGAAATAATGAACCAAACGATGGCGTGATTTAATTCATTACTAGCGCCAACTATTATTTTAGAACAAAAATCGTTAAAAGCAAACATTATCTATACTTATACAGATAAATAAAATTGAAGTGTATGTTTGTAATATCAAAATAACAGCTTTTTACTAAATGCATATGGCTTTTTACTAAATTATATACGATATTTATAAGAAATACTCAATTTTTAAAATTATTCTCTGTCTGTCTGTTTGTTCGGTGTTTGTTCCGCTCAAAAAAATAAAATGTACTTAGGGATGAACCCGAACGAAGCGAGGGTGAGTCGCTAGTATATAAATAAAAAAGCGCTTCAACGCAGATGCTGGACGTGGTGCTGTCGCGGCTGCTGCAGGCGGAGCCGCGGCCGGGCGTGGCGGGCGGCCTGCGCCTGCTGCAGCGCTGCGTGGGCGCGGCGCCGCGCTCGCCGCTCATGCTCTCGCTGCTGCTCTCCTTCATATCCGCGCTCTTCGTCTTCCTCAGCTGCGCCTACAGCCAGCTCGCCGGTATGTGCACTTGGAACTGGATTTTTATAAAGGGTTTACTTTGAAGTGATGTTAATCTATACATATAATAAAAGTGTAACTCGATCGCTGTCTGTACATGGAAGACATTTGAGAAAAACTATCTTTGGGGCTCTTTTTTTATTTATTTTCTTGCGTAAATACGCAATAGAATTCAAAATAATGATTTAGAATTTTTGTCTGTTGTCGGTTTGTCTGTGCGTTTGTGCGCGCTTACTTCATAAACGGCTTAACCGATTTAGATGCGGTTTTCACTAATGTACTGTGGTAAGCTTTACTTAACATTTAGTATTTGTTTTATTTCAATCTGTTCATAAATAAAAAAGTTACATCAATTTAAGAATCAAATCAATCAAATCAAATCATAAGAAATATAAAATTCTTCTTGAAATAAATTGAAAGCTTGTTTTATAAAAAGAATCCATATAATGACTGTACTTTATGAGTAACTAGTGAGTTCTTTTAACTATACATTTTTATTGTTTTATTTTAAACAATATTAGTAGTGCACACCGATAAAACAACTCAACGGTAATTTTTTTCCAAGTCCAATAAATGTTATTATGATTTCTGCCAGTAAGCATATTTTTATCGAAATAAAAAATAGTATAACTTACGATACGATAGTCTATAGCACTCTGCAGTATAGTAGCTACTTATTAGTAACATGCTCTCTTGAGAAACCGAGTGAAATGGGTTAAAATCTGGGTCACTTCTGATATTTTCATGTGTTGAAATTAAAGTCCATTTTCAATATGGTAACCACGTGTTTTATGGTGAAGTAGTCAGAAGTAAACCATGGCCTGATCCTCCCCCCTATTGAAAGGAGGCCCGTGCCTAGCAGTGCAACGTTACATACAGATGATGAACGCGAATTTTTCATGAATTTAATTTTCAACAATCATAATCAAGGGAATCCGCCAAAATCAATCCGTGAAAAAAACCGAAAAGATAGTTTTATTTGAAATCTCAAATACATGCATATAATCTAAGAAAGTATTGAAGAAATCTAAAGACTGGTATATCGTCAGGGCCGGGCGTGGGGTCCGCGGGCGCCGAGCTGCTGCCGCGCGTGCTGGACAAGATCTTCGCGGCGCTGGTGTACGAGGGCACGCCGCCCGAGGACCGCTCCTGCCGCAACGTCAAGAACGTGCGGCGGCATGCCGCCGGCCTGCTCGTCAAACTTGGCTCTAAGGTACCATTTTACATTGGATTGTTCTAAGTTGAAATAGTTATAGATATCTATACTAATATTATAACGAGGTAAAGTTTGTGAGTTTGTAACGTTGTAAGGGGTAATCTCTGGATCTATTGAACCGATTTAGATGAAATTTGGTAAGAAGATAGTTTGAGACCCTAGGAAGGACATAAGATACTTTTTATCCCGGAAATCATCCCTTAAGGGGGTGAGAATGGGGATGAAAGTTTGTATTACGAAGCAAGCTAGGGACGAACCTGAACGAAGCAAGGGTGAGTCGCTAGTTTTATTACAATTTCATTTTTAATATGGTTTTGCTAGCGTCACTGGTCATATTGTTAATATCTGTTATTGCCGTTATTATTTATTGGCATTGAAATTTTAATAAATCTTTTAATATATTTAAAGTCAAATCTTGGAAGTGAATTTTACCTTTACAACATTTTTTTAAGAACTTCATTATGATACGATATTCGAGACTGCGAAATGAAACTTTGTATGTGTAAGGAGTAAGGACATGTATATTTGGGCGACAATTCTATAATTTGATATTTTGGACCTTCTTTGATGATGGATGCTACTAGTGAACCCCTCGAGTCCCTTGAGTTCGGTCTCACATGTTTCGTTTTAACAAGTTCCATTCATTTGAATCAGTCAAAAACGTGTTTTTTAATTCTTTGAAACTACAGATATATTTAACTTATTACATTTTAAATTTGTGTTCATTTTGCAGTACCCTTTGCTCTTGCTGCCAGTGTTTGGACGCTTGCACGAACTATGTCAAAATGCCCTATCTCGACCTGATCTCAGCGTAGTTGAAAGTGTTACAATACAAGAGGCGCTGCTTCTAGTTTCTAATCATTTCTGCTGCTATGAAAGACAAAGCGCTCTCGTAGCTCAGGTAAAATATTATTATTTAAAGTATTTTATATTTGTAAAATTTTAGTTGTAAGTATTATATCGAATTATTTTGGGTGCGTATAGGTTCTCGGCGACTGCAGAGAGCGTTGGGCGGCGCTGACGCCGCACCTGCAGTCGGCGGCGGGGCTGGCGCGGCTCGTGGGGCTGGACGTGCCGCCCGGCGACGAGGACCCGGAGCGGGCGCGCGCGCGCCGCACGCTGCTGCACGCGCTCACGCTCACGCTGGGCGTGGTGAAGCGCACGCAGGTGCCCGCCGACCCGGACAAGGCGGCGCGCGGCGGCTTCGGCGCCGGCGTCACGCCCGCCGGCCACCCCGTGTGGCGCAACCCCTGCGCCGCGCACGTGCTGCCGCTGGTGCCGGCCGCGCTGGCGCTGGCGCGCGCGCTGCACGAGCTGCACACGCCGCCCGCCGCCGCGCTGCGCCACGCCGGCCACGCGCGCGCGCTGGCGCCGCCGCCCGCCGAGCGCCGCAACCTGCTCGCGCTGCGCGACGACGCGCCCGCGCCGCCGCCGCAACCCGCCGACCGCATGCAGAACCTACTCAACACGCTACACGATAATGTCAGTTTTATTTTATTGTGGTGATCGTTATTTGCTCTGGAAATTATGGTTTTTAATAAGATAGAATAAGTAATTTTACAAAGTATAGAAATGCCAAAATTTTCTTATTATATATTTAATTAACAAATTACATAATAATCTTCTTATTTAAATGAAACTTAAATCATTCATATGTCAAAGAAAATCAGACAAGTACGAGACTGATCCTATACTGAAAGCTCCACATAATCTTCAATTCAAGCACAAAAACATTCAATTTATGTAATGTATACAAAACTTGTTACATTAATAGTAAAATAAAATATCCATTTACAATATTCATTTTATAAATATGAGCTAACAATAGGTGTGCCAGCTGGTGGGCGCAGCGGCGGCGTCGCTGGGGCGCGAGCTGTTCGCGGCGGCGGGGCTGGCGCGCGCGCTGGCGGCCGCGCTGCTGGCGCCGCTGCCGGACCACTGGCTGCGGCGCGTGCTGCGCGCGGCGCTGCGCCCGCTGCTGGCGCACTGCCCGCCCGCGCACTACCGCGACGTGGCGCTGCCGCTCGTGCAGCATCTGGCGCCGCTCAGTTAGTACTTACTAGTAGTAGGGGAGCCCAAGCGGGGATTTCGGGATTTACTGAAGCGCGGCAGATTAATATACAGGGGGATACCTTGTACCCGGTTAAGTACCTCCACAAAACATGAGGCCCATATATAAGGCCGCCCGTGAAGGATACAGGATCAAATTAGTAAAAAAAAATTGACCATCAGAAATTCTCGAGCGCGTCAGATTAAGGTAGGGTGAGTTAATTACATCCTAAAAAGTGTATATTCCACTAATCTGACAATTTGAGAGTGACGTACAAAAAGGGGAGGGCAACAAAGTTGTAAAAAAAAACGTCATCTCGACATTCTCGAGCGTAGCAAAATTTTTTTTTATTTTGAAGGAAATAATTCAAGAATAATGAAAAATATATAATCTGACGATTTCCGCAAGCCGAAATAACAAAAATTCGTAGATAAAGTTAAATGCGTGCAGCTGCGTGATGCCTACATTTCCTTCTCCGCGTGTCTATTCCTCTCTCACTCTTTCTCTATCTATTACTCTCTCACTCCGTCCCCACTCTGGTTTCTGCCGCCGTGACGCCATCACAGCTGATCATAAAGACTCGTTTGTTTTGTTTTGGCTTTTTTGCTATTTTAATATTATTTGTGTGAAGTATGATGTTGTCACTAAGTCTGTATGTATGTATGTGTGTGTGTATGTGTGACTCGCTTATATCTTTTCAACGACTAAACCGATCGGAATCTACTAAACGGCGTTCTAAAGATTTCCCTCAAAATTAGATTTCCTGCGAATTTGAACCGATTCGGACCGATAGATTTTGAGAAATTTTGAAAAATCTGAAAAAAAATATGCAACATTTTTTTTTGAAAGTGGTTTTTTTGGAATAACTTTTAACCGGCTTTATTAATTAACTTCAAAAACTAATCCGCCCTTAAGCTAGAAAAACCACGCCGATCGTCGCTAATCCGGTCAAAATCGGTTGATTCCTTCGAGAGATATCGTGAACGAAAGAAAACCGAAAAAAGTGTTTTTTCGGGATTACTCCGAAAGTTTTGGTTCGATCAATTAAAACCTGAAAATAACTTATGAGGATGATAAAACTGCGTCGAATGGCGTCAACCGCGTGAAAATTGCTTGATCTATTCAAAAGTTATTGCGGTTTGAAAATTCCAAAAATAGTGTTCTATGAAACTTCTATCAGACTTTCGAGCTGGGAGAGCTCAAATGCATAGAAATATTATTTCTTTGAACTCAGCGAGCTCAAAATATCACATAAATTATATTTTGAGCTCAAAAATGTCATAAGTACAATTTTAAGCGCCCAGGAATGGAATTAGCGGGAAGTTGCAGGTATGGCCTTTAAGGTGAACCGTTTTTCTAATTTTTTTTTGTCAGATCAGGCGAATCCCTCTAGATAATCGTCAGATTATGAGACAGTACGTTTAGAACATAAAGATGAACCATATATATCTTAATCTGACGCGCTTGAGTATTTCAAAATGGCTATTTTTTTTTGCACATTATGAAAATGGCCGCGAGTTTGCGTCCCATCGAAATCGTCAGATTAGTTAATGAGAGCTTTTTTTTGGTGCACTTAACACTCCCTTAGAAAATCTGACGCGCTTGATTAATTTTTTTTTTTTTCATTTTCAACCCTTAAATACAACCACCCGCATCATGCAAACGATCAGATTAACATACGTACATTATTAAAAATACGTAGGGCATTGATGCTATCAATATCTGACGAGCTCGAGGATGTCTATGCAACAGTTTTTTTTTACATATTTAAAAATCTATAGCCGCTTCCCCCACCGATGTAAAGGTATATATCATATAACATTTTTTTCTTCTTATCATCTAAGCTTTGCATCCCAATAGGTCTCTACGACGCTCGAGTAAATCCCCATTTAGCATCGTGGGCTCCCCTACTATAGTTACTACTCCTCCTAACAACAACATTGTAACTTAATATATTGTAGGAATTTTGAATTTGAACTTAAAATGTTTTTGAATTTTTCTCAAGATTCATTTTGAAAAAAGTACTGAACTGATTTTGATGAAACTTTACAGTAATGTAGCATATACATCAAAATAACATATTTATACTGGCTATAATTTATAAAAATGTAGTGTTACATAGTTGTACTACGCGGGCAGAATCGCGGACAAACGCTAGTTACTTATTATTATGTTCAATTAGTACACTTATGTACATATGATATTTTAATATTATTACTATTTTGATAAAAACATCATTATTGGTTTAGTATCTAAAAGTGATTTAAATGTAAATTCTGTAGTTTATTTATATTATAATTTATGCATTCATTCTAATACTTGATATTATGGAATTACTGGGAATATTTTATAAGTTTGCCAACGATCGAGACTAACTGGTCGGTTCGCTTACAGATCGGGGAGTCAACAGATAAATACGTAAAATTTAAATAAAAGTATAATAAATGATAGTAACAAAATTAATAATCCTACATATTTTCAATTCCAGTGCTCGTCCATCTTAACCAACGCTGGGAATATGTTACGTCTTTATACGAATCAGGCAAACTCGAAGAAGAGGGCGGCAGCGAATCTCAAGAGGTCCTTGAGGACATACTTGTCAGACACCTCAGTAGGGACCACCTTGATTTGCTCAAGGTAATTAAAACTCATCATACATATGTATATATATAGTCTAACTATTCCATGCTAACCGTTAAAACTTACCTAGGGACGAACCAGAGCAAAGTGAGGGTGAGTTGCTAGTACTATTACAAATGTGAAAGCTTGTGTGTGTGTATTTCTTACTCCATCACCCAGGAACGGATATGAATATATTTTAATACACAGATTGACTATAACCTGGAGTAACATATAGGCTAGGAACTTAGGAAAGCACATAAGTTTAATCCTTACTGGAGAAACGATTGATTGAACCTATACAAACTTCCACCCCTCTTTTCAATCCCTTAAGGGATGATTTCCGGGATAAAAACTATCCTTTATCCCCCCCAAGGTCTCAAATCTTCTCCATACCCATATTTCATCTAAATTGGTTGAGCGGATTAAGCGTGAAAAGGTAACAGACAGAATTACTTTCGCATCTATATAAATATAAAAATGTATCACCGAAATGTATGTATGTATGTACACGCATCACTTCTGATCGACTGCACTAAATTGGATAATTCTTTTTTTTTGTGTTTGTTATTTTCAGGAAGTTTTGTATAGAAGAAAATTAAAAGAATTTTTTTTACTAAGATAAGTTTTTTTAAATCTCGTATGAAAAGTGAGTGAGTGAAATAGTTTTTATCCCGGAAATCATTGCTTAAGGGGGTGAGAACGGGATTGAATGTTTGTATGTGGAAGCAAGCTAAGGACGAACCTAAGCGAAGCGAGGGTGAGTCGCTAGTTTATAATATTAGTACGGATCCCGACTAAATTTGGTGATTATAATTTTCAGGTGTGCCTAGTAGAAGGTGCAGCGATAGCCACGGAGACGCCGACGGAGATGGAGGACGAGAGCGCGCCGGCGCCGGGCCGCGCGCCCGAGCAGGTGTCCGAGCTGGGCGCCATCATACTAGCTGATTCCATTTCTGGACCTGCTGTCTTACATACTGTGAGCTATACTAATATTAACTATGAATATGATTTAAATTTTAAATATGTAATTTTATTTATGTTAGGGGAGCCCAAGAGGGGATTTTTGCAGTTACTTAAGCGCGGCAGATTAACATAAGGGGGGATACCTTACACTCTGTTGAGTACCTCCACCATATTATAAGTCCTGTACTTAAGGGCAAAGCACACGAGAATATAAAAACATTAATGTGTTGGACGACAAAATTTGCAATTTCAAATTAATTTAAATAAATAGTATTTTGTTCCGTTAAAAAAAAACGTAATGTAGCAATTTTTTTTTAATACAATAAAAATTTAGTATATTAATTATGGTTAATAAGCTAATAACGTTTTAAATAAAACTGTCTTTTCAGATTATTTCTCGGATTTATTTTGATATTTGGTTCTCGACGTTTTGAATGTTATCGTTTTATATGTACAGCAATCATAGTCACGGGAGAGACTAAGGTTATAGACGTCTCAAATGCGTTATATACTTGTCAGCATTCAAAACGGCAAGAACCAAAAATCAAAATAAATCTGCGAAATAATCCGAAAAGATAGTTTTATTTAAAACTAGCGGGTCACGCTCGCTTCGCTCGGGTTCGTTCTTCCGGGTTCGGTTTAGCTTGTTTCCCCATACAAACTTTAATCTCCATTCTCACCCCCTTAAGGGATGATTTCCGCGATAAAAACTATTACACTCACTCACTTTTCATAATCATAAGATTTAAAAAAAACTTATTTTAGTATAAATTTATTTTCTTTTAATTTTCTTCTATATTAAGTTTGTCCTGACAATAACAAATACAAAAAGAGAATTTGGTGTAGTCCTTCGGAAGTAATGCGCGTACATACATTTCTGTGATTCATTTTTATTTATATAGAAGTCAAATATTCGCGTAAATCTAAGAAAGTATTAAGTTAATACCGCATTATTCCCGTTACAGATATTACGAGCACTGACGTGGAACGACTCGACGACGTCGCTGCGCGCGTGCGCGCTGGCGCTGCCGGCGCTGCGCGCGGCGCTGGACGCGCCCGGCGTGCTCGGCGCCGGCGAGGCCAGCGGCGCGCTGGCCGCCGTGCTGCACGCGCTGCGCCTGCACGGCCAGCACGACGCCAACCAGGCCGCGCTGCTGGCTCTCGCTGTACAGGTACGTTTTGTCGATAGTCCGACGCCCATCAGGCCGCGCTGCCAAACTCTTGTTGTGCATGATTTGCACTTTGTTGCTACACGCACACATAATTTGTTGGCTTACTATTACAAGGTTCTATGTTCATTTTAATGAAGTTTAGTCATTTTTACATAGAACTTCGTTATTTTGTTATCGTAAAAAAAACAACATAGAACTATGTAAAAGTGAGCCAACGATATGTATAAGTATCTTTCTCTACCTTATTTAAAACCAATAGGCTTTTAAATAAATAAACTAATTATTATTGATATTAAATAAGAAGATATATTTGAAAGCAGTAAAGTCAGGTATTATTGTATCTATCTATCTGTCTGTTACTTTTTCATACACCTTTTTTTAATCAGCTGAACCGATTTAAATGAAATTTGGTATGGAGATATTTGAGACCTTGAGGATATAGGGAAGTTTTTGTCCTGGAAATCATCCCTTAAGGGGGTGAAAAGAGTGGTGGAATTCTGTATGGGAAATTGCATAATAATGTAATACAGGATTTGAAAAACATGTATTCACCCTTTTTTAACGTCCCACTGCCGGGCACGGGCCTCCCTTCAATACGAAGGGTATCAATCAGGCCATAGTCCACAACGCAGGCCAAGTTCTGATCGACGGACTTCACATAGTAATAACATAAACAATATTTTCCAGACATACGAGGCCCTCCGGCCGCGTTTCCCGGGCATCGTGGCGGTGCTGCGCGCCATCCCCGACGTGGACGCGCACGACCTTCAGCGCCTCGACGAGAAGCTTACCTCAAACACCGCCAAGCCCGCCAAGATAGATAAGGGCAAGCGGGAACTGTTCAAGAAGATCACTTCTCGGGTATCTATATACAAAAATAAAATTGAAGTGTTTGTAATGTCAAAATAATAGCTTTTTACTAAATGCATATGGAATTGTATACGATACTTATAAGAAAAACACAATTTTAAAAATTTTTGTCTGTTTGTTTGTTCCGGCTAATCTCCGAAACTACTGGACTGATTTTGACGGGACTTTCACTGATAGATAGCTGATGTTATAAGGAGTAACTTAGGCTACTTTTATTTTGGAAAAAGAATTAAGGTTCTACTGACAAAAATTAAAATTTATCCGGGGTACACCCGAGCAAAGCGAGGGTAAGTCGCTAGTATACCCTAAAATGTGATTACATGTAACGGTGGCCAATCTCACTGATTGTGGAATTAGCCAACTAAGCAAGATATAATGCACTATAGTGCACAAGTGTACATAATATAGTGTGTAAAACATGCATTCTCTATTCCTGTCACTATCATACTTCAGTGGGACGACTGCTGGGCACTACCAGAGATCAAGCACTAGACCGAAGTTGTGTTTTCCAAAGCACGAGGGTGAAACACAGCAAGCTCTGGGCTGTTACTGATTTTCTTGACAGAAAGACCTAATAACTAAACTTGCCCGACCCTGAACTTGAACCCAGGATCTCCATAATGAGCAGCATACTCTCAATAGGCTAACACTCAAACACTTGTTTTTACACATACACAACACAATGGCACAACAGACTTATTCCTCTTTCTCTTATTTTTGTTAATTTGAAGTACAATACTTATTTCTCTTCTAAGCTCTCGTAATGCCTTCAAACATGCCAAACATTACTTTCCTGTTGTGCACATTCATATCAAATTTTATAACACCCACCTTATAGTTAGATTTATAAACTACAATTAATATTAATAAATTATTAAACTATAACTTAAGTTTATAAATTTTGTTTCAGTTGATCGGACGAAGTGTAGGGCAGCTGTTCAAGAAGGAAGTGTTCATACTGGATCTGCCGACGATGCACATACCGAAAGACAAGCCCCGGAGCGCCCTCGACTCCGCGGACGGCGCCGCGCTGGAGGGCCTGTTCAGTATGAACGCGCCCACTTAGCGAACACACGGCCTTCGTTTTAGTTGTAATATTCCTATAGGAACCATGCGAACGTGACTTTTACTTTATATTACAGTATCTAAGATACGCTACATATTTATAATGAAATGAGCCGGCTTGTGCCTACGTTGTGGTAAATGACTGACGAATGTTTTACTTTTATTTTTAAATTTGTTTTGTATTTACTTGTTTGTTTAATTGTGATTGTATTTAGTTGTTTGTACTACGCGGGGGCTACTTACGGTCGCATGGAATCCTTCGCATCGACAATGCGCTAGCCATATCCTACTCGCAATGTAAAACATTCTTTGTGTATAATAACCGGTTTATATGTTAATAAATTATATTGTAAAATTGTATCCTGTTTTATTAATACCACATTACATATACTTCATTGAAAAAGATAGATAAGAAGAAAGTTATGGTAGCTTAATATTATAATGAAATAAATTATAATCATGTATTTAGTTAATAAGTGAGTAAAAAGTCTACATAACTACGTTATATTTTCTTAAATAAAGTTCAATACTAAATTCATTTATATTTTTTCATTAATCTATTGGACTAAGATCCCACTGCAAGATTGCTACGTTCATTGCATATTTAATCGAAATCAATTTTTTATATACAATAATAAAAGGGACAATATGTTTTGAACGAGGTGCCTATTCAAATGTGCCCGCTAGTGTGTTTAATTAACTAAATAATAGTTGACTTTTTGGAATAAAAACGATGCATTTGTTATTACAATGAATTATACTCCACTTCACAGAACTATACGTAGAGATCTTGAAAAATGATAGCTGCCGTTGAGCATTTGGCCGCAACCTCTTCGCAGCCAGGTGTAAGCGGGTCATATTTTGGTATGTTTATGCGTTCATAGCGTACATGCATCATTTATATATCAAATTAAAGCTAATTTTTTTCTGTACCTGATATACTACGTCTGCCTATGTAAGAGTGGCCATAAAAGTGGTTGCGAGTCATTAAAAATGTTTTTGTTACATTTATACGTTCATGGCGTATATTCATCATTTACATATAAAATTAAAGCAATATTTTTTCTGTGCATGATAAAATACCTCTCACCTATGCTAAAGTGGCCGCAATGGAAAGAAAAGAAGAAAAGAATATAATATTATATGTCATTTGATAGATAATAACAACAGTTACCATGGCAATCTTATCTGTATACTTTTACCCCAAAAAGTACTGAACAGAAATTTACTTAATTTTGTGTAATATTATTATTCAGGTAAATGTTTGGGAAACCTTTTACTATAGAAAAATTTCACCAGCTCAGTCGGGAAAACTATAACTGGTTCAACGGAGTTGTCCTATAGAGAAAAATTTTTATACAAGAATCATTTGTAGCACAGTTTAAATTAACATAATAAACAATTAGGTGCGGTTAAATCTCTCTTTTTCATAAGTTAAATGCAAAATTTACTTCGAGAGGTGTAAGCTTTAAGAAGACCTACAGAAAGGTCCGCGATAACATGTATCCTCCTATCCGAAGGTACACAGAGCAAATAGAGGTCACAACACCTATTTTTATCAATTTATTAAATCAATACGTTTTTTATCTAGGGACGCACCCGAGCAAAGCGAGGGTATGTCGCTATTAAATAAAACAGGATAATCATAAAATACATATAATCGATTTCTTCAATAAGAGAAAAGAAATCCCTAGTTCTGACATCATGTCAATATTTCTATAGACAAATGTTTATTTTTTAGTTCATTTTTGATTTTTTGTTTGTTTTTAATATAAAAAAAAAACATTTTACCAAATGCGTATTTTTTGAACATATGCCATGTATCGTCTATTCGGGCCAAACAAAACAGAATTACGGCAGTATTTTCGAAAGTACTTTGAGTATTTCTACTTTTAAAGTTTTATATCATCTGTGGTAAATAATATAAAGTAACAAATAAAACAAAAAATCGTATAAATAATAAATAATTTATTAAGTTACTCGTAAGTATATAAAAGCTGAACACCCACATCGATGTTGGTGCCGTTGTTGACAAGCTCTACCTTGGGGGTGTCCACGTCCACCTTGAACACGGACCCATTTTCTAATATCAGACATTTAGTTTCATAGTCTCCGATGACAGGGATTTTACGAGGTCCCAGTAAAGGATCCTTGTATCGCCATATTTTTAGAGAGTTTGTATCTGAAACAATGTTATAATGAAAGTTTAGTCATATAAAAGCCATATAATTAAAACACTAATGAATAAAAAAATGATTTATAAAGATATACAGAAAAACCACTGAAGGGATTTTGATGAAATTTGGTATGGTGATAGCTGGTTATCCGAGTATAGGATACTTTTTACTGCTAGTAAATATCTCATTTTTGAGAAAAAACACATAAAACTGCAATGTAAGAGTAGGTACACTAATATGTAAAACCTAAGAATATAGTTTTTGGTCATCTGAACGCGGGCAGAGCCTCGGGCAATGCTAGTCAAATATATAATCTTAACTGCAGTTATTAAAATATTAATAGTGCAGTGCAATTAGTCTAAAAAAACAGCCTAACTACTAATTTATAAACTTTTAACCCCCCTCTCCAACAAACCCGATGCTCAAAATGGTGTAAGTTTTTACCGAACAATATGTGTACTGTATAGAACAATTTGGAGCTGATGAGAAACATTTACTTTGGATGTTGAGGTTTGGGTCTAATTGCACCGTACTATTAAAGAACTACACACTAAAGTTTAGTGTCCTTAATTATTGCGTTAACAATTGTAATTCTCGTACATTTATTTATAATATTGTCAGATATTTAGAAAGAACTTGACTAGACATTAGAACAGAATAGGTAAGTGTGTCATACGATAAATGATGCTCGTACAATTTAAAGCTTACCCTTTATAGCCTTAACTTCCTTAGCCAGCCTGGCCTTCAGCTTCTCGACAGTGTCTCCATCAGCCACACCCAGTGTCAGCGTGAACAGTCCGGACCGAGGCGCGGGGTTCGACAGCACCAGCGCCAGCCGCGGCTCGGACAGGAAGCTGATGTGAGGCGCCCCCGGGGCGCAGTCCTCGCGAGTCTTCTCTGGTGCTTCCTCGCTGTCTGTGTGCTTCACCTCGATGGATTCTAACTGGAATGTTTCATTTGAGCTTAGCACCGATTTCTATTATTATCAACAAGCGACTCACCCTCGCTTCGCTCGGGTTCGTCCTTCGGTACGTTTTATCAGTTAGTATGAAATACAAAACTTTGAATTTCTCGGCTTTTCTGTACTATAATATGCATGTATTATACATATATAAACCTTCCTCTTGAATCACTCTCTCTATTAAAAAAACCGCATCAAAATTCGTTGCGTAGTTTTAAAGATCTAAGCATACATAAGGACAGACAGACAGCGGGAAGCGACTTTGTTTTCTACTATGTAGTTACAATATTTGTGCTATATATAAAACTAGTGACAACCTTGCTCCGCTCGGCTGAGCACGAGAAGTGTTTAATTCTGTACTTAATTGACAAGTTTAATCTTACAGATTGACATAATAATGATAATGTAATAGAAAAACTTTATATATCATATTGTATAAATCATAGTCTGTAAACATTACTGTAGATAATCTTTCTTCCTATTGATGAAAACTGTATGAAAATCGGTACAGTATATTCTGAGAATAGCCCAGACAAACACAAACTTTAATTAATAATACATATCCATATGTAGTGATCATTACTTTAAACAAAAATATGCATCAACCTCAGACCAATAAAAAAGTATAGACAAAGCTTTGCGCACAAAAAGTGAGGCAAGTAATATGAAGACGGCCGGCGAGTGAGTGAGAGTGCGTGACGTGCTTTTGGTAAAATAATAATTGCGAAATTAAGCAGTCCTGTATCATAAACTGCTGCAGAAACAATTTTTTTTTAAAAAAAAGTCTTCTAGGATAACTTTTCACAAGTTACTGATTTTCTGTATAATTTAAACAAAATCTCAAAAATATTTAACATAATTCTCCGAACACGACTTCTAGACGCCATTGTGTCAATGATGCAACAGCTTTAAAATATATAATTTCAAAACATCAATATTTATTCATCTTTAAAATATATAATCACAAAAGATTTCAAAACATCTTACACGAAAATAGTGCTTTTTAACTCATACGTCAGAAGCAAGCTGGAATATTGTTCGACTGTATGGAACCCTTATTACCAAATTCACAAAAATAGACTAGAAAGAGTACAAAAAAAGATATTACGTACATTATGTTATAAAGATAATTTAGAATATAATTACAATAATCTGTTAAAACACTATCGTACATTTTCATTGTCCACACGAAGAGATATTTTGGATCTTTGCTTTTTGAATAAAATTATAAATGGAGATATTGATTGCCCTGATTTAGTACGAAAAATAAAGCTAGCAATCCCTAGAAACACTGTTAGGACTTCTAGCTCTAAGCAAACGTTTGTGACCAAAATTGCTAGAACAAACTTAGGCCGTAATGCACCTTTAAATAGAATCATACAACTATACAATACTATCTCAAAAGAAAAAGCTGACATTGACATTTTTAAGTATTCTGGGAAAGCATTCAAAAGAAAAGTTAAAATGCATTTTTTAAGTTTAAACTCAAATTATACCACTTAATGTTATTATATTTCTATACTATACAATTTTAATCAATTTTACCCATATTTTTATATCAACTGTTTACTTATACCTCTTACCAAATAGTTTTAATTTGGAACATTTAAAAATTTTTGTTTTACACTGTTTTAAATATTTTATATTTTTAGTTGTAGTTTTTATAATTTTTGGATGTTTTTTTTTTGGCAATAACTTTTTATACCATTTAAATTTTAAACCTTCACATTTTTTTTAAGTATATATTTTTTTGTAATTTTTTATGCATGTTTTTTTAATTGTTTATTGTTTTTTTTAACCTTACTTTTTTTAACTTTACACTTTTATTAAGTATTTTATTTTTCATAGGATAGATATGTAGTATAAGTTTCGGAACAGCTAGCTAGTTTACGCATGTTAAGTTAGCCTATAAGTGTGGTGTATAGTGTAAAAAAAATATTTTATAAGAAATTATTATGTACAAAAGATCAAAAGCACTGTATACTATGTTGGCTTCCTATATAATAAATAAATAAATAAATATAATAGCATTGAAGCTCTAAACTTATTTAAAATAAAAAATAAATATTTGATAACAACTCACATCAAGCGTGTTAAGTAAATATTGTAAGTTATCTTTCAACACTGCGGCCTCGTCGAAGGGCAGCCCCACGGAGAGCGCGTCGCCGCCCACGCGCTGCACGCTCTCCCTCGTCGCCTGCACGAACGGCATTACCCGCTTCATGTACTTCTTCAACTCTGGTATCTCGGAGAGCTTACTCGATATCATCTTGTTATCTGGTAAACCTGATGGCTGAAAAAACTCATAATGAACTACCACATCTATACTAATATTATAAAGAGGTAAAGTTTGTGAGTTCGTGATGTCGTAGAGGGTAATCTCTGGATCTACTGAACCGAATTAGATAAAATTTGGTAAGATATGTAGTTTAGACCCTGGAAAGGATATAGGATAGTTTTTATCCCAGAAATCACCCCTTAAGGGGGTGAAAATGGGAATGAAAGTTTGTACGGGGAATCAACCTAGGGACGAACCTGAGCGAAGCGAGGGTGAGTCGTTAGTATACATATAATAAAATATTAACGAAGCGAAATGTGTACATGAAATATTTATTTAAAAAAAAAGGCCTGTGGCGAATTGTGTTCAGAATATAGACCCCAAAACAATAGTTATTGACATTTTTGTCTGTTTGTCTGTATTCATTTCAGGCAAAAAGTACTGAACTGTTTTTATTTTAGTTCAAATTCAAATTATTCAGCATTAAATTATTTCAATTTTTTACTGAACGTCATGAGTCTACTATCAGTTCGGAAAGAAGAAGCCTCACCTGAGAAGAACTGGCGAAAGAAACTTAGCGGGATAACTCTTGTCAATATTTATACCATTTTTCTACAGGAAAATCTTTCATTCTCACATGAAAGCACACAATTGGTTCTGTCGTGTCATCCTTAGAAATTTATATGGCTTTCACTAGCTAAATCTTAAAAGATACATCACAACAATGTACTACAAAATTGAAGGTCTTAAAAGTATACAAAAAAGTCCGCATTAGCATATGTCTAGCTCCTAAGGTACACTCGCATTAACTATTGTTATCTATTTAAAATGTACCTAGGGGCGCAGTCCGCTATTTATATGTAATTAATTATGTAATAATGTATTTTCTATGACTTTTTGTCCTACATTTTATTCATATAGTTATCAAAGGCCAGTAATCTTCAACTTTAGTGGAATTATATATGATGACAGTAAACATATTGTTATCGAAATAAGAAGGTAATGTATCTTTCCACAAGCGAAAAATTTTCAGTGTCGGATCAGTAATTTCTTAGTTTAGTTTCATCCGAAGTTTCATTCCTAAAAACCTAAAAAAAAAGTATATTTTACTACTTACTCCATTAAGTTCTTTCAAAGTGCTCAATATAATGTGTTGCCATTTGGGAAATTCTTTGGCCACCCATATAATTGCTTTATTTGGTTTGGGTTCCGGCTTCACCGTCTCACCCTTTTTGGGTTTCTTGACTGCGCAGTGATTTTTCAAGTAAATACGGAAAGAGTGTGCTGCCTCCATCAGATAGTTACTCGCCTTCACCGCGACCTCGTCCACTTCCCCCGCCACAGGCCATCTCTCGTGGAGAATGCTTTCTTTCTGTTATATTAAATTTAAATATTTATAACTAAAATAAATTTAATATATATCCATATTATATATCTGCTTATATTATAAAGAGGTTAAGTTTGTGAGTTTGTGACGTTGTAGAGGTAAACTCTGGATCTACTAAGCCAATTTAGATAGAATTTAGTAAGAAAATAGTTTGAGACCCTGGGAAGAACATAGGGTACTTTTTATCCCGGAAATCATCTCTTAAGGGGGTGAAAATGGGGATGAAAGTTGTTATTGGGAATTATGTTAGGGACGAACCCGAGCGAAGCGAAGGCGAGTCGCTAGTAAATAAATAAAAAGGGCTTAATAGGGCTTAATAGAGTATGCTAAGGTAGTAAGTAGTAGCATTGCATACATTCCCCAACAGCTGCCACACGTGCTCGGCGACGTGCGGGCACACGGGCGCCAGCAGCGCGGCCTGCACGGCGCCGTAGCGCGCCGCCAGCGCCGCGTGCACGCCGGCCTCCCCGCACAGCTCGCGGTACTTGTCCCGAGCCGCTTGCAACTCGAAGAAACCACTCTTTAGAGCCTCCTTGAATAACATCCTCTTGTAGTTATCATCTGTCTCCATGATTTTGGTGTTCATCTCGCTTATGAAAACTTTGTCGTGGAAATTGTATTCCCCTGAGGAAAGGTTTTTATTAGATTTTTTTCTGTTTTTATTTAAATATAATATATGACTTTTAAGTAATAATACTTATCCATGTAAATACAAATGAAATGCTGTTGGTTAGTAAGAGTATCACATAAGGACAACTGTACCAATTTAGATAATTTATCTTTAAAATGTTCATATTATTTTAAATAAGATTTTTATGGCAAATGAGGGGAAAAATCTGCCCAAAAAATTAGGTAATTAGGAAAAATCCTGTGAGATCAACTGGCATTTAATATACTTATATGACTATAACAGTTGAAGCCTATTGCTAACAAGACATTTGAAGTTATATTAACTTACCCTTCCTATAATTGGAACTATTAGCCACAATTTCCTTTATCCATTCGATAAATGTATACAGTCTCAATATGGCAGCTTCGGCTGTACTTTCAACAAAGTTAGCGTCTTCGACCGAATCGCCGGCGTCTGCTAGAGTGAGGCGCATACCGTCTGCACTGAATTTATCAATACTTTCAGATAAAGTGAGGAAGTTCCCATCGGATTTGGACATCTTAGCTGAATTCAACATGAGATGTCCATTGGCTCGGATGGATGTGGGCCACTTATCTTCTTCGTCTTCCCACATTGCACAATGGTTGTATATGTAGAAGGTCAGATGGTTCTGAATTAAGTCTTTCCCCGATACTCTCAAATCAACGGGATACCTAAAAATAGATTATTCAAATTAGTAACAATAGTTAAAAGATAAACGTGAGTTTCATTAAAACTATATAATAGTATAAAAAAAAATTTGACCAAACATCCCTAAGTGACTTTGAACAAACTATGCCAAAAATGAAATTTATTCTTTGTTTAGAAAAAAACGATTCATTCTTAATCTTTATAACATTTTCAAGAGGAAATAGCAACAATATACAAAACTAAATAGAATCTGTAATAGCATTAGCCCGCCTTTTGCACATCTGTTGATTCATATTAAGTGCAAACCATTCGAACTTCGCACGTCGGAAACCAAAAATCAAAATAAATCCGCGAAATCCAATATGTTTTATGTAAAATGTAAAGTATATAATTTACCAGAAATTGAATGACTTCTTCATAAGATACAAAGATTCCTTTGATATGTTACTTTTAGGAACTGGAGCATCCTTAAAGAATATGTAGTCCCAAACAGCAATAGTCATATCTTCAGGTTTGATTTTTAATGCATTATCACTAGTTCCTTTAAATGTGTTGCCTTGGAGGAAGTGGGATATTGTGTAATAGGCATTGTATATGGTTGAGTCCGAAAGAGATTCTATCACCCATTGCTGATCCCATGGTAATTTTGTTCCTGTAATACAAACAATACTTTGAATATTTTTTGTTGTCTATTTCTTATTGTCACTGCTGTTACTGTTTTAAATTAGCATAGAATTAAGATATATAAGGATTATTTAGTAGTTTTTAGTAACTTTATTTCAGTATAGTTTTATTATAGTCAACATTTAGGGTATTGCTTGGGGCGGGCCTGGATCTATGCTTTCACGGTTCCCTTACGACATGCTTCGCATGGTAGTGTAGGCGCAGGCCTACCCTACTGTCTCCTTCAGAGACGGTAGGGTGGCGTTGGTCTTGGGGGAGAGTGACGCTTTTGTCGCAAAGATCCCCAAGGCAAGTTCGGTGTACTATCCTTCACGAGGTTGCCAGCCCTGTTATTGGTCTAGTTCACTAGGAAATAGACGCAACAGAAAACACCGAGCGCTTGCTTTCACTTTTATTTATATATGTATGTTTATGTAAGTGTATCTATGAAATATATATGTACGTATATGTATAGCATTAGTTTAGAACCCAATCCAAGGTGTTATTCGTACCGTGCCGAGGGATGCGTGGCTGGGGGGGAGCTCAGTCGCTAACGGTGGCTATCCGACACCTGGACGAATCGGGTAGTATTTTAAGTCCTCCCATCGACATGCGGGGCTCTGTCGGTGGGCATTTTTATTTCCCTAGCTACTCGTGGGACCTGAATGAATATGGACCAAAAAGATAAAAAAGTAAATGACGTTACCACGTCACAAACCCTGGACGAATTGTGCCAGGACCTCATGCCGCTGACAATGGGTGCGGATGAAACCGCCCAAATGTCAGCGCAACCAATGGAGGTGACTGCAGGCACCGAAATGGCGATAGGGGCTTCTACAAGCCCTGAATCACCTACTGGTAACCCTGCTGCCACCTCCTCTGATGCTGCCCGACCCAAACGCAAAAGATTGAGTGGGGCAGCCTTAATCCGACTTAAGGCTCTTAGGGGACAGGGAGTGGAGGCTGCAAAAGCCTACGAACTGTCCGCTAAAACCTTTGCGGAACTCAGGGCTATGGGGTATCGTTTCGAGGCTTCGAAACCCGAATCCGAGCGCTCCATCAAAAGGACTCGCTCGGAGGAGGAATCACCACAGGGACAACCAGCAAGGAAGTCCCAAAGGTCGAGCGAAGCACCGTCGGCCCCACCACCTCCAGCTGCCTATAGTGCGGCCTTATCTTCCTCCAAAGTTGGCGTGAGGGACTCCACTCCCATGACTGACGCACAGCTGCAGTCACTCTACAACGCAATTGTGGCCCAAATCACCACTTTGGAGAAGGGTAAGGGACCTGCCTTTGGCGGACTATCATTCAAGCCAGGTTGGCTACTCATCACCTGTGCTAACCAGCATGCCAGGGAATGGCTTGAGAAATGTATACCTTCCTTACAGCCGTGGCCAGGAGCTAAGCTCGCTCTCATTAATGAGAGCGACTTGCCCAAACCAAAGGTTGGGGTGGTATACATTCCCGATCCGGAGGCCAAAGACGTTGATAAGGCGCTCTCCTGTCTCCGGATACAAAATGATGGCCTTAATACGGAGCTGTGGAAGGTTCTCAATAGGAAGGCGGAGAAGGGCGGGATCACACTCACCCTCTCCATCGACGACCAATCTGTTGAGACCCTTCAAAAAACCGGCATGAAGGCCTACTTGGCTTTCAAATCGGTCCAGTTCCGTATTAAGGGCATCAACCAGACGCCAACGAATCCTGGGACACTTCCCTCTGAACCTGTGCCGTCTACCTCTCGTTCTGGGGCCGCGGCTGCTGGAGCAAGCGCCAGCGTTGCTGCGCCTTTACCATCTGCTGCACCTGGCGTGGCTCCTGTGGCCGGGACCAGCGGAGCGACTGGTACTCCGCACAGGTTTCCTCGTACAGGGGGGCACACCAGGGGTGGACAAACCCCCAGAGGCAAGAGCCAGCGCCCCCGCAAACAAAAGGGACCCAGACCCAGCAAGGGCAGTGACAAGCGCAATGGGGCCCGTCCCCAGTAGCGCTTCACACCCAACTGGCGACGCCCCCACTAAAATACTCCAAGCCAATCTACACCACGCTATCGCTGCCACAGCCGTGGCAGAAAACACTTTTAGGGCAAATGGCATGGATATAGCGCTGGTCCAGGAACCATGGCTTAACGCCAAGTCCAAGATTTCGGGCTTAAATGGAGTAGGTAAGATCCTAGCAAACGAAAATGGCACCAAGCCTAGGGCCTGTATCGTTTTTAAGAAAGGTATTAATTTCTTGCCTGTTACAGAACTTAGCAGTGATGACACCGTTGCTGCAATCACCGTTCTCAGAGGGCGTGGTCAAACTAGAGCACTTGTGTGCTCGGCCTACCTGCCCGGAGAGAAAGCCAACCCCACCGAAGAACTGTCTAAAGTCGTCGACTACGCTCGAAAACACAAGACAGAACTAATTGTTGGCTGCGATGCAAACGCCCATCACACAATCTGGGGAAGTACTGGTACCAACAAAAGAGGTGAGTTACTTTTAGAATTTCTCCTAGCTAACGACCTTCAAATACTTAATAAAGGCTGTAATCCAACCTTCGCTACTAGAGCTAGGCAGGAAGTTCTTGATATTACTTTTGCTACTGTACAAATTGCAAAACACATAAATAAATGGCATGTCAGTAATGAAAACTCTATGTCTGATCACAAACATATTGTCTTTAGCATACAAGGCTCAATAACCACTGAACCTATAAGGCTTAGAAACCCCAAAGCCACCTCGTGGGTAGACTTCAAAAACCTGCTCGCTGAGGCAGCTAAGGATTTCCCAAAATCAATAAAGACACCCGACTCCCTCAACATTTTAAACAACTTGCTAACGGATGGCATCTTAAATGCCTATGAAAATAGTTGTCCTGTTAGGGAACTCAAGGTTAACACCAATACTCCGTGGTGGAACAAAAAGTTAGAACGACTTAGAGTATCCACACGTCGCTTATTTAATCAGGCCACTACACCGTATGGGTGGGAACGGTATAAGAAGGCTCTGACTAAATACCATAAAGAGATCAGAAAAGCTAAAAGAGCATCTTGGAAACGATTCTGTGAGAATATCGCCCAAACACATAAAGGAGCGAGAATCCACAAGATCCTTGCCAAGACACCAAATATCTTTCTTGGCTTCTTAAAAAAGCGAGACAATTCCTTTACGACCACAGAGATGGAGACGCTGGAACTGTTAAGAGCAACCCATTTCCCAGGATCGTACCCTGTCTCCAGCAGTGAATCAAACCCAAAGGAAAACTACATCCACAGGGCAAATAGTTGCGACTGGAAGATGGCCAATACCATATTTAGGCCTAACCAGATTAGATGGGCTTTGAAAAAATTCAAACCATTTAAATCAGCAGGGGAAGACGGAATTTTTCCAGCCCTACTTCAACAGGGCATGGAACTCCTTATCCCGCATCTGGTAAAACTATTTAGAGCAAGCTTTGCTTGGGGCATCATACCAGAACAATGGACTAAGGTCAAGGTTATCTTTATACCGAAGATCGGTAAAAACGACTACTCTCAGCCCAAATCCTTTAGACCTATTAGTCTTACTTCTTTCCTACTAAAAACAATGGAAAAAGTAATCGATCAGCACATTAGAACAAGGTATCTTGTGGCTAGACCACTTTCCTGCAATCAACATGCTTACCAAAAGGGTAAATCAACAGAATCTGCCTTAGTAGCTCTGATCGACAAGGCAGAAAGGTCCCTAGAGGATAAGCAGACCGCTCTATGTGCGTTTCTGGACATTGAGGGGGCCTTTGACAACACATCTACGGCAACCATCCTGAAAGGATTAAATGCAAAAGGTGTTGATGTCACAACCACCAGATGGGTGGAATACATGCTCTCCAACCGGTGTGCGAAAGTTACGCTAAACGAACACTCGCACAACTTTTACACTACCAGAGGCTGTCCGCAAGGAGGAGTACTTTCACCCCTATTATGGACACTAGCTGTAGACCTACTACTTGTAATCATGGCTGATCTCGACTACGATACACAAGGCTATGCAGATGACCTTGTTGTAGTAGTAAGAGGTCCTTGCCTTAACACAATTTCCACCAGGTTACAAGGGGCTCTCAACACCATCACAAGATGGTGTAGAGAAAATGAATTATCAATAAACCCTGATAAAACAGTTATTGTACCATTCACCAGGAAAAGGAAGCTTGAAAGGCTGACTGAACTCAGACTCAATGGCAAAACCCTTAACCTATCAAATGAGGTAAAGTACCTTGGAGTCACTATTGATCAAAAGTTGACCTGGAACTCTCACCTCAACAACATTATAAAAAAAAGCCAAAATGGCCCTTTGGATATGTTGTCGAATGGCTGGAGCAAAGTGGGGTCTCAAACCCAAAATGGCTCTCTGGATGTACACCGCTGTGGTAAGGCCGATTATAACATACGCCTCAGTCGTATGGTGTAACAAAACCAAACAAAAGACAACTATAAGTAAACTAGACAGTGTGCAACGGATGGCATGTCTAATTATCACAGGAGCCTTTCATTCGGCACCAGGAGACGCTCTAAATGCTTTATTGGACATAGCTCCGCTATATCTCCACGTGCAAAAAGAAGCTAAATCCTGCCTCTACAGGCTCTGTACACAATCGAATGTAAGGTTGCAATCGCAATATATGAACAAACTCAAAGAGTTGACATTCGAACATAAAACTCTAAAAATGCCAGTGGATGGCATGAGCACAGAGTTTAACTTCACAAAACAGTACCAAATAGATCTTCCCAACCGGGACATGTGGCTAAAAGACCAAGAGTCTCACAAAAAGGGCAGTCATGTTTGGTTTGCAGACGGATCCAAGAAAGGATCTGATGTAGGGTGCGGTATCTATGGCCTAAAGCCTAGATTTAACATGAGTATCAATCTGGGCAAAGAGGCCACCATCTTTCAAGCAGAGGTCTTCGCCATTAACAAATGTGCTGAAGTCATCCTGGAAAGAAAGCTTAAGAACCAAAATATCTACATCAACTCAGATAGCCAAGCAGCACTTTTGGCTATAGATTCTCTTGAGACCAACTCTAAGTTGGTCAAAGACTGTATGAATAATCTGAATGTCCTGGGCACATCCAACAGAGTTATCCTCAGATGGGTCCCGGGTCACTCAGGTATAGACGGGAATGAAAAGGCCGATGCCTTGGCAAGAAGGGGCGCTGAAACCCCAGAATTTGGCCCCGAGCCATTTTGTGGTATTGCCAAACAACATGCCTATTCAATTCTCAAAAACCACTGCAATCTCAAAGCACTTCAAGAGTGGCAATCCACTTCTGGACAAACACACTCTAAAGCGCTAATTAAGGGATATCGCAAAACCTTTACAAAAGAGTTGCTTCAACTCAACAAGTATAAAACCAGTGCGGTAACCAGAATACTTACTGGTCACTGCAAACTCAATAAACATATGTTTACCCTCGGCCTCAGTCAAACCGCAATGTGCAGACTATGCCATGAGACAGAGGAAACTGCTATGCACATCCTCGGCTCGTGCGGTCCACTCATGCACCGCAGAAGTATCTATCTAGGGCAGCATATTATGCAACCAAAAGAGATACAGATGCTCCCCGCTCAGAAAATCTGGAAGTTCCTGGAGTCAACAGGACTAAGCGGAGAACTTTGAACTCATTATAAAGGGAGCTACAATGGACCAAAACTGGTCGACGTAGCTAGGGCCGACCTCGGCACCACACCCAACATAAATAATAAATAATAATAGGGTATTGCTTGGTATAAACTTTTTAAGTGGTTGTGATTTTTTCCATTTTTTTTTAATATATTGCAACAATAAAAAAAAAACTTACCAAGACCATAGGTCCTAGAGCATGCATATTCATGTAACCAGTTAAGCGTAGCCTGGAAATTCTTTCTAACTTCATCATGATAAGTATTCATACGCGACAAGGCCTTTTCTGCTTGTGCTTTCCATTCTTCAGAGCCATATGTGAGGTACCATTGATTACAGAGAGCCACAACACATTCATCACCAGATCTGGATATTATTGTTTTCTCTGGTTCATAATAAATAGCTGCATTTTTATCAGCAACCATTTTCATTTGAATTTTCTTTTTGACATCTTGTACTTTAAAGCCTTTATACTGACCCACTAACAGCACGCCATCGTAGAATCCTTTAAGGTAAACCATCTCTTTCGCTTGAGCTAATTTATCCTTGTCATTCTGACTTTGAATTTTAAGTTGGTCATATACGTGCACTGCGGAAAGATTTCCATATTCGGGAATATCAAGTATAGGCACAGGCTTGAATGGGAGGACCATTTCATCAGTAATACTATACTTTTCCCTGAAAGCTGGTTTCTTTTGTAAATCAACAAGTGCTGCATAGTCATCGGGTGAGTCAGACGGTACACTCGTAACTATTCCTGTGCCTTTATCTTCCTTTATTGTTAACATAGGAAGTGAATAAATTTTGTCATAGCAAGTCGCAGGAGACTTTAGGGCAATGCCTAGCAAATCTTGACCAATTATCTCGAGCAAAATTTTAAATTCACCATCTTTCTCTGTGAAACCCTGATAACTCATGTTCCTTGCAGCTCTTCTTGTGCAAATGAAAATGCCATCATTAACAGTTTCAAAACCTATATATTTAATGTCCGGATGGACCCAACAATTAGTCTGACCATACATGGTCTCTGGCCTTAGCGTCGCAGCTACAAAACTAACTTTTTTGCCTTCAAACATCCTAAAAGGTAACAATAATATTTCTACAATAATAAATTATATAAAAATTGTGATTACATCTGCTATATAAAATAAAAATAATACACAGATTTGTTTATTAAATTTGGCAGTAATAAATAGGTAAAATGAGGAGATAGGTACATCATATCACACATATTGTGTTATAAAATCATTTGAGCCCGAGATAAAAATGAACTTACTTTAGAACATTAGGCAAAGGCAGTGTAACTTCGAGCTTAATAAGAGTGTATTCCTGAGGCCCAGCCCCTTCACCAGAACTTCTATCGTGGTCCATACAAGGTTGTTTATCAACAGGAGAGAATATTGTATATCTCTTTCCATACATAATTTTCTTTTTTTCTTTTAAGTGATGATATTGCCATCTTATAAATGAATCATAAAATGGATTTGCATCAGTTGTTATGAATTTTCTTCTCCAATCAACCTTAAATATAAAATCCAATTTATATACTAAAATTATAATTCTTTTAAAATTACTTTTTAAGTAACTATAGACTTTTAAAATAACAATATTAGAGCTTATTAGAATATACTAATTGTCTGCAACAATCTCAGGATTTTACTCTTTGAAACAATCATCTAGATAAATGTCAAAACATAGTATAAACACTAACATGAATACCCATTCTCTTTAAATCAGCTACAGCTCTAGGAGGAAAGTACTCAAGCCAGTAACTTTCATCAGCAAACTCTTTTATTTCATCCTCTGGGATTCCAAGACTTCTCATAATCTGCCATTGATATTTAGACCCTACAGTTTTAGCGACGGCTTTGCTTTTTTTTCCTTTACTTTTATCTTTTGGTACTTTATCCACTTCTTCAACTTCTATTGCCTCCTGTTCTGGAAATTCTGGTGGACAGCCATACAAAGCCATTTCACGTTTTAGTTTGTCTGCACATGCCTTAATGGGCATACCAGTACAATGGAAACCAAATGGAAATAATACCTTTCTCCCTTTGAGTCTATAATACCTCACAGCAAACTGAAAAAAAAATTATTAAACATTACATTTATCCTATTGATAAATATAGAATTTAAAAAAGAATTTAATTAAATGCAAATATCATACCTCACATTTCGACAATGAAAAAGTGTGCCCAAGATGTAAACGTCCATTCATATAAGGATAAGGAAAAGTGCACAAAAATTTTTCATATTGCTTCCCATTTTCTGGAGCTTCTACTTCAAAAATTTTCTCTCGGTCCCATCTCTCCTGAACTTTTTTTTCAATTTCTTGTAAGTACTCAACTTTAAAAGTTCCTTTACGATCAAGACTTACCTGAAATATATGCATTTCATCACAGCATATTGAAATATTTTATTGAAAAATATTAATGATAACTAGTGACATTTTTACCATATTAAATAAATACAAAAAAAATTAAATATAAATTTACACACATAAATAGAAGTATTTCTTCCACAATTTAATTATTTAAGAATAATTATTGCTATCCAAACGCCGGATAAAATGAAATATAACCTTAGTATACACTAAAAATAAAATAGTAGTAAAGGAGTAAAAAATATAATATTTATAACTTACCATTTTCTCAGTTTTCTGTAGAGTTAATAGAGAAAATTGTTTTTAAATAAATAATAAACCACTACACTTCATGAGCACTACAGACAGACACGTTTCAAATCGCAATGACGTATAATATAATTGCAATTTTCAAGTTTCAACTTTCAAATTGCAATTTTACAAATTGCCAACACCAGTCGACAAAATATGACAACAGATTATAAACCTGTGGCATAAAGATTCAAGAAGAATGAAGAGCGTTTCCGGAGTCATGACTGAATACAAAAATTTTGTTCAACTAAATATTTAATATTTGACCAAGAAAATCTTACAATTTTAATTAGTAAGATCCCTTTCATAAAATTTTCATCACAATATATAGAGATTACAAAAATTAAGGCAGTAAGCCAACATTTAGAGTTTATTACAAATAAATGTTATTTAGTTTATTATAGAAAATTAATTTATGAGTATAACTAATGACTTCCTCACTTCGCTCAGGTATATTCCTAGGCGCCTAACAGTAGCTTAACGATAAGTACAAAATTTCATCCAAACGCCTTTATCAATTAATACCGTCAATAAAACCGTCACAAAAACTTATTTTATGATATGTCTAAAATATAATTATAAAGGCAGTGGTAGCCCAGTGGTAACGCGCTCGCTTGGGAAACCGAGTGAAGCGGGTTCAAATTCCAGGACTTGCACCACTGATATCTTCGTGTGCGAATCATTTCCATCATGATTACTTGTCTTACGGTGAAGGAAAACATCGTGAGGAAACCTGCAAAGTGAAATCATACAAACATTTTTTTTAATGTGTCCATTATATTAGCTATCGTAACTATAAACAATAACTGACCATACTTAATATTTTTTAAATAAGATTTTCATTAATGGTACGCCTAGATATGATTATGTGTACGTACCTAAATGGAACTACAGGGTTTCTGTTACTTATTGTATATGATTCAACAGAGTACATTTTTCTTATTTTCTTTTGTGGATGTACAATAAAGAGTATTTATTATTATTATTAAATTAATGTTATGTGTACTGTATATTTTATTGAAGAGAGCGACGTCGGTCCGTGATGAAATATGTTTTTCCAACATGTTGCCAGTTGCCACAGTCTACAGCGTCTTCTACTAATGGGTACACACCAACCCAACGAATGGGTTTCATTGACCCTGTCTGGACGATTTAGCGAACGCCAACGATCGTTCGTTGGCGTATGCCTGCGATCCGAAGCGTGGTGGTAACATTAAAGGAATCGAGCTATTAGATCGAACTCAGTGTGGACGGTCACCGAAAGCTAACGAAAGAACGGATTGCTTCACGATAATTTGTATCTTTTTTTGATATTTCTGGTTCAATATTATTCAACAACCATTCAAAATCTTCAGAAGACATTCTGCTAAAGTTGTCAAATAAACGATATTCTTTTTCTACTTGTAAGCTTCCAATCATTTTACTTCCACTATACACATTTCTTTTCTTAAAATATGTGGTTGTCCGCCATCTCCGCGTTCGTTTTTTTTTCTTGTCTTTGCTAACTCGTTAAGGTATATAAAAGAAGAATATAAAACTAGCAAATATAATTATTTCATCGTCATCCATGATCAAATTGCAAATGCAAACCGGAATCAGGTGCCAACGATCGTTTGCTCGACCACTAAATGTATTTAGAGTTAGACGTACCTTCGAAGGCCAACGAACGTGCGGTAGCCAACGCTGAATATCTTTCGTTGGCGTCGGTGTGTACCCAGCATATAAATAAAATGGATAAAAGATTTGTCCAACATTCAAAATTGAAATGTCATAAATTGGCGCCATTCGTAGCGTTGTCTGTCATTGTCAATTTCTCACAGTACCGGAAATTCGCTCGCAACCTTCCTTTGAAGACGCGCTAAGTCGTGAGTGCCGGTTATTTTGCTTGTAGCAAATTATTGAATTAGTGATATATTGTGCAGATTGAGAGTGAAATGGCACCACGGACAGCAAAAGCTAAGGTATATTCAGTTTCTGTAACGATATGGCCTTAGAAATATTTGGGATAACTTGTTTCCCCAGTAAATGACTAGTACCTACCACACTATTTGTCATTCCAGTAAATGTAAATTACAGTAAAATGTTATTTGAGTCTTTTTATAAAAAATGATATTTTGAACGCGTCATACAATGTGTCTAACGACCATATTGTAAAAGTTTCCTGAAGTTTTACAAACACCGCGTGTTTTTATAATGAACTAAATAAATATATTAAAATGTGCTTGCTCCTTTGTTATCTTTAGTACTCTACTTCTATAAATAGCTTTGTAACTTTTATTGTAATAATATGCTATGATTAGGTGAAATTACTATGCAGTTCAAGTAAAACAAATAAAGTCACAAATGTCCCATAAATTTGTTTCATAAAATATACATTTTGAGAAATTAAGTACATCAAGACTTAGGCATTATTATTTTTTTCAAGTATGTATATATGTATATTATATACTATAGTATGTATATAATAGGACATTTTGTATTATTTATGGTATGATGTAAAAAATATATATCACTTTAAATGTATACTACATCTTTTAAGAATTGAAAAGATTTTATTAGTGGTTCTTATATATCATATTTGGAATATATTATTAAATTACAGAAAAATGCAGATGTTAAGGTGGCAGAAATTGAAGCACCTAAAAAGGGAAGGGGAAAAGCAAAAAATATTTCAGAGAAAGACCAGGACTCTGCTGAAATTGTAGATGAAAAAATTGCAGTAGGTGAAAAAAAGAGTAAGAGAGGCAAAAATATACCTAGTGAAAATAATGAAGAACAGATAATTGCAAGTAATAATGAAGATGTAGTTCCAGCAAAGAAAGGCAAAAAGAAAAATGATGAAGAATCTGTAGAAAATGGTGATAATTCTGAAGAAGAAGTAGCTGGTTCAATAGATGATGAAAATGAAGATCAGTCAAATGGAAACTCAAATGATGCTGAAATACCAACAAAGGGTCGGAAAAAAGCAGTAAAAAAAGATACAGAAAAAGTCGTAAAACCAAGAGAAAGTGCAAGAACAAAAAAGAATACAAAACAGGAAGTTGACACAGGTAACAATGGAGCTACTGAAGATAAGCCTAAAGGTAGAGGTCGAGGTCGTAAGGCACAACCTAAACCTGAACCAGATCATGATGAAAATGTTTCTGAAGAAGAAGGAAAACCTGTTACTAAAGGCAGGAAGAAAGCTCTACCTAAAACACAGGACAAATTAGCTGAAAAAATTGAAGATGTTGAAATGGAGGAAGATGACAAAGAAGAATTAGTGGAAAATAATGAAAAAGAAGATAAAGTAGAAGATGAACCTAAAAAGAAGGAAGTAAAAGGACGTAAAAATGCAAAAAAAGCCCTACCTAAGGAGGATCTAGAAGATAAAGAGGAGGAAGTAAAAGAAGAGGCCCCAGCCAAAATAAGAAAACCAGCCAAGAAGGATGACAAAGGAAAAGGTATTAATTTGGATCTTGTCAATATCTTAAAATTAATATTTCATTACAAAATGAGCCACCATTTCAATATATTATCATATTTAGGAATATTGTTAATTAAAAAATCATTAAATACTTTATGAAAGCTTACATAGGTAGTTGATTCTAATGCTTAATAAAAAATAAATGTTAATGTGTCATAATATACTTAAGTTACCTATCACTTTTTAAGAAATTAAATTAATGGTAAATAAAAGTCAATTTAATAAATAAATAAATAAATGTTATATAAAAGACAATAAACAATATTTTAGGTGATACAAAAGACGAAACTGAAAAAGATGAGGTCGAAGATCCTAAACCAGCAAAAGGCAAAAGAGGACAAAAAAAAGCTGAAAAACCAGAAACTGAAGAACTTCAGGATACTGGAGAACCTGTGACAAAACGGCGGCGTAAGGCCGATGATAAGGGTAACTAACTCTGTTAATTTATCATTTATATTGACAATTGTTTCTTATTACTATGATTATGTGTGTTCTTTTATTATTGAATAAAAAGTTTTCCAAATAATTTTGATGTTTAGTTATTTCTATATTTATTCCTTTAATTCTTCAACTTGTTTTTTTTTTATATGGAATTTTAAATTATTCTTTAACACATTCAATAGTTTTTAACTAACAAGGTTACGGCAGATAATATGACCTTGCAGTTGCTAAATGTTAGTAATGTTATCATGCTTCCTTAGTTTGTAATGGTATTGAATTGGAATGATGGATATAATGTGCTCAAGACTTAACTCTTAAGTCATATACAATGGAATAGAAATTCACAATTATTATATGCTTATCAAATTAATATTTTTACTTTTATTTAACGCATGTAGGTATATTAAATGTTTGAATTCTATATAAATAACAATATTTTTTTAATTGATCAAACAAAAAGGTGATAACAAATACTTTATATAAAATAGTGCATGTATAATTTATCTGAATATTTTTTTTTTATTTTCTGCCAGCAAATTTTGCATGAACATACATACCTCTATTATTTAATTATATTTTTCACGGGGCCTGGCCAATAATTATATATACATATTACAAAATTGTTAATGACATAATTTTAAATAGATTTTTTGTTATTTGTAATGAATATTTTAAAGCATGATCAAAGTAATGGGAAAGGAGTAATATTGGGTTAAGTAAAAATGGAAGAAAGAAAAAACCTATTTAGCACTATAGTGAATATTAAAATAGCAGCAAGATATACATTGTAACTCAACTTGTTTTCAGTATCTGAAGATAGTAAAAAGAAACCAGTTAAATCCGGTACTGATTATGATTCCATAGATTTTTCAAATTTATCCAAAAACGCTCAGGGTAAAGACTGGAATTTCAAAATTTCCAGTTGGAATGTTGACGGGATCAGAGCGTGGATGGGGAAAGAGGGGTTAGAGTATTTGAAATATGAAAAACCCGATATATTATGTTTGCAAGAAGTGAAGTGTTCCCTAGATAAGCTACCGGAGGAGATCAAAAATATCCCGGGATACCACGCGTACTGGTTGTGTAGTGAAAAAGATGGCTACGCTGGCGTAGGCATATATACGACTAAATTAGCAATGAACGTTCAATATGGCTTGCAAAACGAAGAATTAGACAGCGACGGTCGCATCATAACTGCGGAGTATGAGCACTTCTATCTCATTTGCACTTACGTCCCCAACGCTGGACGGAAGCTAGTTACTTTACCGAAAAGACTGAAATGGAATGAAGAATTCCGAAACCACGTCAAATCTCTGGACAAAAATAAGCCGGTTATAATATGTGGGGATATGAACGTTGCCCATAATGAAATAGGTGCGTTTGTTTTTACTTTTATTCTTTTACTAGGGGGTTTCTCCCGGCTTCGCTCGTGTGGTAGGTAGATTACATACTAGCGACTCACCTTCGCTTCTCTCGGGTTCGTCCCTAGCTTGCTTCCCAATACAAACTTTCATTCACATTTTCACCCCCTTTAGGGTGATATCCGGAATAAAAAGTATCTTATGTCCTTTCCAGGGTCTCAAACTGTCTTCTTACCAAATTTCATCTAAATGGGTTCAGTACATCCAGATATTACCCCCTACAACGTCACAAACTCACAATTCACAAACTTACAAACTTTACCTCTATAATATTGAGTATAGATTTAGTAAGACTGTTATTTGTTGACAGAATATAATATATCTCCATTCCTATGAAAGTATCATATTTATTTCCAATATAATTTCCAATGTGTGATGTTTTTGTATTAATAGAGCAGCAGAACAAAAGAGTACAGTATGTCTTTGAAAATCACATTACCTTTATTAATTTGCTACTTTGTAAGTACTTTACATTGTAAGCTTTCTAGCTGAGAATTTGTGTACCTAAACTTTAAGATGGAGATAGAATAAGTTGTTTTTATATATTAAGTAGCGACTTGTAGGTGATTTATACATTTAACATAATATATTTATCATATTTATATATTAAACTTTTCATTAAATAAAAAGTTTAATATTAATATATATTATACGATTAATTAAATATATTATGTTTAAGTCTCTTCTTTCTCTCTTTGCTCGGTTACGTTCCTGGGCGCCTAAGGCTAACAGTAGGCTATGAATTACTCCGGGTCATAAACTATCTATGTACTAAATTTTATCCTAATTCGTCCAGCCGTTTCAGTGTAATGGAGTTACAAACATACACACACAAACTTCAATATTCTTTGTTCTGTGGCTTATAGGCGTGCCATTTGGGTACAATTTACTTCGCCAATGTCGTGTAGAATGGAGAAGACAAGGTAGAGATTGAGAATTGATCGGCTTACACACACAAACTTTGCCATCTATAATATTAGTCCGATATTACAGATTTAACAAATCCCAAAACGAACAAGAAAAACGCAGGTTTCACGGAAGAAGAACGACAAGGCATGACAGAGCTACTTGGTGACGGGTTCGTGGATACATACCGCCATTTCTATCCGGATAAGACTGGCGCTTACACTTTCTGGAGTTACATGTCCAATAGTAGACCGAAAAACATTGGATGGTAAGTCATTATTTTCTCTTTGTTTAATAGATTTTTAATTGGATTTTAAAAACAAAAGTTAGCTTTACAAATTTACTTCAACTTTTTTTTTATTAAATTTATATTAAGGTTACTAAAAAGTTGTTCCTCAGTTCAGGGGGGGCTTCACTTGAACAAATAGCAGTCATCTAGTCTAAAAATTATCTTTATATAAAAAATAAGTAAGATCACTTAATGATGAAAAAACTTCTTCATTAATACTTTTAGTAACAATATTTACTAGAGTGTTTGTATTTGACTTTACATTGGAGACTGGTGGGATACCGACGAGTCGCAGGACTAATTGTGTTTGCAGTTCTGAAAAATAACACTTGAGAAATCTTATCGCCCACTTGAATAATTATAGTTTTATCTAAAAATTTGTTATAGCATATTATTTTTAAATTTATAACTTGCATATTATGTTTTAGTTTGCCTCTTTAAAACTTACATTTTGATACTCCATTCGATAGGTTTTTTACTATTTTAATATATAGTACGACATTTGGGTTATAAACACGAATCCTAACGTCGATTCATCAAAATCGGTTCAGCCGATCAGATGTTACGAGAGGACGTATATGTATATCCATATATATCAAACAACTATCTTTTTGGACTTTGCCGTAATTGGGCAAAACTATTATAACTAAGCAAAAATATTATAAATAGATAGAGGTTTTATTCTTTTGCAAAATAAATATTCAAGTCCCTAATTTATAGTGAACTGTGGAAATCATGGAATGAATGATATTTTTTTTTTCAGGCGTTTGGACTACTTTGTAGTATCGGAACGACTTTTACCGGCGATATGTGACAATGTTATAAGAGACAAAGTGTATGGAAGCGACCATTGCCCTATATCTTTGTTCTTGCACTTAACAACTGCGGATAAACCTAAAGAATAACCATGGGGTTAAGCACTTGTTACCCTAAATTCAGCCATTATATGGGACTTCTTTCTTTTTATTTACAAATCTGTCTTTTTTGTTATAGTGTTAGATGTAAATAGACATTGGATTATATGTAAAATGGAAGAAACAAGGCTAGGTCATTATTAAGTTAATTTGGTTAGGTTTATAAAAGTCATTTGAAAATATTAATCTAAAAGTTTAAAACTATAAAATTCGATACCATTTGTTTGTCCATCACATATAATCTTTTAAATGTCTCTTCATAACATTTGATTGTGATTAAGACTTTCTTATGGTGGAATATTAAAATGTAAACAATATTTTTTTAAGAAAATAAAAAATGAACATTTGATTTTTTTTTCATTCTGTAGTTTTTGTTTTTTTAACTGTTTAATAATAAAACTTAAATAAAATCTGAAATTGAGTTTATAGTAAAGCCGATGAATTTATGGTCCAAGCTAAAGTAATAATAATAAATATTGGCTTTGTGATACTTAGGAAATCTTGCTATTATTTAAAATGATTAATTATTTATTTATATTACAAGCATTGCCGCGGCTTCGCCCGCGTTCAGATGACCAAAAACCAAATTCTTAGTTATTACATATTTGTATACTCTTACAGTGCTGTTTTTGTATTTTTTCTCAGAAATGAGATATTTTCCCGCGGTAAAAGTATCCTATATGTTGACCCGGATAACCAGCTATCACCATACCAAATTTCATCAAAATTCCTCCAGTGGTTTTTCTGTGATGTGGTAAGTAGTAACAGACAGATAAAAATTCTAAAAACCATAGATTCGTCTCTGTATCGATAATAATGTTTATTTCAATGAGATTTTCCAAAAAATATCTAATGTACAGATTCGGCTTAGTTATAATTTTATTCTATGTATAGTTTTTATTACCTTGGTCTATGAGAAATGAGAATCGTAGAACAGACGCGTTTAAAACAGCCAGGGACTTCAATTTATACTAACGACTTACTCTCGTTTCGGTTGGGTTGGGTGGCGTCGTTAGGTGGCATTTTGCTATACATTTTTTCTGCTTTATTACAAACTAGGACGCGCAGACTTTAAACAACGTAACGACCATTTTTTTTCCTACTTTATTTAAAGTTATTAAGAACGCTAACGTTAAACACACTTAACAGAATGATATATAACCTATAAGTAGCATTCGTACTTTCACTATTAAATATTAGTAAATGAATTTTCAGAATCGGATTACCCCCTATATTCAAACTTACAAACATTGCCTCTATATACATATATTTTAAATGTTTTCTCAGTTCTTTTAATCTTGTTTAAAAAAAAAAAGATTTTGGCAATTTGCTTGGACCAATACATCTTTTCATCTTTTTTTTACTAAAATTCCGACTATTAGCAGATTATTTCTGATATTAGGCAGCAGGACATTCGTCATCTTCTAAATATTTTTCTATATACTTACTTGAATGGCGACTCACCTTCTCTTCCCTTCGGGTTCGTACCTAGTGAAAAACATACAAATCTATCCCGTAGTCGTACACGAGAGACGTCTGAACGGTACGAAATGCAACGACGGAGTAATTATGACTTGCATTGTAATCGCGGCTTAAGCTTCTCTGCAACTAATTACGTGGTAGCGCAAAATCTCAGTGTTTGGTTCATTCGGCGAAAACAGAATAGATACTAAATATTTTTTTCGAATTAAAAAAAAAACGATTTTTCTAGTTAAACGTATGAATCAGGGTTTATTGATTATCATTTTTGTCCACTTTCTATAGTCTATCTAAGAGATTAAATATGAATAATGATGTTATGTGAAAACTTCACTAAAAAAATAAAGACAGCTATATGAACCAAGTATTTAATTGTTTCTTAATAATAATTTGGATTTTAAACATTTTCAAAAGTGTATGCAATGTGTTATTAATTATTATGGTAATAGGGATGAATTTTGCCTTTTTCTCCTACCAGATTATATTTATCTCGTCTCTATATCCCGTCTTATACGTACGTACGTAGGCTTTAGCCCACACTTTCTTCGGTTTTTTGTGTTTTGGGACCAAATGATATCCTGTTTCTTTTCACCCTGGCACTGCACAATTTGTCATTTTAATTAAATAAAATGAAAAAAAATCTATCCACGCTATATATATATAACTTTACAATATACCTACTGAAGATTCGCGACATGTGCCGAGAGAAAAGGCAAAATTCTTTCCCATTAAATTACAATTATTATTATTAGCTGCTTAATACTGACATATTCGGTCCTCGACGCCGATACTTCATATGGATCTGAAATTATTAATCAATTTGTAATTTTAATGGAGACATTTTCATGTAAAATTTTATTTTATACATATAATTTCAATTCACACTGCACTATCTCAACTCAAGCACATGTACAGTATTTTTAATGAAATTTTATTAAGTGCAAAGTAATACATAGTATAGAAAATATATTTGATATTGAAATATCTGTTTAATAAAGATAATACCTGAATAATTTTACCAAAAGCTTCTCTTCGTAACAATAAATAGGCCACTTCTAAATTTTTCAAGGCACTAGTTTCTAGTTCTTTTAATCCTGAACAAAATAAGGCAATACCAGCTTCTAAACCTGTCCCAAAATCACATTCGTCCATTGCTATACTTGCATATGTAATCACTGATTGTAACTCTGAAAGAACTTTGTCTTTCTCAGCTTGAGATTTGGCTTCTTGTAGTTGTTTGAACATTTTCTTTATATTTGCTAAAAAGAAAAAGAAACAATAATTCAACGCCCAAACAAGACAGTGCTTAGGACTGACTTCTACAAAGGTTTGTTAAAACTTGATTCCTGCTCACTACAAATGACTATTGGATTTGCAAACATTAATAAAGTGATTGTGCAGACAGTGCATTCATAGTTCATACCACAAAAGATTACATTCCTGATAAGTTTTTTTATTTGTTTTTTGTTAAATACAAATCATTCTTGCAGGGTGTGCCGTATGTCTTAACACCTCCAGGTAAATTTCTAAGAAATTAATTAAAATTCTAAGAAATCTATTTTTAACCGACACGCCGGTGTGTCCGCGGTTGTGGAGGGATTAATGTTATTGTCAATGTTTCTATTAACTTGCACAGTAGTCACAAAAACAATTGTTCCCATTGGGCAGTTATTAATCAACGAAAAGCAAGAAATATAATAAAAAAGCTATAATTCACTATAGTGTCTTTTTACATTTTAGTCATACTTAGGATGTATGCACACGACGACTTAATAACGCGCGTATATATTAATGCGAATGTAAGTATCTGCATTTTTAAATTTCAGTGCAAACAACGCGCGTTCAGTGTGTTTAAAAAACGTATTGCGTCTGACACTACTAATACTAACTTACCTTAGGGCCTATGTGCAAACACTAAATTAGAAATAAGCAGCATTTGCTTTTTATTTTTGAGGGGGGCTAAAGTTGCAACTTCTGTTGTAAAAATATACCACTATGCTAGAAGAATATCAGTTAACATACTGATATTAGGTGACACTTTTTATAAATAAATGTTTTAAAATAAATTAGGCTGCAACAATTTAAAAAAAAGTTCAGTTTCTATTTGGCAGTGTTAATAATATCAGAAATTCTGTTTCTATGCTGTATCTAAAATGCCTATGCATATGCATGAATTTGTTTGTGTTATTTGCAATTAATTTGTTTAAACATGTAGCACAGCAGTTTTCACTCACATAGTATGTTAATAACATAGTAGCCCATATGTTACTACAGAACAGTGGTATAACTATCCTTTTTGGGCCTTAATGCAAAAAAAAATATGGAAGAGTGTAAGAAAGGGGCTTTTGCCTATTATGAAATAATATGCAGAAAAGGTCACTTTTTCTTGTTTTTTTTTTAATTTTTATTATGGTCATCCTTGAAAAAATGTTTTGAAATAAAAGTTATGGCCTGCTGGGGTCCCCTAGAAGCAGAGGACCCAGCGTTTGTGTTGAGATAGCTACTCCACTGCTTCAAAATATAAGCTACCTACAATGCAAATTACACTTAAATCTGTTGAGCCATTATGATTAGAAGTAAAACCTAATAGTTAAAAGTTAATAACATTATTGTAATATTCATACCATCACTTTCTACTAATTTTCTGTAGCCCAATTGAGTCTTCTTGTTATATGGTACCACAATACCAGCACTGTGGAAAGTTCGACATACTACTTGTTGAATTCTTTTTTTCATATTAAATTCTTCTAGGGAAAAATTACTTTGGTCTGCCCATTTTTTCACTTTCTCCATCAACTTTTGACATGCCATTGAAATAAATGGAGATGTTTTCTTTTCAGCTTGCAAGTAGTGGCTATATAAAAAACAATCAATAAAAAAATAGTTGTTAATTTGAAAAAATATATATAAAATGAAAACAATAATAGTACATACTATACTGCTCCAAATATATTTTCTGAAATAGGTGTTAAGGTGTAACCAGAAGAACTATCATTCTTAGCTAAAAACACTGGATTCTCTTTAGGATCATCTCTATAGTATCCAATATGAAATTCACTATTTCCTTTCTTTTTTAAAACAGCCTGAAAGTAAATTAAATTGTATAGTGAAATAAGTACTATTTAAAAATAAATAGTCAAAGAAAATACTTTATTAAAATAAAACACTTATATACAAACTTGGAACTCTGGTGGATCAAAATAAAATCTCCAGTGTATTAAGTATAAATCTTTATTTTCGAGTTTAGGTAATTTACCCAAAAACAACTCAAAAGGACCAATAAGTTGTAAGTTAACAGTGGCTAACATTTTTTCTATATCTTCTGAATCTTCCTTGAGACACTCATAAAATTTGAAGAAATCTGTTGGCATTTCAACTAAAAAACATTCCTTTAAAATAGTGAGATTTGAATCTCTATCATAAAAAGATATATTATCAGTATTGACACATAATTTTTGAACATCTTGTGTTGCATCTATTTCTCCATTATCTATTTTTTCTGTTGAGCCAGATGCCTGATTATCAACACTGCACTTCATTTCTTTCAATTCCTCAACTGCTTCTTCAATATTCTTTTCATCATTGGATTCTACATTGACGTTTATAACTTTGTTATACGGCTGAAAGCGGTTATTTTTTTGCTTTTTAGCAGCCTTAGCTTTTAGCTGGGGTGGATGTTTATATTTTTTATGATGTTCAGGGTTTTTTTGATAGCATTCATTTCCATATTTACAAATTATACGAGGATCTTTCACATATTCATCCCATTCTTCAGACATGATATAATATTATAATTGATTTTTTTATGAAAATGTGGCAGTAAAATGTAGACGATCATCAAATAAAATATTATTCACATAAAGTAAAATATTGAAGAAATAAATAAAAAGAGCGGTTGTTTTGGCTAATTGTACATTTAGTTTTGTTGACAGTTGACACATCACTGACTGATCACACATTTGACATCACTTACCTTACGTTTACTATATAGTCTGTGACACTTCATATTTCTAAATTACAATTCCAAAAATTTATTGAAATGAGGGCGCTACATGTATGATCTATTTACATTCAGTCTAAGTTTGAGATAATAATGCAATTTATTATGATATGTTTTTGTGCCTGTTTTTTTCTTCTTTTGTGTCCGTATCTTACCTATGCAATATATTGTACCTGGAAGTTAGACCAGCTGAAGGAAGAATTGAAAAGGAGAGGTGCATCCTGTGGTGGTCCTGATTGACTGGATGGATTAACACACAACCTTAACTGCTGGTCGTAGAACGTGAAATTTGGAAGACGTATTCCTTTATATATGATGTAGACATCTGAAAAGAAAGGATGTTGCGAAATTCATCTTCTAAGTGGGTAAAATAGGGGTTAAAGATTGTATGAAACTCTGTCATTCTTAATGAAATACACAGAAAATGGTGTTTAGCTTTAAGATAAAAAATAAGAAATAAATATAATTTTTTTTTCGAAATTTATCCCTAGGGGGTAATAAAGTTTATATGAGCAAAGAACTATTTATGATTCGAATTACTTGAAACTTGATATTAATGCTCTTTAATACAATTAAATAAATACATGTTCCAGCATTTTTCGAAATTCAATACCGTAAGGGGATAAAATGGGGGATGAAAGTTTGTATAAAACTCTATAATTAAAATGTAAAAAAGTACAGGGCTCGTTTTTTATAAGCGAGTTCCCCAGTAGACCCTTGATTTTTTTTGTGCGAAGTACTTATTATCTAGAGTAATCCCACAAAGTTTCAAGTGGAGGAAATAAATATTTTCGTAAATAAAAAAAAATTAAAAGTGCGTGTATGAATGTGTACATGCGCAAGAAGTAAAACTTCTTTAGGTAAGCGGTACTCTTTATAAAATTCGATTTATGTTTTAAATAATTAGGATAGGTGAGATACTAAAAAATACGAGTGTGTGTACTTATGTACGCACGTGAGAAGTTAAACTTCTTTGGCGTAACAGAACGAAAATATCTAAAGGTTCATCCAGTATGTCACAACTCTCAGCTCGTAAATTTTAATGAAAATAATTAAATAACGCATATTAGGCATATTACTAGGATAATAGGAAAGTAATATAATATATCATTTGTTAGACAATAACAATAGTTACCACGGCAACAAACGTTTGCCTCGCCCGATCACATTTTTGTACCGCTCTCGTCACGCATTCACCATCTTACTCCCTAAGTCAAGCGTGCATAAAGAAGTTTTACTTCAAAAATATCAAAGTTTGAAAAATATAACCTCAATTCTGCACTATTAAATTAATGATGTCCAGATAGCCTTATTATTTTATTACTAATGTAAAGATTGTGATTTCGATAATTTTGGATGTCTTATTGCTTTAGCCCACAATTTCTTACTTTTTGTCTTTTGGGAACAAATGATATCTATTTTCTTTGCATCCTAGCACTGCACGATTTGTAATTTTAATTAAATTTTAAATGAAATGAAAAAAACCAGCCACATTATAGAATTTTACACTATACTGACTTGTTCTTGGTCTATGATACTGACGATCATAGTGATCGCACTATCTGGCGGGAGAAAATGGTAAAATTCTTCTCTATTAGTATGAACGGATACGGATGAATAAAACATAAACTACTGATAGGTACCGGCTGCTAATCTGCTTCTTTATTTAATTGTTTTTATTTTAATTTAATTTAAAAAAGTTAACTTTTTCCTAAATCATAGATCTTTAGTGGCAAGCACACACCAATCCGCGCATCCATCGAATTTTGGTCAGTCTTCACGCTACATCCAGTTTTATACGCTCGCAACAGATTTCACATAAGAATAAATAATAATAATAATAATATTTTTATACTTTAATATACATATATCATGATATGTAATTCGATGGTGTGTGCTGTCCATCAGGAGTGATTTTTTTTTGGAACGTATTTATGGGAATATATATAATCTGATATGCGAGGAAGAAACAATAAGTATTATGAGAATTTGCTCACAATTGGCGAAGATATTCTTATTGCCAGCGGCAAAAATATATTGGTAGTCACAGGAGTTTATAAGAATTAATTTCAAGATTTTAAATAGCTGCATTAGCTACATAGCAGCATATGTCACGTCCATATTTATTCTGTGGATGTGACCAAAAAGTTAGGAATTTGACATTTTTGTAGTTCAAGTAGGCAGTTGAAGAGCACAGAGTGCTTATTATTAGTGAATTAGTGTCATTGGCTAGGTGGTGGTTCTTGAAATCTAAAAATGTTTAAGTGCTTTTTATAAATAAGAAAGTCAAATTTTTAGCAGTATTTCAGTTACTTTTAATGCTATAATTTCCTAGTGATGACATTAAGTCTTAGATGTACCAGATTGTTATTTCGTAATGTACAATCCAACGTAATTATTGACGCAAATTAATATCTACAATAAAAAAAAAATCGGCGCGCATTAAACTGTTGCTTTCGTTTTCACCATTCGTGTTTTTTTATTTCCAATGTATGGATGTTTAAATTTTAATAACATACCAAGGACATGTTCATTATAAATCTTCGTCGCCTAAGATATTTGACAATTTGTACGGGCTTCGGATCATGCTCTATCAGTGGTAAATATAAACTTTAATTTTATAATATTCTAAATAGTTTACTTTAAAAGGAACATAAATTAATATTATAAACATAAATTTATAATAAGTTGTACTCGTGAGCAAAGTCTTAGATTTAAAATGTTTCTCATTTTTTAATTAAATTGAATTGACTACTACTACTGATAGGTACTATTATATTGATACTATTATTACTTTTTATGAGTTTTTAAAAAAATATATTTTACTCTGACATATGGCAGTTATTTTTACATTCTGTTTTATACAATAGGTCTAATATATTTAAGATATTCTTTAATATTCAATATTATATTTTTTAATATCAAGACATTCTTTAATATCAAGACATTCTTTAATATTCAAACAACAATTATTCTTCCAGTTTCAATGTACAAGATCTATCAGTATACCCTATTGAAATACTCCAATAGGATCTCATCAAAAGTGACAAAAGCCACATAGAAAACAATAGAGATCCTTTTGAAGTCTTTAAATAGGTTAGTTTATGCATTATTAGATAAGATGAAATATATATATTTTATTATAACTAATATAAGGCATGGAAATAATAAATATGACAATAGTCAATGAATATTTTGTTAAAAATAATGATAATGATTTCAGTCAGTTACAAATCTATGCATATACAACACTAATATGTAATTTAACTATTAATATCATAACAATACTACTAAACATGTGCACAAAATATATGAAGTGATAAGTAAAACAAGTAGTTTAAAAAAAACAATTGATTTCCAAACAGGTGTCATTATAGGTGTATAAAATATGAAAGCTGCATAACTAGGTGTGCTGTGAAACTATAAGTTAATATTTAGGACACAACATACTGGTGTTCCTTTGTTTCCATTAAGCGGTTTGCAAAATGGAGCAGGGAAGTCAGCTTATAATTTTGAATGTTGTTTCTTCATCCACTGTTTATTACTTACCTGTACTCTATATTTAGTCTCATTGTATGTGCATTATATTGAACAGCTGCAATTTGAAACTTCAAAACAAAGGTACTAAAGGTACAGAATTAAAATATCAAATGCATATTATTTTTGATAAATGCTATCCTCTTTTAAACTGATAATTTAATTTTAATATAGTAAACAATATGTGAATATTTTTTTGACAAATACATTTTTACTTTATGTAACTTCCTGTAGCTTATTAAAATATTTTTTACAATATCTAATAAATATTTTTATCATTCTTTTCCAAGATTAACTTAAAAAAGTTCTACAACACATTTGATATTTAACAATTGTTATAAAAAAATATACAAGTTTTTATGCATCACCACCAAAGACATTGTACATATTTGCAGGAAATAAACAATACAAAAACCAACCTCCGAATACATCGCGAAATCAGCGTCATTGAAATCTGTACAATACTATTCTTACTCTTTGTTTTAAAATTCGCTCGCCATTATCAAAGACTTGCAGTTTTATTGTTCGGCTAATATATCAATATATGTATACCAGAACATTTACAAAAGTCTGAAGAAGTATTTAAAGTTTAGTCGTACGTTACGTCTAAGACTTTGCTATAAAATACGTTTTATATATTGGTCAGAAATAGATTGTTTTGTTTTAAGGATGAATGAGTTGATTACATTTTATATTCAAGGAACAATGTCCGAAAATAGTATCTATAATGCATTAATGTTTGATTATGATCGTAATAGTAAAATTGATAATCCTATGAGCTGAGCCAAAACATTTCCATTATCCGTCCACAATAAAACATCGTAAAGTTACGCCCTTGAAATATAAACATTATATTCCAGTAAACTCTTATTTGTTTATAATACTCTCGGTATAAAAGAACAACTAGATTAAGATGTAATATAAACTAGATGTAGTAATATTGTTACTTGTTACTGTATATCGTTGATAGTGTTAGGTACGTGAGAGCTTGCTTTATAAATAACCGTCGTAGGCCCAAATAACAAAGGTTCGTTGTAAAAGGAGAAGAAAAAAAAATTTATATTCGGAATTGCTTTTTTATATTAGCATATTATGTATCTCTATTTTTTTTATTGCCTGTAAGTTATGATCAAGTACATAATATTATTATGTGTTTGTTAATATTTTACTGTTAAATACGAAATTTTTTTGCCAATTTAAAATTTGTGCAATGAAGATTATCCTTCCATCTTCAAGTTCCAGTATATCTCTACCTTTCATTAAAATACCTGAGCTTACCAATTCTACCTACAACATTATCTGATCAGTTTCAACAGATTTAGTTTTTTTGTGATATATATGTATACTCAAAAGATCGTCATCTATTCTTTATTGATAATGTATAGATTAAAAACATACAAGTTAAATATATCAAAAAAAGTGGTTAAGGATTTCATGAATAAATAATAACTTTTAAGAGTATTTTGATATAATATCAATAATTAAAATGTTATATTCAATTTTATAATATTTATTTACAATTTTATAATAATATTGAATACTAATTCATTAAAACAGCAATTATGGTCACGACCACGCATTCGAAACGGTGGGAACCAAAAATCCAAAATAAATCCGCGAAAAAATCCGAAAAGATAGTTTTATTTAAAATCTATAATATATTCTTTAATCCACATTTACTGAGATTAAAAAATAATTCGCGAATTCGGACCACGACTTTTACTTAAAACCAATAAAATATATCAGAGAATGTTTATTATATTGGAAAGACTAGCATTGCCCGCGGCTACGCCCGCGTTCAGATGACCAAAAACTAAATTCTTAGGTTTTACATATTAGTATACTCTTACATTGCAGTTTTTGTATTTTTTGATTTTTCTCAGAAATGAGATATTTTCCCGCGGTGAAAAGTATTCTATATGTTGACCCAGATAACCAGCTATCACCATACCAAATTTCATCAAAATCTCTCCAGTGGCTTTTCCGTGATGCGGTAACAGACAGACAGACAGGCAAAAAAATTCTAAAAGCTTTAGATTCGGCCTCTGTATCGATAATAATGTCTATTTCAATAAGATTATCCAAAAAATATTCCATGTACAGATTCGGCTCAGTTAGAATTTTATTATATGTATACATATACATTCAACATATTTAATATAATCCAAAAGTAAGGATTCTAGGTGCAAAAGCAATGCTACATTATGCGATATGCCGTGTCCCAGATACGTCGGTCGGGGCTGGGCGGCAACTGGCAAACGGAAATCGCTTAGCGACAACATTGTTGTTCGCTCTTCCAGTTACACACCGTTTCTAGAAAATAAACGTAGGCAACAAAAATTAGATTTAATTTAGGTACATATTTGTACCTAAAACTTATTTACTAACTTAATAGCACTATACTACTTGAAATAAATACGAAACTTCGAAATAAATCAAATATTTTTTCGTTACGTTTTATTACATCGATGCTTATCTTAACAGGTTCAATTTTATCTAAAAGCTCTTGGCATATGTTATTCAGGGTTCCGATAAGAATTTTCTAACTATCGTTATGTTTACAGGCTATGAACACTTGACCGCGCCATGGAACATCAGGATGGATGGGCTGGCGGAGAAACAAATGCACTTAACAATACTACAGAGCGCTCGCAAGCCGACCGAGATCGCGTACGCATCGAATTCTATGCTACGTACGACGTCATGACCGGCGTGCGCATAGCCGCTACACTAGGCGGCTTTTTCGCTTTAATGGTATTTTTAATTGTTTACAAGAGCCGGAGTAAATCGGTGAAAGCTTTGAACGATCCTAAAATAGTAGAACTAGCCGAAGCTGTGGTCGCAGAAGAGCAGGCTGTAGAAGAAGAACGACAACTTACTGCGGCTATAGAAGAGGCATTGTCGGAACGAGCCCGCTTGTCTCGTCCTTCACTAGGGGAAGAGCCGTTATGGCCGAGAACATCTCGTTTCGCATCTTACGGCGGGGGCTACGGCAGCCTCCTTGCGCCGCCTCGGAGGCTGTCAACATTACGCGGAGATTCACTTCCGGGTTCCGCGCTACGTTTTGGTGAAAGACGAGCGTCGGGACCTCGTGATCGGCGCTTGAGCTCAGCGACTTGCTCGAGCTCGGGAAGTTCCTATTTGGAGAGGCGCGGGTCGTCGGTTGTTTGTTCGTTACCGGAGCGACGCTTATCGCCATGTCCCAGTGAGCGGTTGGCGCCGCTAGCCTCTGTAGGTAGTGTGGGACCGTCATTCGCGGTGGAATGCGATCTCGCGTCGGTGGGTGCGGATTCCGTGTTTGCAGAGGACGATGCAGATACTACCGACGACGAGGTCGAACAGTTTTCGACTGACAGCGGTGGTCCAGACGCAGGCGCACACGATTGTACCGAACTCACGAGCCGGCCGGTACTCCCGTTGCGCGTAGACCGCGCTTCTCATTCTCGTGAAACGTTATTCTAGTCACCAGTACTTTTGCTGGTTATCATATTACGTTAAAATATCGACCTTTTTGTAGCACTTACTTTTTTTTAATGGTAACATAACATTGTTTTTTCATTGACATATCATCACATTGAATTTATTTAAAATGCCCAAAAATATGTATAGTTATGTGTATATACTTTAATATAACTATTTGCAGCTTTATCGAAGCTCAATAGTTTTTTTAAATAGTCATAATTTTGTTGCAATGCGAAGGTGTCGATATTTTGATGTTGCATATTATATTACAAGTGTAAATAATTTGTTTTGTTAATAAGTGTATCGCAATGTTAATGTCCTCGTGATAGAAATGTTAATTGTGATTGCGGCCTTTATTTTATGAGATGCCTGAAACTGGTTGAATCCAAAGCTTACTAGTCAAATTCTAATGCTTTATATGTTGCATATAATATTAAGGAGTTAAGTATAGTTTCAGAATCGGTACTCAGTTTCCCAAAAGTGGCCAAGTGGCTGCTGAGTGAACGTGAGATTTGTTTTATATCTGTAAGTTTACGTTGATTAGATATGTTCTGTTCGCAGATGTCGTATCGATGTCTAATGTATCAAGTTTAATTAAAATGGATCTGATTTTTTTGTTTATCTTTTGTAGTTTACTTATTTTATTTACTTTGTATCATTATTCATAAAACCGTTAAATATCGAAAATGTATACATTGCAATAGCGAACTTTTTTTTGGTCCTAGATCGCTAATATCATTAACTCCGCTGGTATTGTCACCACTTAGTGTTCTCTTTAAAAACCTAGGTATTATAATGATCTGCCGAATTAGTGTTTAAATGGCACATTAATATATTTACTGAGAATAATCAGATGTTTATTTTAAAATTTAATTGTAGCTGTCATTTCGCAATTTTATTATATTCGTGTGTTCATTTTGTACAAGTATTTGTTAAATATAAAACTGATTTCGAAATTGAAGATCGAATTTATTTTTGTTTTTTTTTATTTCATACTGAAAAAAATATTGATATGAACACGCGAAATGTACGCACAAATGTATTTTATGTTATATGTTATCTATAGATTGTCCAAAAGTAGTGTATGTAAATATTACGAAGCTATTGTTAATGTACTAGCACTTACATTTAGACTTTTTTTATCAACATAGGTTGTTATAAAATTCATAAGCGGATGTTAAATGAATATTCAATTTATAATTGATCTGTTCGAGTAGGAGGCTAAGATAACATGCGAGTCTAGAGAATTATATTATGGCTTCACGGTTGTATGTAGCCGAAAATACAAGTGTGATAACGTTCGTATTTGTAACTTTTCGAAGAATTTTTGACTCCTTGAGACTGGTCACTTCTATGCTATTAATTTTATTTCTATCGCGTTAAGAAACTACAGCTCGTATTTATAAAAGAGTAAAATGTTAAATTTAATATTGCCGGAAATATTCGAAGAAAATATGAACAATTAATTTTTGGATCGGCACTTAAGAAAATCTTTTAATTTATTAATTATTAATATTTAATATTTATAAATACTAGAAATAATTTTGTACACCCCTATGCAATATTAAAGGCTTTAAGAAACCAATACCTACCCGTGTGACATGTCCCTTGGTAACACTAAGTACCTACTTACTTATACTTTGTTCGTTTTTCTAAGTTATTTATTGACGTTCTTTATAATATGAATGATGTTAGTACACCAACGTAAACTCTCATTTACGGTTCGACGCCACGTATATTTCGAATAATGAACTTTTCGCAGCGTTTTAAAGTGTAGGTAGTATTAACTCGGTAGGGGTAGTCGTCGAGTCAATTTTAAACTGTATATTTGTATAGTGTTTGAATTATCCCTCACCCATTAAAAGGGCACACAAGACCAATTCGTCCTTTGAACAATAAATTTGAACGGGAGAGGCCTAATAAAATATTGCTTGAACCTACCTACGAATATTACTCTCAAGGATACTGCCACTGTTCTCGTTTAGTAACAATGTAATACGCACACCAGGGTTTTATTGATTCTAGTGTGTCGATCCCGTATATCGCGGGCCCAGTAGATTAACTAACACAGATCGTTTTTTATTACGAATTAGATTTACGTGTTAGTTTATGTAACTGTTCGTTGCTCGAATTAAAAAGAGCTCCAGTAGCCTGTAAAATGTTGAAATGTATGTAAAAATATTGTAAATATAAAACAGAACTCAACTGTCGTTTCATTTTTGATGATCGCATTTTTGGTTTCCTGTGTAAACAGTACCCGGTTTCGAAGAACATAAAACTACAATAAAGTTAAATATGACTCAATAAATGTCGGTTTCTCTAACCACCAAAGCGGATTGCAACTAGTGACGTGCATTGACGACATGACTATATTAATTACGCTTTTATGATATTATGATGTTACAGTGAAAATGTACCATCGCAAATCTTTAGATGCCTAAATAAATATTTACTAGTTACGTGTCTTCAGATTTATTTTGCATAAAAATATGTATAAAAAATAATCTGACGTAGGTACATAATATTCTAAATACGTATTATCCTACTAGCAAATTGGTCGTAAGATATATATAGCTGTCAGAGAATTGATTTTCCAAAATTAAATTTACCTTCGGTATGTAAAGGTTAGGGTTCGTGTCGGTGTTCAATACTTTTTAAATCCAAGTTCATTAGTATCATTTTTAATAAACATTGAATCATCGAATTATCTATAAAATGGTATCTATAGGATACAATTTTATAGATAATGGTTTTTCTTAAATAGGGCAAAAAGTGTTTTGGACACTCGAGGAATACTATTTTTTTGCAAAGTTGCACTTTAGCCAGACTAAAATGAAATATAAATTAATGGATTATTCTTTATTCTATTTCATACTAGCCTTGCCCGCGGCTCCGCCCGCGTTTAGATGACCAAAAAGCAAATTCTTAGGTTTTACACATTAGTATACTCTTATATTGCAGTTTTTGTATTTTTTCTCAGAAATGAGACACTTTCACGCTGTAAAAAGTATCCTATATGTTGACCCGGATAACCAGCTATCACCATACAAAATTTCATCAAAATCCCTCCAGTGGATTTTCTGTGATGCGGTAACAGACAGACAAAAAATCTAAGAACTAGATTCAGTCTGTATTGATGATAATGTTTATTTCAATAAGATTTTCCAAAAAATATTTAATGTACAGATTCGGCTTAGTTACAATTTTATTATATGTATCGATTTCTCTTTTTGTCGTCTATATTATGTATTTGAAGACTTCACACAGGCAAGTATTTGAAATATAAGTAATAAGCAGGTGTAGGTATAAAAATATAATTTGATTAATTATATGAATAAATAGACGAAAAGAATTTACCTACTTATATAAAAATATTACGAAAATATCGTAGGTATATAATTAATTTCTATGGCATATTTCATTTTAAGTAAATGATCCCTTGAAGTACCTACTTCGTAGCGGTAATATAAATGATTGTAAAGGTCACTTGACGCAAATTTTGTACAAAAATCATCTTACATTAGTAGTTCAATACATTTACGCTCAAATTAATCTAAATGTTCACGGAAAAAGTATTAATATTTATAAAGTTTCATTGAATTTTTGAAGGGAAACTTCTTTGCGCGCATGAGAATAAAATTTCAAGTTCGCGTCATGAGAAATCGTCACGAAAAACCGTCATGGTTGCCATCGTAACCGCTTGCATTAGGTTACCATACTAACCATTGTTATTTTTACTAATTTGTTTTTAAAAATGCGGAATATTATAAGAATCCGGCTTAGAAAAAGATAAAATATTATTCTCTCCTCTTTGTGTGATATTCGTTTAAATCATATTTTTGTCAGAGTGTAATATTAAAAGTTTTTATTAATTTATCTTATAGATTTGAAATATAAATAACAAATGAAGTAGACTTGTAACACGTTTAGTGTAGAAATATGATTTTTTTCTGTTAAATCAAGATTTTGTTTTTAGATAACTTACTTGTAGACTATTAATTAATTCATTTTCATTATTTATTAATTTAAAATTTAAATTAAAGATTTAGAATATTATTATTGCTTTTTGAAAATTGGTGTATCATCATTGAAGTACATATGAAACGTAAATATCCGATCGTACTTGCTTAGTTGTCAGTTGTCACTGTCATTCACAAATGTCAGAGAAAGTAAAAATCCTTTGTACAGTGCAGGCACATTTTACATTTAATTATTTAAATTCAAAAATTTAATTTGTGGCGGACGAATTGAGACATAAAAATGGATGACGATTTACCGACCGACTTCCAGGTCATCGTAGTTGGGACGGGTAAGTCTTATATTATTTATTAAATGAGACCGGGCGTGATGGCGATAGGTAGCCTACTTAGGTATCGATCTTAGCTTTTTTCATTCGCTTCGGTCGAGTTGTACAGCCGAACGTTTTTTACAGGCCTGAATTATAGTCAAATACTTTTCATATGCTTGGATGAAATTTAAAATACTTTTGATAATTTAATGATCTTTATGGTGATATTGCCTATGTAGTTGTAAGCTTCCTAATTTATGAAATATTGGCGAAGTTACATCGCATTCATTGTCTCTTTAATTTGGACACGTAACAACCCCAAATGTACAAAGAAATAGAATTAATTTACATTTTTGATAAAAATCTAATTTGAAATATAATATTAGGCATAAAAAGTATACACCAATAAATAGTAATGACATATATTTTATGTCAATGTGTGTGATTAAAAAAAAGTATTAAGCAAATTAGATAAATTTTGTGATTTCAATCTAATATATTACTTAGTTTTTATTATTTTTCGAGCTTAAAATTGCTAGGCTTAAAAAATCCTCTAAATTACAGAAATACTTAATTGTGTAATTAATAATTTCTTAGTTCTAAATATAATATTCTTTAATTTTTTTAATATAATTCTGAAGTATCTGAATAACTTTCTGTGATAGAATTATATACTTGGGAACCAAGTTTCTTTATAGAAAATAAATGTAGTCTTTTTCACTCTGAACTTGTTCAATAAATAAAATCAATCTATTGATTGCTTGGTGGGTAAAAGAAAAAACTCATGAATACACTTTTACCTTTACAACAATAGTAAGGGTATCCATAGGGAAGTCCTTTTTTTATGCCCTTATTTAGAGATTTATGATATATATATATATATATATATATATTTATCTATTGCACAAATAAATTAAAAAACCCACAGAAAGTGATATTGGCAAAAGTGGATTTATCTCTATATGCGCTCTCTTCCAGTCAATCCATGTACGTATGTGGGATATAGCGTTAATAGCGGGACAAAAAGAGAAAGTACAAATAGACAATAAGAAAGTATATAAGTTAAATGTTCTTATTTCATAATTTTCCTTGCATTTCAATATATTATATACACACACACACACACACACAATATATAACATATTATCCACACAATGTTAGTGACCTACTATCCTATAGTGTATTCTATTTCCATAATAGGCTGGCTAGACTTGCCTCAAGTGGAAATTAAAATTACTACCTCATTCTATGGCATATAATTATTAGCAGTGTTTGTCATATTATGGCCGTTGATTTTTATGTTTCAATATTTATTAGTTCCTCACATTATAAGCATTCCTCTTTTTTTCATACCTTATCTTTTTTTTTAAATCACACACATCTTATGAGGATCAAATATAGTTTTAATTAATTACACATATATATTTACTAACACAAACTTATATTTAGGTTAAATACAATTTTGTTAAAAATGTCAATAGGAATGGTGGAATCCATTGTCGCCGCAGCATGTAGTCGAATAGGAAAAGATGTCCTTCACTTGGACTTCAGTGATCATTATGGAGGTTTGTGGGCATCTTACAACTTTGATGGCCTGCAAAAATTTATCAAAGAGGTCAACTCTGACCCTAATAGACAGCTTCAAGTTTACAATCTTAATGAGCAGTGGTACATAAATAAGTAAGTATAATTAGTATATTTTCTTTGATTTGAAACAGTCAGTCTTTTCATTTAGTATTCTTAATATTTAATGCCTATAAAAACTAATTGCTGTTTTAAAAAAAATATTGATAAGTATAAATACACTTATAACAGACAGGTTAAACTTCACATGTACTCCCTATGTATATATATTATAATATATACTTTTATAATAGTGGAAGTCTGCCCGATTTGTTGACATTTGTGATTATTGCCCTGCGCCCTTGGGCAGTACCATGATGTTATATAGCCTATAGTACCTCAACTTCCTAAAATGGGCTATCTAAAAAGATTTTTTCAAATTGGATAAGTAGGTCCTGTGATTAGCGCATTCAAACAATCAAACTCTGCCTCTTTATAATCTTAGTAATTTAGATTATTATTTATACACACCGATTTTACGTAATTCGTTTATACATCTCTTACGTCGTACTAATTGCGCCACGTACAACAAAATTTACATTTTAACATACAATTTTAGATATCTTTCTGTATATTTAGCTGCAAAGACACTGCATTGCGATTCTGTGCGACAGTGCGGCAGTAATAATATAACAAACATTCGTTTGACCGTTTACTTTAATACTTTAAATGCCTCTATTACTACTGCCTGCGGCTCCGCCTGCGTATTCATTGTTGTTTAGTTCACTATCATATATCTTGACCCTTGGTTCGATACGAGAGCTTTGAACGGGAAGGTCAAGTTGGATTTGTTTAGCTAGCTGAAATGAAATTTACAAAACTCCATTGACATTCATTGGACTTGGGTGGTTAGACGAAATGATTAAAACTTTATATATTTTGGCGTGTCTTACTCAATCTTCCCCTTCACTTTTTTTCAGATAATTATTAATGTATATACCTACTATAATAACACCCGCTATAAATTGATTATATTATTTATTTTTATGTGCGAAAATTCCCGTCTGTATAAGTAAAAAGAATTTTGACGATCTACAATAGTTTAGACTTTAAAGTATCAATTTCTTTGATGTAGTAGGTATATTTCTTAGAATCAGAATATAATATTTATTATTTTGGTTAGGGATTCCCCGCAAGAAGAAGAAAAGGCCGAAGGAGAAGATGGTAAGACTGAAGATGGCAAGGCTGATCCTCCTAAAAAGATTTGGAGTCAAAACGACTTCGCGACTGAGTACAGGAAATTTTATATTGATATGACCCCAAAGGTATGTTTTATGTTTAATTCATTTATTTTTACAGTTTTGTGTAATCTACACATATAATAAAATTGTAACCAAGCCGAATCTGTACATTAAATATTTTTTGGAAAATCTTATTGAAATAAACATTATTATCGATACAGAGGCCGAATCTATAGTTTTTAGAATTTTTGTCTGTCTGTCTGTCTGTCTGTCTGTCTGTCTGTCTGTTACCGCATCACAGAAAAACCACTGGAGGGATTTTGATGAAATTTGGTATGGTGATAACTGGTTATCCGGGTCAACATATAGGATACTTTTTACCCTGGGAAAATATCTCATTTCTGAGAAAAAATACAAAAACTGCAATGTAAGAGTATACTAATATGTAAAACCTAAGAATTTGGTTTTTAGTCATCTGAACGCGGGCGGAGCCGCGGGCAATGCTAGTTTACTAAATAAACGTCTTGTGAATACAATTACAGTGTAACAGCTAACTTTCAAATGCAAATGACAACATAGAGACTTAAATATTTGTAAACGTTGTAGTATTTTGACATGCCTCCTTTGTATATCTAATTATATTATCTTTTCTTTCAACTCTTAACCTATCTTCAGTGGTTGTCCAAATAAATACTGCAAAGAATGTAAAGACGGATGGTATTTGTAGATAAAGTTTTAAAAGATTGGTGATTAGTCTAAATTTATTTTTTTATCACATAAATTGGCGCAAATTCTGTTGAGTTTCAGCGAAACTTCAAAGTCGTTTTATCAGTTGTTTGCTTACTCTATTCACTAAGTATCCGAGTTAAATATTTATTGGCCAATATATTTTTTTATATCTCCACGAAAATCCAATTAAGCGTCAGACTTCAAGTCTTCTGTAAACACTTTCAATTACTCTTCTCAATGGCTTAGTTATATTTAGACAATGATTAACATTCTTATTTTGTTTGCCTTTAGAAGAGTTATAATACACCTCTAGTGTACATTTTTATATAAAACAAGTTTTTGGCCATGACTCGTTTGTTTAGATGATAATAAATAACACATGTCTTATACTAAAATCTTTCATTCGCTAGTAATTCTCCTGTATATTGGTTTTTCTAATCAGAAGATTTGCAGCCATTAAGAGTTTATTAAGACTGTTGTCTTGCAAGTAACCATATCAACGTACATAACAATATGAGCAACCAGCCGTATCTGTTTTTTAAATTAGACATACACTTTAATTATATTTTTAAACATATTACATCATTCGTCAACAATGCGAACGATTACATATCTAAACTTAAGCGTCCAAGGCAACAAATAATGTTTGCAACTTTCTATTAGAGCTATTTAGACTTTCAGTGATTTTTCGGTCAAACTCATCTCATCTCATCATCATCAATCGATAAAAAACTCTTATATAAAACTTTGTTTTTTAAATATGTATGATATAATTGCGACCTGACCTTGCTTCGCTCAGATATTGTCGGTCGATTACGGTATTTGAATAACATAAGTATATTTTATAGATTATTCAGTTACCGGATCTTGGACGAAGAAAGGAAGTAGTCTAAAAAATTAGGTACAATTTAAGTTTTAATAGAGAGTATTAAAAATCATGTTTAGGCATGAAGGGGAAATAAACACATTTTCGCAATAAGATAATATAATATTAGAAATCCATACCCATACTAATACTTTAAATGTGAAAGTTTATGAGGATGAATGGATGTTTGTTACTCTTTCACACTAGAACGCCTGAACGGATATAGGTGAAATTTAGCACAGAGATAGATTCTGGAATAGCACATAGGTTACTTTTTATCCCGGACAAAATGTACGGTTCCCGTGGGATTGGTTTGTTTTTGTCTAGGGATAAACGCCAAGCGAAGCGAAGGTGAGTTGCTAGTACCAAATATTTGATCAGCTAATAGGTAACAAGGTGACATTAATGCGTATTAAACATGCACGTTAAATGAATAAATCATTGAAGTCGCTATTCCTTTGTCTAGTTGCTGTTTTCTCGGGGGCCGCTGGTAGAACTCCTGATATCTTCTAATATCGCCCGTTATGTCGAGTTTCGTTGTGTAACACGTGTGCTCACTTGGCTTAATGACAAGCTGATGCCGGTGCCTTGCTCGAGGGCCGACGTGTTCGCTACCGAGGCGGTCAGCATTGTTGAAAAGAGGATGCTGATGAAAATGCTAACCTCGATCGTTGGTTACAGCGAGGAGGAAATGAACAATGAATTTAAAGGTGAATGTACTGAAGTATTGGAAATAATAGAATAATGAACGATTTAGTTGACCCAATTTAAATGATTGATTTTTAAATACCTAATAGGTGTATCTATTAGAGGGATCTCTAATTAATTAGGAAATACGTAATTTTTGACAGTAATTTTATCTGCCATATTTTTTTTTTGTGTACAATAATTACAAAACTGCACTATATAAAGCCATCAGCTAGTCAATGAAAATAAAGCTAGCTATAGTCAACAGAATGACATGATATCAAATTCAAGTGATACTTCTACTGCTTATGAAATATTCAGCACAATGGTGCCTTTTGTCTTTTACCTTTGCTAGATTTTAAATTAAAATAAATAATATAATTAAGCTGAATTTTCTATTCCATCTTTAACACAAAAAATAAAATTTAATGCATAGATGTTCTAAATTCCATATTATTTTGATTCTTAATAAATAAACGTTTTTTTCGTAGACTGGGATGACAAAACTTTCAAGGAGTATTTGACTCACAAAGGGCTGACCCCGAATTTGATTCATTACGTGCTATTTGCGATCGCGGGCGGAACTGATAATATGCCATGTTTGGAGGGAGTGAGGGAATGTAAGAAGTTCCTCATGAGCCTTGGTCGTTATGGGAACACCCCATTCCTGTGGCCGATGTATGGCGGTGGCGAACTACCACAATGCTTCTGTCGGTAAGTCTGAATTTGGTAAATAAAAATATATTTTTTTTTATATTTATTGATACTTTTGCCATTTTGTTTTAAGGTTGTTGCTCTAATATTTTATGTGGTATTTATTATACATATATGTACTTATTCTTCAGTTTGATATACTGAAATTCGTCCAAAGTTATTAACCTTTACCATACCATTTTATTATTATTAGCACGTGAATTAATTATTGGTATCCTCTTATTGAAATTTTCTCATCTATACATATAATAAAATTCTATCTGAGTTGAATCTGTACATTAAATATTTTTTTGGATAATCTTATTGAAATAGTCATTATAATCGATACTGAGACCGAATCTAGTTTTTAGAATTTTTGTCTATCTGTCGCATCACGAGAAAACCACTGGACAGATTATGATGAAATTTGGTATGATAATAGCTGGTTATCCGGGTCAACATATAGGATACTTTTTACTTCGGGAAAATATCTCAATTCTAAAAAATGTATACTAAACGCTAAAACGGAACTATGGACGAACCCGAGCGAAGCGAGGTTGAGTCGCTAGTCAAATACATATTATTATTATTCATCCGATGAATATTCAGTATTTTTTCAAATAAACGAAACACTCGAAAGTTTGTGTTCAAATAAAATATTATCTGTTAACAAGTGAATGTAGAGACTCAATTCGTTTTAAACACACAGTGAGTCTAATAAAAATAAAAATAAAAATTTAAAAAGTAAAAATACATATTTATAATTCGGCCACATAAAATTTCCGTAACGATCCTGACTCACAGTGGTCGGCTTGTACAGTTTATTTTTATTTAGATGCGACGGGCGCGAGAGAAGTATTGAATTATTCAAATATTTGCAATAACAAATTTTGTTTCGCGAGATTTTAATGGGGAATAAAACGAGATTAAAGGTTTCTGTTGACAGGTTTAAAACAGGTTGTCGATTGACTGTTTGTTATTTACTTATTTGAATGTTATATTTAAAATGTATACGCCATTCGATATTTTTTATTTGAAAAGTAAGAGAGCTCTTTAGGAGATTTGAAATCTTAAATGTCTTAAATAATTTAATCATATATTAGAAAATTAGTCTACGTCTTTATCTTTTTTTTTGTATACATTTGTTATTTTGCAAAATAACCATGAAAGTGTTGCGGTGCGGTTATTGACCCAGATGTGCATCGTTCGCGCATTCGAAAATAAGGCGACTTTCTAGCGTTGCATGATGCACGACTGACATTTTGTTAAGAAATGTTTTTGGCGTTATTTCAAAAGAGTATTCCTATAATTGACTCGACTGATATTTGTTTTGTGTCACCATGTTTTTTTCTATTAGAAGTATACAGAAATAACATAGTAACCATTCAAACCGCGTCTTCCATTCTTCATCGCTATCGATACAAATGGATACTAATATCCGATGTCGTGCTTTATATACACCAGACCGAAACAAACATATGTATGGTTAATATAAACATTCTTCCCTACAATAAAATTCCCACTTTAAAATGCTTGAAGCTGTTTTGTTTTTTAATTTTGTAATATTAAAACAATTTGCTATTATTTTATAGTAAGTCCAAATAATTCATTTTAATAAGGAAATTAATAATACTAAATCTCCATAGTTTGATCTCCTTTAGACAACATAAAACTATTTAATATACAAATTTAACACAATGAAATCTCTTTAAAGATTATGCGCGGTGTTCGGAGGAGTGTACTGTTTGAACCGACCGATCGACTCCGTGGAGACCAAGACTGTTGAAGAAGGCAAGAAAGTGGTTGTTATTGGCAGTAAATCTAAAACGCTCAAATGCGACCATTTGGTCATTGGCATCAACGAGTGCCCGAAAGATCTTATAGTGCCAGAAACAACAGAAAGCACAGACATATCCAAGGCTGTTTTTATAACCAATGGAACGATCATGCCCAGTGAAAAGGAGCCGTTGACATTGTTACGGTTCCCACCTCTCATTGAAGATGGTTCAGCCGTTACTGTACTGGAAGTTGGTCCTGCGACCGGATCTTGTCCTAAGGGACTTTGTAAGTATTTTATTATAAAGAACATAAATATTTTATTTTTATGCAATTAGCAAAAAAAATTGACCTTAGTTTTATATAGGACCGTATAATATGAGAGCTATTATACTATACTATAGAGGTATTTTTGGTTCTTGTGATTCGATTGGAATACAAACTTGTAATTGCCAAAAAACTTATCGAACAGTCCGGCCGTTCTAAAGTAAAATGAAAGCAAAAAATGATTGCTAAGTTTTTTATCAGTTAACTATTACAAATATAAGAATTAGTACATCTCAAACATGTACCAAAAACTACTGTACCACAATTATTTTATAATTTGATCATTTACTATAACTACTTGTTTAAAAGAATGTTTAATTTTATACTGTATTGAATCACTCACCACCCTTAAAATCTTTTTATGTGTCACATGATATTTTACCTCATAAGTAATAAAATTTGTACTCCTTTGATAAAGACACACAATATGTAATTAAATATGTTTTTACAATAATTAAGTCATGATTTACATCTATCAACAGACATTTTTCTTTTTTATCACCTGTTTTTTTGTACTTCACCGCTGAAGTAATTTGTAGCTTTTTTGGGACGAGTTTTTTAAATAACACTGAGTCATTGACTGACAAATTGAGGAAATTTAAGATTTGACCTCCCTCTTAAACGTTTGAACAGTTTGTGGTTATACCTAACAATACATACATGCTGATTACAATACATGGTTTACACAATGGAGAAGGTTCCAATTTTTTTTATGTATTAATAATAAGTAAAATATAATGAAATAAGAGGAATTAATGAAAAAGTTGTGGAACTTTAAAATTGCGCTCGTAATAAATCATTTTGTTAACCTTAACGATCGAAATTTAAATTAATTCCTCAGTCATTTATTGATAGATTTCAAAAAAAAATATCACTGATTCATTAGTTTTGATCCATATTATAATTCCATTGCGTTAAATATGATATTATCAACATCATGAAACTTCTCCATTATATGTAAATTCAATATATTTTTATAATTCTGATCGTTATATTGCTGTAACTACAGATGTTCTTACATTTCTTTGGTAGTCTTTACGTATTTCACCATAATATGCACTGGATAATAAGCAGGCAGAAAAAATAAAATATAGATTTTTAGCACATATAAAAATTATATTATAGTCCCTAAATTGCTGACATCTAGTTGAGAGCTTTTCACATAGAGAATATTCAAAAACGATTTAAATGAAAATGTGCTTAGGCTATTGTACAAGATACTCAATTAAGGATAAAATTTCATCTTCCTTGACCTTATTTTAAAAAATATCTTTTATGACTAAAATGTCGATCACGTTCGTTATGCTCGTAGTTATCACACACGCTGCTATATTTGGTAAAAAATTATAACAGTAAAAACCTATCAGAAGCACATATAAACTGTTTTGAACTAGCGACTCACCCTCGCTTCACTCGGGTTCGTCCCTAGCTTGCTTTCCAATACAAACTTTCATCCCCATTTACACCCCCTTATGGGATGATTTCTGGGATAAAAAGTATCTTGTCTTTCACAGGGTCTCAAACTATCTTCTTACCAAATTTCATTTAAATTTGTTCAGTAGATCCAGAGATTATCTCCCTACAACCTCACAAACTTACAAACTTTACCTGTTTATAATATTAGTATAGATAAAAATATATTTTATCATTTTCCTTTTTTCTTTGTTTACAATATTGTTATTTTTTTATTATTAAGTTGGCAGCACAGTCAATACAGAAGATATATAAAGTACACTCATGTTTTTTCTTTATTTGATGTTAAAATTGGCAATTTCAGCGCACTTGTTTATTTGAAATTTATGAGGACACGTTTGGCTCAGTTTGTAGTGACCCCACTTGCTGTGCCAGCAGTCGCGGGTTCTAGTCCCGCTGGAGGCATTCATTTGTGTAATCAGCACGAATGCTTGTACTCCAGTCGTGGGTGTTTATATTTATAATATGTATGTATTTAAAGTTATACAGGTGAATTTTTCGAGTGGGCGTGGATGGCCAAATCCGAAACTATGAAGAATAGCGAAAAATACTCAAAGGAGTCTCGGGACCGATTTCCATGAAAACTAAAACTGCATCATTGGATTTTTGAAAAGTCAATATTCCTAGCCAAGAAACGAACCCGTTGACTTTGAAAAAAGAAACACACTGTATTATTACACTATTCAATAGTGTCGCTAATAAGGAACGCTTTCCGGGAAGTAATTACATACGGCAAACTTAAGGAAAGGCCTCATTTTTATCAAAAAAAACTTTTTTCCTTTGTTACCTACCTATTAAACCTTAACTGATCAATTGTAAATATGTAAAATTAGAACATAATGTTGTGAAGATAAATGCGCTGCGGGTGTATGTTGAAAAAAATATTGAGCATAATTCCAAACAAGGTACAGGTTAAGCATGGTAGCCAAGCAAGGTAGGCATGATTATTAAAGAAATTACTTTAGAATATGAAGCAGTTTATAAAAATCCAAAATTTTCCTTAAGTTTGCCGTATGTCATTACTTCCCTGAATTAGCTCCATATAAGTGTCCATATCGAATGGTGTAATAATGCAGCGTGTGATTTTTTTCAAAATCAACGCGTGGTCATCATTTTGAACAATTGATCAGTTAAGGTTTAATAGGTAGATAACAAAGGAAAAACGTTTTTTTTTTTTTGATAAAAATGAGCCCTTTCCTTAAGTTTGCCGTATGTAATTACTTCCCGGAATGCGTTCCTTATTAGCGACACTATTGAATAGCATAATAATACAGTGTTTTTTTTACAAAGTCAACGGGTTCGATTCTTGGCTAGGAATATTGACTTTTCAAAAATCCAATGATGCAGTATTAGTTTTTATGAAAATTGGTCCCGACACTCGATTGAGTATTTTTCGTTATTCCTCATAGTTTCGGATTTGGCCATCCACGCCCACTTGAAAAATACACCTGTAGGTATATGTGTAGTGTATCAACTATCTGGTATCCATAACACAAGCCGTGTAGCTTACCATGGAACTAGATGATGCTGTGTGTTAATGTCGCAACATATGTATTTATTTATTTTAAATCTTTACTTACTTTAATTTTGTTTATTATAAATGATAGTATTATAAATATTCTTATTTTTTCAGTCGTTGTGTACTTCATAACAAATAAAGTTAACGACGCAGAGAGCGACCTCAAGCCCTACGCCGAGAAAATCTTCGACATGTCGGGCGGCGACCAGACTGAGACCTCGGATAAACCTAAGGTATTTATTTACTTACAAATAATATACATCAAAAAATAAAATAGATAGATATGGGGACTGCCAACAGAAATGAAAACTTATAATTTAGGAATATCTGTGGTTTTTTTATTTATTTTTAAATTAATTATACTATGAATAATTAATAATTTATAATTTGTAAATTGAAATTATTATTACTTTGGTTTTCACTTACATTGGCACTCTCAGCAATAATTATTTACATTTTGATATAGTTTATTTATTAATTAAAACATATGAGGCAGTTTGGCGCAGACTAGCGCTGCGTCAGACTGCGTTTACCCGTCAATTGTCAAACGAAGCATGTCGGTGACGCGAACCTATGAGTTTTGCCTCTATCAAAAATCGCTCAATGTGGCTTAAGAAATTTTCACTTCAAAAAATATTGGTCACATCTTGGTACTCTCTTACATTTCTTCTATATTTTTAATATAATTGTTTCACTCTCCAATATATGTATATGAAATCTGCACAATGGGTATTCATAAAAAAAATTGTAAATAATTTGTAATCTGCAAAATGGGTATACATAAAATGTAAACAGCGCCATCTGTGAATACGCAGTAGAAACTTATTGTGGTTAATTTTAATTTGCGGAATTATGGAATTTGACTTTCCTTTTTTCTCAAATTGAAATTTACATGGTTTTATATTGGAATATATATTTTTAAGAATCTTTGCATTATTAATTTTACATAAACATAAAAAAATCATGCACGTTACTCCATCTATAGACATTTACTTGAACTATTTTTTTTTTCTCATAACATTTCATGGCTGTACTATTTTTTATTCTAAAGCTCTCACTCGTCTCGACGAATTGATATAATTCATGAAACGATTTCTGTCGTGGTGTTAACATATGCGTATATTTATTGTGGTTTCTGTTTTAAGTTTGTTTCTGTTTTTAACTCACTTTTAGATTTATAAAGTAATTAACGACTCACCCTCTTTTCGCGCGGGTTCATCCCTAGCTTGATTCCGAATACAAACTTTCATCCCCATTTTCACCCCTCTAAGGGATGATTTCGTGGATAAAAAGTATTCTATATCCTTCCCAGTGTCTCAATCTATTTTCTTATCAAATTTAATCTAAATCGGTTCAGTAGATCCAAAGATTACCCCCTACAACATCACAAACTGACAAACTTTACCTTTTTATAATATTAGTGTAGATATAAGTGTTTTATTGGTATGTGTAACGTCCAGTGCCTATGGTCGCTGTTCTACAACGTGCGGGACACGCGCGCGGCGGCGCGCGACGACGCGGCCGTGCACGTGTGCTGCGGGCCCGACGCCGGCCTCGACTTCGACCGCGCCGTGCACCAGGTACGTTGGCCGATTCGTACAACTGTTGTCATTAATTAATGTATACTTTAGCCTTAACTAGTTTGGCCCAGGCCGAATTGATTGAATCGTTGCAAGTAAGCCAAAATAAACACGTCACCCTAAGTAGCACAATTTATTTATTTTAGATCATTTTTTATTTTAGTTTGGCTCTAAAAATATTTTTATATTATAGCACTATATATGTATGTATATAGCATTCATTAATTACGTAAGGATGATATTGACGAATTTTGACCCCCCTACCCCCTGTAAGGATACATAAGATTTCTCGTATTACGTAAGAATGGGTTTTAGTTTTTGTTAAGGGAATAAAATTACATTGTTACATAGTGACAAGTTTGAATTGTTGAATGCGATAAAATGCTAAATTTAGATACCATAATCATACATCAAATAATTAAAGAATAATAGTACAATTTGTATAATTTACGAGATATTTGTTCTGTATTTTTAAATGTAATAAAGAAGCATTAGTTCAATGGCATAAATTTATATAAAAGCTGCTTCATCTTATATGGAACTAGCGACTCGCTCTCGCTTCGCTCGGGTTCGTCCCTAGCTTGATACCCCTAAAAACTTTCATCCCCATTTTCACCCCCTTAAGGGATGATTTCTGGGATGAAAAGTATTCTATGTCCTTCCCAGGGTCTCAAACTCTTTTCTTACCAAATTTCATCTAAATCGGTTCAGTCGATCCAGAGAATACCCCCTACAACGTCACAAACTCATAATATCACAAACTTTACCTCTTTATAATATTAGTATAGATAAAACATAAAGTATAAAACCGCAAACCGAAGATAATATATTTAATGACCAAAATATTAGTGAACCATTCCAAAATTTAACTTATTTGTAAACCATTAGTAACATGGCAACAAGGTTTATACATAAACTATACAAATAGTAATAATAATTTATTATATGGGACAACTATAAAATTGTACTTAAAAAAACGTGATTTGTTTATTTAGAAACTGCCTACTAAAGATAAAGTTTGTTTTTATTAAATTAGAATTTTTTATCTTTTACGTAGGTACTTCACTAGCACCTAAGCTATATGATAATATTTCCAGTACAGTAACAAAATAAAATGGATAATTTGATAATATTTTTTAATACAATATAATTTTCGCTACGAAATATTTACAAATTAATAATAATCTGAGTAATATTAATTGTTTATATTTTTTAATGAATAATTTTTTTTTTGTAATTGTTTATAATCTTCTAACAATTGTGGCTATAGTTGTTTGACCCATAATACCAATAATGATTATGTAAAATAAAACAAATAAAATTATCTCCTATCACGTGGCAAATCCATGTAGTTTTTTTAGCGCAATATCTACATTAAAATGTTACCTATATAAAAATAATTACCTACTCGAAATTAAACAAGTAATTGTTAGATTTCTATATGTAGTTTCTTTTTGGTTATGATAATATAGTACTTAGACGAGCTTATGCTATTATTAAAACTTTACAGTATAACAAAAGTTTTACGAATGCTTTTGAGTTTTCACACCATTTATTTAATTATATATAATAACCAGCGACTCGCCCTCGCTTCGTTCGGGTTCGTCCCTGAGTACATTTTAAGTTTTTTTTGATTGGAACCCTAATTCTTTTACTGAAATAAAAGTAGAGTAAGTTACTCCTTATAACATCAACTACCTGCCAGTGAAAATCCCGTCAAAATCGGCCCAGCCGTTTCGGATATTAGCCGAAACAAACTGACAGACAGACAAAAAAAATTTAAATAGTGTTTTTCATATATATACCGTTTATAATTCCATATGCATTTAATAAAAAGCTGTTATTTTGACATTACAAACAGACACCTCAATTTTATATATATAATATATAATATATATATATATACCAGTACGAATTAAAAAACGTGCATTATATCGTGGGAATTACACGAATTTTGCATTTTTAGGCGGAGGAAATCTTTAAGAAGATCTGCCCAGGCGAGGAATTCCTGCCGCGCGCTCCCGATCCAGAGGAGATTGTGTTCGAGGACGACGTCACTCACGGCCCGGAGTTTCAGAGGGAGGACGAAGACGCAGAGGGCGATAAGGAGTAGGCTGTAGAATTACTTTTTAATAATTACAGCACTTTCTGGTATGATACAGTACCAAAGAAAGATGCCAACAGAATACTCGAACGACTACGAAACAGTAATAGGAAACTTTGGTGAACTTTTACTGAAAAGCTAATTTTTGTATGACCAACCTACGACCTGCGGTGAAACTGCATACATTATAAGAATTAATTCATTCAGAAATAAATTTTTAGCTTCCATATTTAAACACAAATACAATTATTAGGATTGCATTATTTGCAGGATATATTATGTAGCACATAATACGAAATATTGCTAGCATTAGCTTAAGAGCAGTTCTCACTGTGTGTCGTAGGTGAGCAACCTCGATGGCGAATCTGTATACACGAGAACGTGCTGATTAAGTTTTAAGGTATAATCCCAGTAAGATTTATACGCTTTTTGCTTGACTTAATGCATTCCGACTGGTGCGGGGAGCGACATATCTATGATAGATTTGTTCTGCGTTTTTATGGACTGAAATCTAATAAATATGGCCTTCGACCTTTGCCAAATGATAATATCATTGTACTAATTTGAAAGTTTATCGTTTTAAGACCCAATAATTTCCGGGTTAAATGTGAATTGGTATAAAATGGTACCTATGTATGTATATACTATCGCTACGTCTAGTGATATATACAAAATTAAAAAAAATATACAATTTTTAGTCTTTTTATTAAAAATCTTAGCTAGGTTGTCTTGACAGGTTTAAGATCAACATTATGCCTATATTTAGTGCTAGGTATCCATTATTCAAAGGCTGCGCTGTCAAGCGATATTTTATATATTAATGAATTGACTGTTTGAGTATTGGCGGTATGGCTCTCTTATATATAGATCAGTATTATATGTTATGAACATTAATAATTGATTTTTTTATGAATAAATTTTGAAGTGGCAAATGAATGAGACACGTGCAATTTTCTAGTGAGTTTTAAGGATTATAGGTTATTGGACGCACCAGTCCTAGGCATAGATGTAGCACATTATTTTTTGTATTATTATTAAGTTATTTAGCACTTTCAATTGTATTTATTGTCGAAGTATGCATAAAAATGCATGTGCATATTATAATTCCATTAAATTGTGATTATTAGAAATTATTTTGCATTTTTATTTAATCATACCCTGACCCGATTTTCCTTTTGAAGTTCTTTATATAATCTATCAGGCTAATCATATTAAGTAAGTCGGTCAAGAAGCCTTATAATATATAATGAGATTATACCTACAGGTTTATTTGTAAAATGCCCATTTTGTATATAAATATAATATCTTACCCATTTTTGTAAATATTGACAGTGTCTAGTTTTCATATATAAATTAAATTTTTATTATTTATGTAATTTAATTCCAATTTTATTTATGAAAGTTCAGAAATATCATTAAATATTGATATTATTTAAGTATACTTACATCTTAATAAAAAAATATACAATTATATTAATGTAGGGGTATTATTAAAACTAAAAAATAATGTTATAATAAACTTTATTTATGAAAGATATTACACATCTGGTCCTTTATTAAATAATAACAAGGAATAAAAACGTAATAAAATGGAATACTCTCGTCAATTGCATTATCACCTGTTCCATTCAAAGTTACAAATATACAAGTACACAAAATATTTTTTATTTTAGCTCATGGCATGTTTTTTAAACATTATAAAGTTATAAAATGCTCAATTTGTATAGATATCACTTATTATTATGACTTATTAAGTAAATATAATATGGCTGATTTAAAACAATCGTTTTTCATACGAAAATAAACCATGAACATTTCCTTCAAGCTGTGCAGAGTAAGTTCTCTTCATGAATCTTAATTCTCCAGAGTAGCTCATTTCACGCAATTTTGTAATAGAGCGAGCACCAATGTCTTGACAACTATGTTGCATCCCAGTTTGAAGATAAGGGAGGAATCTGAGAACTGAACCCTTGTCAACTATACTTCCACTTACACCTTGAGCTACTCTATGTTTATCTGATTCCTTATGGAAGTACCGGCTCATTGCAGAGCCTTTACCCTCTTTATTTTCCATTGCCTCTAAACTGCCCATGCCTCTGTATTTCTTCAACCTTACACCATCGGAAAAGAAGTACTCACCAGGAGCTTCAGAAGTACCAGCAAGAAGAGAACCCATCATGACACTAGAAGCTCCTAAGGCTAGTGATTTAACAATATGACCTACAGACTGGATGCCACCATCAGCAATAACAGGAACATTGAACTGACGAGCATATGAGGACACTTGGTATACTGCAGTAGCCTGAGGACATCCACATGCCATTACTTCCTGTGTAATACAAATGGAACCACTACCCATTCCTACTCTTAAGGCATCTGCCCCAGCTTCAATTAGATTTTTAGCCTGCATCCTTGTTACAACATTGCCACCAATCACTTGGATATCTGGATAGGTATTTTTAATATACTTAATCATTTCTATTTGATAAGTTGAATTGCCCTGAGATGAGTCCAGAACAATGACATCAACTCCATTGTTTACAAGAAGCTTAAGACGTTCTTTATCTCCTACTCTTGTTCCTATGGCAGCACCTACCAGTAACTGTTTATTGGAATCTTTAGAAGCATTTGGATAACTGCGAGCTTTTTTTAAGTCTGTTCTGGCAATTAAAGCCACAAGTTCACCTGCTCCATTGATGATAGGCAGTTTTCCTTTCTTACTCTTCTCAAGAATATAGTTGGCATCTTGCAATGTCACACCAGATTGTGCTGTAATCATTTCTTCTATGGGAGTCATTACTTCCTTTAAACTGAGTTGTGGGTCACCCTCCCTGAAGTCAATATCCCGAGATGTCACAATACCAATCAAACGACCTCCAAGTTTTCCATTTTCAGTAATGGGATAACCTGTGAATCCATTTTTCTTTTTTGCTTCTAAAACATCTGCTACAGTGTTCTCAGGACCCATACAGACAGGGTCACGAATAAAGCCGTGCTTATACTTCTTTACCTTATGCACTTCATTGGCCTGGTAATCAGGAGTACAATTGTGATGAATAATCCCAATACCCCCACATAAAGCCATAGCAATAGCCATATCGGCTTCAGTAACCGTATCCATAGGGGTTGACACCAGAGGTGCTTTGAGATTGATTTTCTTCGTAAGAGGAGATGTCAAGTCTACTTCTTCTGATGTAAAGTCTATGTACCCCGGAAGCAGAAGAAAATCATTGTAAGTTAATCCTTCACTATTGGCAAAAATTTCTTTAGCCGAGAGTCCATCTCTTAAGTCACCCTCTGCATTTGACATGATTGTTATTGTAAAAAGTAACACGTGTTAGAAAAAAATTGTTATACACTAAGCTTCTAATAATATATCGTCAAATTTTAGAATGAGATTTCTAGGTTAAACACGTTTTGGTAGTTATTTCACTTAAATATTTTTAAATACACGTGGTATTTGTAGTTTCGTAGAAAATTTCAAGGAAATATTAAATAAGTTTTGTATAATCAAATATCACTTTTGTGTAATAGATCTTCTTTGTTGTATGATGATCTTCTTTGTAAATTAAAATAATATTAATTTATTTTATTTTAAAACAGCGAAGGCTTTCTAACCGGCTTCTATAATATGAAGTTCGAATGCGAACTGCGACTTGAGTACGCTACGCTAGCGTACCGGTAACGGGTAACGGGTTAGCAGTTGGTCAGCGGCCTCGCTTTATTGAACATAAAATGTCAATTGTCATTTGTCAAAGACGAACATCCTCGCCACAGACTAAGTAGAGATATAATCTATGAAGGATAGAGTAGACATAAGGAGTACTATCTCTGCGCTTAAAAAGTGTCCATCAAAACGCGTTCAATAAGGGTGGCGCTGCGGTAGCGTACAATATATTTTAAAGGAAGTGCTAAAAGTATTTAGAGTAAGATAGAGAAATAAACAAGGATGGTTAAATTTACTCAATTATTTTAAACTACGTAAATAGTTGAGGTTTTGTATACTGGTATTTCATTAACTATCTTAAGTCATGAAAAATTATAAATTTTTGAACTCTGCACATTTCACTCTGTCTACAACAGCTAAATTCATATCGTAGTCTTTCGTACGGCAGCGCAACCTATTGTCAGTATACAGGTGAACATGGTGGACATTTAATTTATGTGTGCGTGTGTATATTCTACTTGTCTCCCTTATAAGACGCATAAGAGACGCCCACTTACCTCTACCCTCCATAATAAGATCCTAGCGTTCATAATGCGGGCACGTTTTAGGCCGTATTTTCATCCGGGCTCTGAGAAAATTATAAATATTGGTCCTACAGTTCCAAGAGTTGAGACCTTGTTTTAGGAAATTTCCTTCTTTTTTTAGATTTGAAGAATTAGTTTTAGATATTTGCAAAAAACTATACCCCCTATTGTCTTTTTAGTTAATTGTTTATAGCTTTAGCAATTTTTGCAAGCGGAAATTGATTTTTTTCAAAAATCATCTACATGCCATTTCGAATCGAAGAAGACCTCGTTCATATTTTTCCGAGACTGCTGAAAAAAGTTGACTTAAAAGGCACTTGTTGACTAGACTAAGTTCACCTTACCTGTAACCTCCATATGTCATGCGAAATGTACAACGGATTCGTCCTCGAAAAGTCTGAACGGAGGTCAAACGAAATTCGTACAACTATTTACATTCCTTGTATATTATTATACTCTTTGATTAAATATTACACCATAAAAGAAGTTATAGATAGCATACGATGGTAGACCCGTCTGTACCCTACCGAGTACCTACCGTACAACAATAACCTTCGTACGAGTTACGACAATGTACAGTTGATTATAATAATGAATTTATTTCCCCCACGTTTTTAATAATAGGACATGCGATATATTACATATCAAGCAGATTAGACTGCTAGGATTTAAAAAAATCATTTAAATACTTTATGTATGTTAGGTAATTTAGTAGAAAAGAAAAATTATAGATACCTAAAGGAATAAGGTTCATTATACCGGATTCCCGTCATATTCATATTATGTCGTACCTACCAAATACATAGAAAGGTCTACAAAATGTAAACTAAAAAATGAAACAAAACTATAATCATACACATACGAAATCAATGATAATAATAATTCAGCCGTCTGCTTTATAACGTCGCACTGTGTATTGCTGAGAACGTGACTCTTTTTGATACGACAGATATTAAACCAGCGTGGCTAGCGTTGTGTCCACGCTAACAATATATCCTCATATCCTACAAGCTGGTGGATTTTAAACGTATTTCCAACATCTAGTGAGTTCTTTCAGATAAGCAGGATTTTTCTTTATACGTTCGTAGTAGATGTTAGTAAGGTGTAAGTGCTAATCATGATGAAAGTGATTCGTAATATTCAATTCTCATATGGGTGCGAGCCGCGAGGTGCAAGACCCGGATTTAAATTCGCCTCAGTTGGTTGCCTAATGATCGCATACTATTTACTAATTGACTATTATTGAAAAAGAAAAACAATATTGACAACAGTCTAAAAATATAGTTACATGTTTTATTGTTACTCTTTTAGATTATTTCGCTTCAATTACTGCCATATATTTAAATTAATCAGATGCCTAACTAGGTAATATAAGTATTATTGTTTTATGTCGCTATGGACGTATCATGAACTAGAAAAAAAAGAAAGGGGTCCGCGTAACGCAAATCACATTCACAAATGAAGCACTATTTCCAGTGAAGTATGTGTGAGTGAGAGTGATTCGAGTGATACCAGAATGTAAATCGCGTTCCCCATTGTTTAAATATCGTCCATTAGTATTTTTGTAGCATTAAAAATAGTAAATTGTATCAAGTGTTAGTAGAATGAAAACGTGTATCATGTATGAGAATAATAATGGTAGTCGCTCGGCATATAATGACGAAGTCATAAGTGTGTGCGTAACTGGGTTAAAGGAGTGTATGTATGACTTGTCGATATATTTGGGGTGCTTCAGTTTCGATATGACTGGCGCGGAGTCCTTTTTTTCTAGTCCGTGGGACGTGTATATATATATATATATATATATATATTTTAATAAATAAATAAAAATCACTGGAACTTAATTCATACATTTAGCAGACTCGGTTTTAGTTGAAGATTCATATTAAATCCTTGTTACCTCTAGGCCTTATACTCCTAAATCCAAACACAATATAAGTTCTTACTTAATATAGGTCAATGTCATTAAAAGTATTTACGTTATCAAAGTAAATATGGAAGCTTAGAAATATATAGATAGAAAACTAAACAAGCAAGTTTTATAATTATGTTATAAGTATTTTTAACCGTTCAGCCGGTTCAGGGGGTTTTACTACATTTGAACAAATTTTCATAGTTCTTCTATATTTTATGTTATAGGTAAATAACTTACATCACTAAGGGTGGAACTTATAGAGAGATTTTGTGTAGATACTTGCTCTAGTATAATAATTTACTAATGTCACACAAACTCATAGTTCACAACTCATACCAATAAATAATATAAAAAGATTTTTATTAGTCTGAGGTTCTAAAAAATATGTGCAATATTGGTATGTTATAAATACGAGTAATTTATTCCGGTTGAACACATTTTCCGTTCACCTTGACGTATCCTGTCGCACAGAGATCTCCAACGAATGCAGATCTATCTATGACGGCAGTGTTAGGGTTATCAGCGGTCGTTCCTGCTGGTTTAGCCGGTTTATCAGGATTTTGCTCCGAAGTTGCATTAAGGATGCTATTCTCCAATCCTTTCGTTGTATTTGAAATTGTATATGTATAATTGTTCAATTTTATTGGTAATACATCAACAGATGCATTTTCCACGGGTTCAGGAATATCATTATTACCATTGGAAAGCAAATCACTTGCGTTTACTCGATGTAATAAGCTGGATTCGTTTTTCGACGCGTTATCCGATGTTTTTGAATGTTTTCCTGGTTTACCATCTTTTGCTGCAATTTGGATTTCAACTTCATTGCTTTTAGAATATTTGTTGTTTTCATGGAGAAAACTAGATTGAGTTGTATTGGGCGATGACGATAGAGAGTTGACTAACTCAGGTTTTTCCTTATTCAAACTTGATCTTTTAGATGAAATAACCAAAGTTTCTGTCCGTATCACCTGGGACGTTATAATATCATCACTGACAATATTTTTCACTAAGAGCAAATAAAGTAATATTAATGGACCCACCATGATTTAATTTTGTCCTTAAATAAACGATATGAAGGAAATTTACTAAACTAACTGCGCAAGCGAATATGTTGTTGTGTAGGATATTTACTCGTTTATTCTCATTACCTAATGTGTTTATATTAAAACTATAGACACGTAAGAACAGATGTCTTGATCAGTCGTTACTACGATTTTGTACTTAACACTTAGATGCGAGCTGTGTAATATTAGTAATGATATCGTGAGAAATACAAAGGGGGAAAATACAGTGACGAGGTTGAAATTTATATGGCCTTGCAGTTAGATCATTTGAATTTAATTCTTGTTGCTAATGTCCCAAACAATACCTATATGATACGTAGACCGAATACTAAAAATATATATTATTGTTGATCTTATAATTAGTATAGTTTATTATATGATAATTAATTTTTGCGCTTTACAAGAAATTAATTTTATTTATATGTTTCAATAAAAATATTTTAGGTAAAATAAGGTAAAAATAGAAAATTGTCGTTTAAATTATATTTATTGCATTTCGCCTTCATTGTAATTATTATTTCGTCATTAAAAAAAACCAAAATCAATATATTTAAGTGAAATACAAAATTGTACGTATGCTTATTATATATTATACAGAGAACCTTTAGTAGGTATAATTTTATTCCGATATTCTTCAGTAAATAAAATTGTTATTCATGGCTGGCGTTGATTTTTTGTTTTAATTATAAAAATTAAGAATAAGGTACATAACATATTATCACAACATAATGTAAATGAATATAACGAAAACATATAAAAATAATAAAAAAAAATGTATTCGTAAATTTATATACATAAATAAATAACTTAGATTCTCATAAGAAAAATAAGTTTTAAAAATATACCCACTCTGCGAATTTATTTAAAAAAAAAAATATTTTTACTGTACTGTCGTTAGACAAAAATATTAATTTTAAACAGATCTTGAAATTTATAAATAGTTTTATTCATTGTTTAATTCTTATATCCAGCTCAAACTCTTCCTCTTCCTCTTTGTTCTTTTCAGTGTCCCGTTTGGGGGCTGAATTAGTTTTATCGTCTTTATTTTCTTCATTGAGGGCAACGAATAGAGGCGCGTCGTCGTCCGGTTTCTTTGTGGAGCTTGGTTTTCTGCTAGTCGAAAGTTCTGTTGTACTCGGAACATGTGTATTGGGATTGTTATTTACGTTTTTATCATCGTCATAAATATTTATGTATCCTGGATAAACCTTATTATTTGTCGGGATCGGTTTATTCGTGTTTGCCCCATGATTGTTATTGTTTTCATAATTATTAGGATTTTGTGAGTATCTATCTGGTTTGCTGCCTTGGTTTTGATACTGATCATATCCCTGATTACCGTTGTTGACGTAGTCTTGGTTACCAGAATTTTGTGGGTGTCTGTTGGGTTTGTTACCTTGGTATCCTTGATTACTGTTGTTGATGTAGTCAGGATTGCCAGGATTTTGTGGATATATGTTTGGTTTGTTACCTTGGTTGTGGTTCTGATATCCCTGATTACCGTTGTTAAAGTTGTCATGATTGTTAGGATTTTGTGGGTATCTGTTTGGCTTATTACCTTGGTTCTGGTATTGATCATATCCTTGATTACCGTTGTTGATGTTGTCATTGTAGTCATGAGGACGACCATTAGGGCGCGGACGATTTAAATTGTTATTATTATTTTGGTGATCATAATTTTCATTTATGTTATTATATGGTCTGCCTGGACCATTTTGATATGGCCTGTTCTCGTTATATCCATGGCCAAATTGTCCGTTATTATTATTATATGGTCTGTGCTCATTTTGATGCGGCTTTTCATATTCATGGGGTCTGTGATGGTGGTGTCCTGAATGACTATTTTCCTCTTCAACTACAACAATGATTTCTTCAGGTGGGTTCGTTTGTTGGCTCTGATGCTGTGTATTTAGTTCAAATTTTCCATCGAAATTTAAATTAAGTCCCTGTGCGATCCCACCAACCAAACCTCCAGCAACTTCATGGATTTTCGAATGCGTCCCTAATATTAAATCACTGAAAAGATGTCCGTTGCACTGTAATGTAGCAAGGTACAAAAAAAATAATTGCAATTTAATTTCCATTTCACACGCAGTAGTATTAAATTATAATATTAAATTATATCGCGGTGGCTCAGCGTGTGGCGCTGAGGACGATCCGGTCAACTGACACGACTCATCTCGGCCGGACTGTGTTTTTATGTATTTAAAAACCTGTTCTGTACTTTATTAGTATGGTTTTTTATTCACGTAAATACATTTATTAATATGCGAAAATGCTATAACTTGATTAATTAGATATATTTACTTAATGTTTTGAAGACTTAAAAAAAAACAATATAAGTATACAAAATAATTAAGCATTGGATTTTTTAATCATTATTTATTCCTACAATATCAAATTATTCAATAAAATCTCAACAATTTTAAGTATTAGTGATGAAAAATAAGTAAATTATATTAGTAATGAAAAAAAAATAGAATACTATATTTTACTTTAATTCTAGTTTTACATGAATTATATTAATAATGACCTGCCTAAACTTTCTTTCCACTTACAAAAGTACCCTTTTTTTTTCTTTACCAGGAAATAATATCCTGTGATCAATGTCAAGTAACTGCATCGGCTGGCTCTCTAGACAGGAAGCCACGTGAAAGAAATTCAATGAAATCAAAATTTTCCCACGGACTGGATAATAAGAATAACAAAAACAATCCCAACTTAATTTATAAAGTTGTTCGTCGTTAGTTGTCACACTCAGTTTAACGCGTAAATATAAAATGCGTAATAATTGATAAAAATTGTTATGTATATTAATCAGATGTTAAATCTCGCAATTGGATGAATTGTTATATTTATTATTAGCGACTCACCCTCGCTTCGCTCGGGTTCGTCCCTAGCTTGATTCCCCATACAAACTTTCATCCCAATTTTCACCCCCTTAAGGAATGATTTCCGGGATAAAAAGTATCTTATGTCCTTTAGGGTCAGTAGATCCAGAGATTACCCCCTACAACGTCACAAACCCACAATTTCAAAAACTTACAAACTCACAAACCTTACTTAATTATAATAGTATAGATAATAATATATATCTACATATAAAAATAAAATAAATAAAATATTAAATTATTGTTTATATACTTTTTGTCGGCGACGGAAAACCTATCTTCGAGTAACGTGTGTATTAATATAGGGACAATGTCATTTTAGCGTATTATGAATAATTGTTGTAAATATGAAATCTCATTCTTATTAGATTTATTATGTTAAAATAAGTTCTAATTAGTGTAATAAGGTTAGTTTAGAGTATTTTTTGCTTATTTGAATCATATAAGACTATTTAACATTAATTTGAAAGGAATAGGTACGTAAGTAAAATGTTAGCATATAATTACGTAACTTGAAAATGAGATTTTTTGTTTCTTGCAATAGCATAATAGTTTATGTTTTAAATAATAGATTTTATTATAAAACTTATAATAAAACAAGAATTAGGTCGATAGGACTATCCGTTCAAAAGTTATAAGGGAAAATGTATAGTAAAAATGTAGCAACCTAGAAATTTAGATATTTTTGTTTTAAGACTTTTTTAATTAATTATTATATATTGAATATTATGTTTTAATATTGTATAATAGTATGTAAGGCATGTAAATAAATAAATATGTGTAAGGTGTTTTACTGAAAACATAAAATAAAAGGACTCTCAAGGTTTCGGTTTAGGGAAATTTTACTCGAAAAATGAGCTCAAAGTACGCGGCTCTCTGTAAGGTATTAACGGGCCAAATAAAAGGCGAGCCATTTCTCGATTCGAGTCAGTCGCAAGACAGCCACCGAAGAGGCAACAACTAAAAGGAAAAGGAAGAACCGAAACCAAGAGAGAAAAAAGGAAAAATTATGTTTTTATTTCATCGCCTCTAAGTATAGTCTCCTGGCAACGAAGAAACCCTAGTGGATCGGGACCCAAGCTACGCATTCAGGGGTGCGTGGTGGCGTACATTACCAGCGAACGGACATACTGCCGTGTACGCCAAGAACGTCTGGGAGATTGTCCCAGGTCGACCTCCGGGTACTAGACATACCCTGGTTCTGGTCGTCCGAAACAGTTGGTCCTTCGAGCCGGATCCCTGCTAGAAGAAGTTCAGAAGAAACAGAAGATTGCGTTCAAGATGCCGGTAACCAGGTCGCAGAAGGATGCCCCCTCACGTCCCGGGTCCCGTCCTTCAGATAGGGACGCGACAGATGGAACGTCGGGATCAGAAGGGGTCACGTCAGCGTCGGCGTCATCGGGAACTGCAACTACATCGAACACTTCTTCGGGTACCACGACCACGGAGGGCACCACAGTGACGGAGACTACGGTTACGACTGCAACTACGGCGGCGTCTATGGAAGGCAACAAAGAAGATGCTGCACAGAGGATGACCAGGAAGAGCCAAGAAGATGTACCTGGAAAGGATGTTCAAGGCTCCTCCAAGACCCTGAAACCGATGGGGGTCAGTCGTCGCGCCAGGTCCACGAAGACCACGAGTTCCTCGGCCAGAAGACGCGAGCTAGAAGCAAAGGAAGAGTTGGCACGCCTGGAGTTGAAGCAAGCACAGGCTGAAACTAAGCTAGCCCGTGTCAGATTGGAGATGGCACAGTGTGAAGAAGAGGACTCCGTGGATGAAGACCTGGAAGACAGAACAGCACAGGTGCAGAACTGGATCGAGACGTCTGTGCTGGAGGATGGCAACAAAGTTCAACCAGAGATGCGAGGTCCACACCCCTTGGAAGAGCCACAGAAGATGAAGCCTGAAGAGAACTCCTCAACGAGAGGAGCTACGATTGAAATTCAAGCACTGACGGCAGCATTGAAGGAAGCTCTTACCACGCGAGGACCAGCAGGACAGCCAACCTACATTCACGAGTTACCCTACTTCGACGGCAACAGCAGCGAGTGGATGGCCTTCAAGGTTGTCTATGAAGATACAGCACCGATGTTCAACAACGTCCAGAATATGGCTCGGCTAAGAAGAGCACTGAAGGGCAACGCAAGAGAAGCTATCAAGAGTCTGCTGTACTCCGAAGCCTCTCCGATGGAAGTGATTCAAGCCCTCAGAAGAAGATATGGAAGACCAGATGCACTGGTGCTGGCAGAGTTGGACAAGGTCAAAACGTTGCCGAAGATTTCTGAAAACCCAAGGGACATATGCCTCTTCGCGAGCCAGATCAGCAACAGCGTAGCGGCAATAAAAGGATTGAAGAAACCACAGTACCTGCATTCACCTGAGATGGTGAAACAAATTATTGAGAAGATGCCTACGATCCTCAAGTTCCGATGGTACGACTTCATTGAAACAACAGAAGAAGGCGAGTTCTCCGACCTAACACTGGTGTCCAAGTTCCTGAACAGAGAAGCAGACAAGTGTGGAGCCTATGCATCAACAGAAGAGAAGAGCGGGTTCAGACGGACTCATCGACAAGCAACGCATTCAACTAAGGAAAAGGACTTCAAAGAAAAGGTTTCAAGATCAGAGAAGACTTGCCCCATGTGTGAGGGTGAACACTTCCTCGTCGGGTGTCAGAAGTTCCTGAAGGCGTCTGTGCAAGATCGATGGGCAATAGTGAAGAAAAGCCGCGTTTGCTTCAAGTGTTTACAAGGGACACATCGGAAGGAGAGCTGCAAGAAGCCGTCGTGCAAGGAATGCAAGAGGTGGCATCATCATCTGCTGCACGTCGAGACAGAGAAAAGTTCCTCGGAAGAACAGAAGAACAAACCACAAGAAGTGGCGAGCATCATGGCATCGGTGAATGCGGTCAACAACGCAAGGGCATACCTGAAGATAATTCCGATAGAAATCTTCGGGTCAAAAGGATCAAAGAAGATATTGGCCCTCATGGATGAAGGGTCAACAGTGTCGCTGCTAGACCAGAAGGTAGCAGAAGAAATCGGCGCTCAAGGAAGAAAGGAGGAACTGGTCATCGAGACTGTTGGAGGCAGACTGATAAGGAAGGAAGACTCTCAGATGCTTGACCTTACGGTGAAGGGGATTCATCAGAAGACCAAGAAGACCTTGAGAAGAGTCCGGACCATCGAAGAGTTGAAGCTTGAACCGCAGTTCCTAGAAAAGAAAAGGATAGAAGAGTGTCAACACTTGAAGAAGATTGCTGACTCTCTATATTATAAGGGGGAGTCACCACAGCTGCTCATCGGTCAAGACAACTGGGAGCTAATCGTGACTCAAGAAGTAAGAAGAGGGAAACCAGGACAACCAGTCGCTTCAAGAACAGGACTTGGATGGGTGCTCCACGGGTCAGACACTGGAGGCGCGAAAGTGGTGCACTTCTTAAACACGTGTCTACATGTCAGCACGCCAGAAGAAGAGATGCATCAAGCCATCAAGGATCACTTCGCAATCGAAGCACTTGGAGTACTACCAAGAAGACCCACTACGGATTCAGAAGAAAGAGCACTCACCATCCTAGAGAAGACCTGCAGAAGACTAGAAGATGGTCGATTTGAAGCTGGACTTCTATGGAAAAATGAAGATGAACAGATGCCTGAAAGCTACACGTCTGCCAAGAACCGATTGTTCAACATTGAAAAGAAGATAGACAAAGACCCTCAGCTGAAGGCAGAATACAATAAGCAGATCCAGCATCTAATCGACAGCAAGTATGCAGAAGAAGCACCTGGTGGACAAGAAGATTCAAAGAAGACATGGTACCTCCCTCATTTCTCCGTGGTACATCCATTGAAGAAGAAAATAAGGATCGTCTTCGACGCTGCAGCCAAGTCTAAAGGGAGAAGCCTCAACGACGCTTTACTACCGGGACCAGACCTACTGCAATCGCTCTTCGGGGTATTACTGAGGTTCCGGCAAGGCCCGTTTGCAGTGGCAGCCGACATAAAGGAAATGTTCCTGCAAGTTCGCATCCGGCCAGAAGATAGAAACAGCTTGAAGTTCCTGTGGCGAGGGGATCGTCGTGACGTAGCACCGAAGGACTCCATAGGCTTTAGGGCGAACCTTCGGAACACGCCAGATGAAGTGGCACAAGGACTCAAGGTACCTACGAAGAGAGAAGTCACCAGCGCCGTGATGTCGACCTTCGATCCACTAGGGCTAGCATCACCAATTCTCATCCAAGGCAAAAGGCTGCTCCAGAACATATGGCGAAGTGGCGTCGGTTGGGATGAAGAGATAGAAGAAAAGGAGTACGAGTCATGGAAGACTTACCTGGAGAAGATGAAGCTGCTCCAAGACCTTCAGATCCCGAGATGTCTGGCACCACGTCGCACCGAGGGGGAGCTGCACACGTTCACGGATGCAAGCGAAATGGCGTATGCAGCTACGGTATATTGGAGAACTGAAAATCAAAATGGGACTTATGACGTCAGCTTAGTAGCAGCAAAAGTAAGAGTCGCTCCGTTGAAGCCGGTGTCAATCCCGAGACTCGAGCTGCAAGCGGCCCTCCTAGGAAGCAGATTGGCACACTCGGTCGAGGAAGAAATGGATCTGAAAATAGAAAAGAAGACGTTTTGGACAGACTCCAGTATCGTGCTATCATGGATCAAGACGGACCCGAGAACCTTCAAGACATTCGTGGCTCATCGCTTGGCGGAGATAGAAGATCTCACAAAACCACAGGACTGGAGATGGGTACCGACGGCGCAGAACCCTGCAGATGATGCAACACGTGACGTACCAGAACACTTCGACTGCCAACACCGATGGTACACCGGACCAGGGTTTCTAAGAAGAGATGAAGTTCACTGGCCTGCGGCAAGAACATTCAAGAAAGAAACCACTGGCGAAGAAAAGGCAGCGGACATCGTAGCGACTGCAGGCAGCTCCTATCCATCACCAGATCCCGAAAAGTTCTCGTCGTGGAAAAGACTTTGGCGAGCTACAGCAAGAGTACTGCAGTTCATACAACTCTGCAGAAGAAAGGAAAAGGTCCACGCCAGCAAAGAAGATCCTACCTGGAAAACTACAAAAAGGAATAAGAAAATTGTTGAGAAGCGACATCTGTCTTTAAAAACGTCAGAAAGGAAATACATACCATTGGAAACAAGTCTACTAGAGCAAGCTGAAACGCTGTTGTTAAGAAGAAGTCAAGAGAAATGCTTCAAAGAGGACATCAGGTGCCTACAGCAAGGAAAACAATTAGAGGGCAGCAGCAAGTTGAAAAGGCTCGACGTAGTGCTAGAAGAAGGTCTCCTGCGACTGAAAGGAAGAATCGACGCGATACGAGGGGTTACCAGAGACTACAAACGACCCATCGTACTCGACAGCAAGGACAAGACAACACTTCTCATCATAGAAGAATTTCACTGCCGCTTCAATCACGGGAATCACGCGACTGTAATGAACGAAGTAAGACAACGCTTCTGGGTGCTAGGACTGAGGTCAGCGATCAAGACCATTCAACATCAATGCCAGTGGTGCAAAACAAGAAAGGCAAGACCTCAAGAACTACCAGTGGGCAACTTACCTGCTGAGAGGCTGATGCACGGAAACCCTCCATTTACGTGCACGGGAATAGATTACTTCGGCCCTATGACGATTACCGTAGCAAGACGCCATGAGAAGAGATGGGGTGCTCTATTCACATGCTTAACAACACGAGCTGTACACATTGAGCTCACTCCTTCACTCTCCACTGACAGCATGATCATGGCACTACGACGATTCGCCGCGAGAAGGGGAATGCCAAAGATAATCTACACCGACAATGGCACTAACTTCGTTGGCGCCAACAAAGAACTCAAAGAAGCACTAGACACCATGAAGCAAGAAGACCTTATCTCGGAAGCGGAGAAGATCGGTGTGCAGTGGAAGTTCATACCTCCTGGTGCACCAAACATGGGAGGTGCATGGGAGCGTCTGGTGCGATCCATTAAAACCGCACTGGACGCCACGCTCAACGAAAGGCAACCACGAGAGGAGGTACTTCATACCCTCCTGTTAGAGGCCGAGCACATAGTCAACTCTCGGCCCCTCACCCACCTCTCCGAGAACCCTGAAGAAGAAGCACTTACACCGAACCACTTTCTCATCGGGCGATCATGTGGCGCAGCAAGAATCGGCAGCTTCGAGGACAACGAGCTTGTGGGCAGACACACCTGGAAGGCTACGCAGCGACTTGCCGATCACTTCTGGCAACGTTGGCTGAGAGAGTATTTGCCCACTCTACTACCAAGGAAAACCAAAGGAAGAGTCAGCGCCACAGATTTGCAAGTCGGAGACATCGTACTGATCGTCGATCACAGCCTACCAAGATGCATCTGGCCACGCGGAAGAATCCTGCATGTGTATCCTGGACCAGACGGGCGGACCAGAGTCGTCGACGTCGAGACCAGAGGAGGTGTTCTACGGAGGCCCAGTTCGAGAGTGGTGCTGTTGATGCCGGGAGCGTCGCCGAGTCCAGGAGTTGGTGCAAAGCACGAGGGGGAGAATGTCGGCGACGGAAAACCTATCTTCGAGTAACGTGTGTATTAATATAGGGACAATGTCATTTTAGCGTATTATGAATAATTGTTGTAAATATGAAATCTCATTCTTATTAGATTTATTATGTTAAAATAAGTTCTAATTAGTGTAATAAGGTTAGTTTAGAGTATTTTTTGCTTATTTGAATCATATAAGACTATTTAACATTAATTTGAAAGGAATAGGTACGTAAGTAAAATGTTAGCATATAATTACGTAACTTGAAAATGAGATTTTTTGTTTCTTGCAATAGCATAATAGTTTATGTTTTAAATAATAGATTTTATTATAAAACTTATAATAAAACAAGAATTAGGTCGATAGGACTATCCGTTCAAAAGTTATAAGGGAAAATGTATAGTAAAAATGTAGCAACCTAGAAATTTAGATATTTTTGTTTTAAGACTTTTTTAATTAATTATTATATATTGAATATTATGTTTTAATATTGTATAATAGTATGTAAGGCATGTAAATAAATAAATATGTGTAAGGTGTTTTACTGAAAACATAAAATAAAAGGACTCTCAAGGTTTCGGTTTAGGGAAATTTTACTCGAAAAATGAGCTCAAAGTACGCGGCTCTCTGTAAGGTATTAACGGGCCAAATAAAAGGCGAGCCATTTCTCGATTCGAGTCAGTCGCAAGACAGCCACCGAAGAGGCAACAACTAAAAGGAAAAGGAAGAACCGAAACCAAGAGAGAAAAAAGGAAAAATTATGTTTTTATTTCATCGCCTCTAAGTATAGTCTCCTGGCAACGAAGAAACCCTAGTGGATCGGGACCCAAGCTACGCATTCAGGGGTGCGTGGTGGCGTACATTACCAGCGAACGGACATACTGCCGTGTACGCCAAGAACGTCTGGGAGATTGTCCCAGGTCGACCTCCGGGTACTAGACATACCCTGGTTCTGGTCGTCCGAAACACTTTTATTTAAAAAATATATTTTAACTATTTGCAAAAAAAAACGGTGACATCTAATGTAATATCGATATTTTTAATTCATACTTAATTTAAATCTTCTCGTACATCAATATTATAGTCATCTTCTTGGCTGCTGTTTAAGCTATCCTCCATTTTTGGTGAATTAGTTAGTATATTTGGAAGAGTACTTATATCTTCAGCAGTTGTAACATACGAGTTTGTGAAGGGCTGTGGTGTTGATGTTCTGCTATTTATGTGTAAGTTCGCTGTATCTGTTTCCTTTGAGCTTGGTGAGACAGACAATGGTAACGCCATACCTGGTTTTAATAGTTGATTCTCCAAATGCCTAAAATTATCAGCAATCGTCCAGACATCTTGTAGATTATAAAAATGTTTATTAATGTTTTCTAGTTGGTTTTCTATATCATTTTCAGTTAAAGACACCATACGAAAAAATTTTAGAGCTGGAACAAGATCTTGAAATTTTCTTTGATTCATGAAGAAATTAAAATTCTGTAAGCGGGAATAATCGGGCGTTTTGAACCAATTCGGTTTGCTTGTTCCTTGTATTGATCGAGTAAGTAAGCAAAATAGCACTAATATAAATAACATCTTCACTGTCATTTTGTCAGTTTTCTAGTCGTGTGGAATTCTGAAACACAACTGATTTGGATGTTGAAAGTTAAATATATCATTAAATATCAATCAATTTTTAATGTATTTTAAAGTAAAATAAAGTGAGTTAGTAATTTTTAATAGTATTTATCTACTATAATCGTTTTGTTTTTAGCAGGTAAAATGCATGTAAATAGGTACAATTAGTTACATAGGAAATCCTGAGGGCATATATATATATATTTATTTATTTTTAAGACAAATCCTTTCGAATGTTAATATCATAGTCATTGTCGTCGTCTTCGTTTCGTTCGTGTCGATCGTCTTCGTTGTCTGTTGTTGCTTGAACCTCTGGTAGTGAGCTAGTAGATTCAAATTCTTCTTCATTAGTATTCGTAGTTGGTTCTGTGCTACTAAGGTTAATTACTACGGCTGGCTTTTCTTCATCAATTGGGTGGATCAGAAAAACAGACGATGGTACAACCTCACTAGGTTTAAAATTTTGATAAGGCCGAAAAATGGTTAAAAATATATTATGAGGCACTTGAAAAATCGGATTAGCTAAGTTTAAAATATTTATCCGATGTAGCCTTTGTCCAAAATTTGTAACTACACCAGTGCTTAACTTATTTTTTATCAGTCCTGCATTTGGTATATTTGTATTTCCATTATTGGTCAAAAATATGATTTTCCTTTCGTTAATAGATACTGGAATTGATGGAGTTAGTATAGTTGGTTTAATTATTCGCGGCACTACTTTTTGAAGTATTAGACAAAGTAACCCAGATGTAACTAATAACTTTAGAGACATTTTTGCTTTCAAAATAATGTGTTACTTTATTGAAAACTTGAGAGACACTAAAACTCTTTAGATTAATGACGTCATTAAATGTCTATTAAAAACCTATTTTATCTATATTAGTATAGATGGTTCTTAAATGTAATAAAGAATAAGAGTAATATGTAAAATGCTATTAACTGTAAGTAGGTAGGTAGTAGAAGCTTTTGTTTTATTTTTGCTGCACACATTAAAATTGAAGATGTTATCAAAATATAAAAGAGCTTTTTCTAATAATTTGTCTAAATAAAAAGTTCGAATTATAATTGTTCAAGATTAACAACAAACGAAGAAATAACCTCATAAGAAGAAGTCAATAACCTCGAAACGTTTACGTTTTTTATTCTATTTTAATTAAAATAGAATGAAATATATTAATTTGCTTAGCAATTTTAACGAACCGAAAATATTTTACCTAAACTGTTGATATTCTACTAGTATTCAACATTATTTATAAAAAAAATCATAAAAGAGGCGATAAAACGTTCGCGGTTCTACTGGCATTTTTATCTACATGTACATAATATGTACTTTGTACACTGATACTCGGCGATTTCATTTGAAAGTGTTTAAAGTGTGTCCGATACGAATATGAAGATATACCCTGAAGATCCTCCCCAAGACTTACCGACGGAACTTCTTAATTAATACGGGTACATATTTTACTGTGATTAATATAACTTCGATATTGGTAGTTTTAACTTTTTTTTAAAAAATCACGCTGTGTAGATTCTAGAGGTGAACAATGAGGCTCTTTAACGTTTTTATTATTTAAGATAATTGAACACACCTTAGCTGTGTGTGGATCGTTTTACTTTATTTATTGAAGTTACACTTCTTTTGGCGCGTTAGGAAAAATAAAAAAATATTTTTTTACGACGAAAAAAATGATGTAAAAAATGATTTTTTTTATTTTACTAAGTCCAATATAATCTGACCAATCGGTGACCGATTCACAATTTCACTGAATGTGCTTAGGGAAATAATAATTTATCTAAAAGTCATATTGTAAGAAAAGGAGGCGAATGACAAAACTCTGGGTAATTATTAATTAATATATAATAATTTAAACGGATCTTATAATTTCCCTGCGACATAATATACATAATACAACGTATACATTTTAGGTAGGTAAACCTGTTTAATAATATATTATTTACCTTGTTTTTCTTATATGTTAGGCATTCTAAATTAACAAGTGGGTTAACGAATAGACTTATAGGTAGGTTGCAACTTAGTACAGATACTAGTTACCTAAGTACGATTGTTTACGAAATTTAATTAAACAACTACCATTTTTTTTGCCTCGCTTTGCTCGGGTGGGTGCTTAGGTTACTTTTGTAAGTTTAAATTTACGATATAATGTCTAGGTAGCGTCACGTTTTGGAAATTTTATTACAGACGGAGTTATATAACCCAACATGTGGTCTCTTTAGATATCCTTCTCAGATCTATTATTGTAAAATATAACAACGCATATGCAACACAACGATTTAAAACGTCATAATAAATAAAGTCTAGATAGTTTAAGGGCCGAAGGGTCCATTTTTGCTGAGAATACACACATAATCCCGCACGCATCTAACATACTCGTATATAAACTTAGAAAGTCAGAAATGAAGACACTTGTAACTTGTAACCGTCCTTTTGACGAGAAAAGTTGTTTTATTAACTGTCGTCCTGATAACTTCACTATGATGTTGTAATTTTATCAAATTCTACACAGAAAACAACTGGACGTTTCAGCGTGATAGACAAACAAACAAATACACACATATACACTTTCGTTTTTGTAATAGTAGTGTGATTTTCTGAATATTTTTAGAAATCAAAGGGAGAATCAGAGAAAAAGTAATATTATACACTAAAAGACTATGGTTTTATGGTTTTTATGTATTTAGCAACCATAAGTACCACAATAAACATTGTATGTAATAAGTAGCAAAACCGCAGGATTTTTATTTTTTACGCTTTCCATTGGTAAACACTACACAAACCACGTCAAATACCTGCGGTCTTTGTTACGATAGGTATTCAAAAATAATAATATTAGGTACCATTTATGCAACAATTTCATTACAATTTATTTTTGACACTAAATAATATCGAATTAGATTTCGTTTTCGAATATCAAGAACTCGTACTAACTAACGCTATCTGATAGTAGCCAAAACAAATATATTTTCTTGTATGTAGAAAATATTGAATCTGAAACCACTGATGCAGATATTTTCTAACCACAGGATCTAATAAACTAAGATTTACTAATATTTTGTGCTTTTGTATATAAATTATGATTTATAACCTCTCGTCTCACACCGACATTAAAATATTTTAATGTAAAATAAAAGAAAGAAACAAGTTTGTCGCATACATACGAGTATATACATATAATAAAATTGTAACTAAGTCGAATCTGTATATTAAATATTTTTTGGAAAATCTGATTGAAATAGACATTATTATCGATACAGAGTCCGAATCTATAGTTTTTAGATTTTTTGTCTGTCTGTCTGTTACCCCATCACGAGAAAACCACTGGACAGATTTTGATGAAATTTGGTATGATGATAGCTGTTTATCCGGGTCAACATATAGGATACTTTTTACCGCTAGAAAATATCTCATTTCTTAGAAAAAATACAAAAAATGCACTATAAGAATATACTAATATGTAAAACCAAGAATTTGGTTTTTGATCACCTATAGACGCGGGCGGAGCCGCGGGCAGTGCTAGTTAATTATAATGATGACATTTTACTTTCTTAGTTGATAATATTCTTCACTAACGATAAAGTTTTCATTTGAATAAAGAATTTATAAAAAAGCGACTTACCCTCTTCTATATGACTTTTTAAGACCTACAATTTTCTATATGAAATATATTATATTATATATAGAAATATATATAATAACATTTTTGATGTTTCTCTAAAGATTTGGCCAGTGTTAGCCGTGTAAGCGTACGAAAACAGTTTTTAGTTTGACACAGAACTTTCTCGTTTATCCTTCTTTCTTTTGTATCGAACTCCCTTGTGTGATAAACAGACAGGCATTCTACGCGACATTGGCATTCACTACATAAAATTTTATTAGAAACCGTTTAGTACTTTTTGCGTGAGATCATCATCAGAACATCTGTTACATAACAGTCATTGTTTTTATTATTTTATTATATGTCAACTAGTAATAGAAATAACATTAACAAGGTTCTTTATTATAATATGTACATCAATCATCATCGTTTATTAAAGGAATTCTATAATGAGGGGATTTATCTTTAGGCCAGGATTGACGTTTTTAGTTGAGTTATAAATAAAACCATCACGGATATCTATGTCGAAATCTTCTACGGCGGAGTCTTTGCTATTAACGGTATCCATTGAAATGTTATTTAAAGGGTGTAGAATGTTTTCATTTTGGTTTTTAAACGGTTGTTCGGTTATTGTGTTTGCATTTTCCTCCGTAGGTCTTTTTGTTTCTGTAAAATCACTTTGCGGGGCTAATGTCGGAGGAATCGTAAATGTATTTAATACGTCATTTTTGGCATCTTGTTTCTTTGGATCGTGAAATATTTGTTCGCTTGTATTTTTTATTTCTGTCGCCGGTGTTTTTATTTGTGTTAAATCACTATGGTAATTAGATACTGGTTGGACTGTAACTGGTTTTAAGGTGTGACTTAGCTCGTTATGTGGAAAAGATTCTTCATTATGTTCTTGATTCATTTGTTTCCGGAGTTGATTCATGCGTTTCATCATGTCCTTATGTTGCTGTAAATGTTTCTCTTTCATGGCATTGATGCGGGTTTCTAAGTCTTTCATTCGCTTAGCCATATTAAAGTGCATTGTTGCTTGATGTACAGAAGGAAAAGAATTGTAATGACTGAATGCCCGTGCAGATGCTGAAATTCTTTCTAAAACTACAATTTGTAGTAACAAAGCAAAAAACATTATGGCGAAAAACACTTTCACTGTCATTTTTACACAATGTAAGAATATGTCTTATTCTATGCCATACAAAGTGTCAACTAAGTTCTAAAGTACGTAAAGGTCTAATTAAAAATCACTTATTGATCAATTTGCAGTTTTGAAGAGATATAGACGATATTTTGAAACTTAACGGTCGTGTCGAAGTATCGTGTCACCGGAGTATGAGAATGACAGGAATAGAGTGCACTTTTGTCTGCACGAACACGCGCTGCAGTTTGCACTATAATATCTCCTCGGTGTTGCAAAAGTAAAAAATTAAAAATTGTTAATTTTGGCAGCTAACTCGGGAGATTTTTTATTTATACTCCATTACTTTAGGTAGTTTTAAAACTACAGGTAAACAAATCATAAAACAGGTACTTTTAGATGCCGTTCTTCCTCGTTTCAAATTTTTTTGCGATCAAAATAATGTCTTTATAATTTAAATTATATTTGAATAAGCTGCTGTTTATTATGAAATTGTAAATACATATTCATTTTTGCACTTGAGAACAATTTATGATTTAAATTATAATGTAAGTATGTATAAGGTATTGCAATCTGGCTACTCTAAAACAGTTATAGAAATGTGATTAAGTGTAAGTATAACCTTTCAAAATTTAAGAGCCAATTGTGTCGTATAGCACGGCAACAAACACGACTGACATAATATTGTTTATTCGGTTTATCCTAAACCGGTGGTATCAAGTTTATAACTGACAAGTGACAGTTTGACTTTCTGAAAATTTGTTATTGTTATGTACCTGTAGCTAAGAAACTCATTTGCTTTGATTTCATTAATTAGTCGTTGTTGTTTGGCCTTTTATAATCGTTGTTAATTTAAAAAAAAACAAGTCCATGATATATGCCTGATCCCAGCCGTTTTAGTTTCTGTTGTTTACCGTACGTTTTAATTTTTTTGGGCGGAACTCTAATTCTTTTTCTAAAATAAAAGTAGTCTGTTACTCCCTATAACATCAGTTATCTTCCAGTGATAGTCCCGTCAAAATTAGTCCAGCCGTTTCGGAGATTAGCCGGAACAAACAGACAGACAGACAAACAAAAATAATAAAAATTATTCTCTTCTTATAAGTACCGTACACAATTCCATATGCATTTAGTAAAGACCTATATTTTGACATTACAAACAGACACTTCAATTTTATTTATCTGTATAGACTATTCTACATTGGTTGAAAATGCAATAATCAGAGGTAAATGCAAAAGAGAGATACGATCGCTACAGCGGTCTATGCCACTTTGGGGAGACAATAACCAAAGTCCCGATAAATCGGGAACTTTTACATCGTTGTATCTCCTGCGCAGATGTCTCAATGAGATTGGCCGCCGTGGCCGAAATCGGTCGGGAGGGCATTATTATTATTTTGAACAACGACAATATAACTTGTTTGGTTGCTTATGTTTTTAGCAGATTACAGATGAGCAAACATGAGGAAAAATTATACTTTAAAATAAGCGTAGCGTAGATTTTTTAAATAGATTTACTTACCGTTAAGATGATTAGCAAGTCCAGCTTCGTCAATTAAATGATAAGGTTACTGGCCATTTTTAATTACTCTCGAAATAAGTTAGTATTTTGCTCATGGCTGGCTGGCCTTTCACTTTTTGGGCTCTATTCCAAAAGTTTTTTGGTTATAGCTATACATGTAAAGAGTAGAAAAAGCACGTAAATTACTAAAAAGCGATTTTTAAGATTTTTGATTTCATGTGACACGTATTCAAATCATATGAGATTTTTAAGCCAACTCATAAAATGCCAAAGCAATGATAAATATAAGTTTAAAACATTTTTCCACTCCGAGGTTAAATCCCTATTTTGATTGGATTAAAGACTCATGATAAAATTTTATTCACAAAAATACACAAAAAATATATAATACTTAGTATTACCTGCTTTGTTTTAAAATGAATACCTATTCGCTCGTGTAAGTACGAGTTGAAGGAATATCTACCTTATGGAATCTAAAGAGTTAAGAAAGAAAGTTCAAGTGTTATTTTCTTCTGTCTAGTATGCTTGTGGTCCATGGTTCAAAAATTTCGGAGGCAAGATATAATATATTTTTAACTAGGTTTTTTGGCTAACAAAGAAAAATATTTTGTAGTTTTGTGTTTCTTAATATCAGCTTTTCTATTTAATCAATAGATACATATAATAAAATAGTAACAAAGCGAAATCTGTACATTCTTGTGTGATGGCTAACGGAACCCAACAAAGATTACATCCCAAAATTATAATTAGTGCTTACTTAAGGATAAGTTTATAATGTGTATGTGGATAAAATGAAGTTGATTTCGTTTTTGATCATATTATTGGATTTAACCAGGTTCAAATAATGATGCATAGAAATTAGAGTTCATCACAATTAGCCTCTAAGCTTCGAGGACTTTTTGGCTTTGATTTGGATAATATTAAATGTACATCATTTGTAAAACAATAATAACAGTTACCATGGCAAGATAGAATAAAGTGAAAGTGAAAAAGATTACTTTTTGACTTTGGGGCCACTTTTACATGGTAGTATTTTATCATGCACAGAAAAAATCGAAAAAATCGATTTTGTTCCAAAAAGTCAATTATTATTTATCTAATTAAACATACTAGAGGGCACATTTTATTAGGCACCCCGGTCAAAATATAATATTTTACTGGCGGCTCACATTCACTTCGCTCAGGTTCTTCCCTAGTGAATCGTACATTTTTCCGGGATAAGAAATAGAATTTGTGCTATTCCAGACTATAATCTATCATTGTGGCCAAATTTTATCCAGCTATTTAAGAGACTACAACAATACTATTGTTGATTGAAGATTCTTGTAATATTTTTTTTATAATTTTGTTATAATTTTATGGAATGTGGCCACAGCGAGAATCACTATAAGTTGTTTATTAGTAATAAGTGGTAATTTAATCCCAAGCTAATTATAAGCCTGTGGCCTCGAATGTAGATACTTCAGGTACTACCTACACATTATTAATTATTATATTATTAGCAGAACCCGTGGTACGGTCGCGTTCAATCTACAAAAAAAACTTTGGCTTTATATTATACAGCGTATTTATAATATAATGATAATACAAAAATACTAAAATGGCGAATAAAAAATGGGGGCGGTGAGGAGGAGGGGGGGGGGGCGTGGCGGGGGTCGGTGTAGGTGATTGAAAAATGTTTTACAACTTATTATCATACCTATCTAACGCAACTATAAGCCATATTAAAAAAAAATCATACCTATCAAATAAACCTACAAAAAAAAAAAACATTAAATCAGTCGAGCTGTTTCGGAAGAGTGCGACCACAAACACCGTGATACGAGATATTTATATATTGGATTAACAAATACAGCATTTTTAATCGACAATAGAATAATTGAAGTAAAATTATGGCCGAAAATTTGACCACCGGTCGAGAAATTGTATAATGGGCATTCGGCATTATTATAATATGTTTAATTGTTTATTTTATTTATTTATTTATTTATTTACTTCTTTTTACACATTGTATCAATTCAATGATCACTTGTGTACGTCAATTAGAAGACTTAAACTAAAGCTACGAGGGTTCGTAACGCGCCCTGGTCTGAGAAGAACCCACAAGAAACTCAGCCAAGTAACATTTTTTTTTTATTGTGATCATTGTTTCACAAACATCCTTACTTCAGTATAAAGAGCAATTCATTCCCAAGCTTTTTTATCACTTAAATAATCCTTTACATTATAATAGGATTTATTTATTAATTGTCTTTTAATGTAAATTTTAAATTTATTTATTGACAGTTTTAAAGTATCATCTGGTAGTTTATTGTAAAAGCGAATACTATTACCAATAAAGGAATTACCAATTTTATGGAGCCTAGTGGTGGGCTGAACTAGCTTATTTTTGTTTCTAGTGTTTACATTATGCAGGTCACTATATTTCTTGAATTTATCAATATTTTTATGTACATATATTAGATTTTGATAGATGTATTGGCAGTGTACAGTCATTATTTTAATTTCTTTAAACTTATTCCGCAAAGATTCTCTTGGGCCTAAATTATATATAGCTCGAACAGCCCTTTTCTGCAGCACAAAAATTGTGTCAATATCAGCAGCATTACCCCATAGTAAAATACCATATGACATAATGCTGTGAAAATAGCTAAAGTATACTAACTTAGCTGTCGTTACATTTGTTAATTGACGTATTTTCTTAACCGCGTAGGCTGCAGAACTGAGCTTATTCGATAATTGAGAAATATGAGGGCCCCATTGGAGTTTGGCATCTAATGTAATGCCTAGAAATACAGTGGTATCAGCTAGATCTAGTTCCTCATTATTCAGTCGTACATTGGTTTTTACACTTTTAACATTTGGTAAAGTGAATTTTACACATTTTGTTTTTTTCTCGTTTAGTAAAAGGTTGTTGACATTAAACCATTGTACCACTTTGGATAAAGCAATGTTCACATCGTCAATTACTGCTTGTCGTCTGTTAACTTTAAAAACTAAAGATGTATCATCAGCAAACAAAACTATCCCGTGGTCATCCTTTACGAGGTATGGTAGGTCATTTATATAAATGAGGAACAAAAAAGGACCCAAAATTGAACCTTGTGGTACACCCATTTCAACAACTGATCCAGGGGAACGCTTTCCATTCACGTCTACCCTCTGGATTCTTTCATTCAAATATGATCTAAGTAAATCCAGAGCCTTATCTCTAATTCCGTAGTGGTGTAATTTTCTGACCAACGTTTCATGATGAACGCAATCAAATGCCTTGGACAAATCACAGAAAATGCCAAGTGCATCACGTGACTCCTCCCAGGCCTCAAATATATTTAGAAGTAACGCGACTCCAGCATCGGCTGTTGAACGACCGCGAGTGAAACCGTATTGCTTTACATGTAATAGTTCATTATTATAAAAATGTTTCGTAATTTGAGTTAACATTATTTTTTCAAAGATTTTACTAAATGTAGGTAATATTGAAATAGGCCTAAAATTA